CGTCTGTCCCTTCTTCTCAGAGGGTCTCCGATGCCTCGTCTGTTGTTGTCTCTGTCACCGAGGCCAACATCAANACAGGAGTTCCTTCCTGCCAACAGCCATCACTTTTAAAAACAAATCCAACTGACTGAATGATTGTTATTGTTGTATATAATATATGTTATATTGATTTAAAAAAAAAAAAAAAAAAAAAAAGTGAGCTTTTACAAGATTGAATTTCCCTTCTGGGATAAATAAAATATTTTCATTTCATTTCATTTCATATCATAATTTTTTGACCTTAAGTTTGACTTTGAAATATCGACCAAGGTCAAATGTCACATCCCCAGTGGAAAGCCTACAGATGGTTTCTGATACAAACAGTGTGTCTATCTCACGCTGCTTTCAAATTACAGTGCTGTCAAGATTTATGACATGGGGTTTGACCTTACAATATCATCAAAGGTCAAATGTAACATCACTAACAGAAAACCGCAACATGGTTGCCTATCTGCACCCGTTACGATCCAGCCTCTAGGGTCAGCTGGATATAGCAAAAACCAGCTGTATTTCTTTGAGATAAAGCAGTTCATTGCTCAATGTGCTCATGATACACAAAAGTGTGATAATACAAAGAAAACTGGTGGGTGTTGCTAAAATAAATGAAGCAAATAAAACCAAACTTAAATCTAATAGCATCACCCGACCAGGGTTGTGGCAGGACAAGTCGTGGCTGCTTCACCATGACAACGCGCCTGCTCACAGTGCCCTGAGCATCCAACAAATCCTGGCTGAGAAGAACATTGCCGTGCTGGAGCAACCTCCCTACTCACCCGACCTGGCTCTATGGTATATTTTCCTCTTCCCCAAGCTCAAGGGGGTCATCAAGGGGACCTGTTTTAAAGGTGTGGACATCATCAAGATTGCTGTGATGATGGAGCTGCGGAGGGTCCCAGAAGAATCCTTCCAGGAGTGCATCTTCAAAGTCAGAAGTTTGCATAAATTTCCTTAGTATTTGGTAGCATTGTCTTTAAACTATATGACTTGGGTCAAATGTTTTGGGTTTCCTTCCACAAGCTTCTCACAATAGTTTGATGAATTCTGGTCTACTCCTCCTGACAGAACTGGTGGAACTGAGTCTGGTTTGTTGGACACCTTGCTCCACACACCATTTCAGCTCTGCCCACAAATTTTCAACAGGATTGAGATCAGGGCTTTGTGATGGCCACTCCAAAACTTTGACTTTGTTGTCCTTAAGCCACCTTGTAACTAATTTGCGGTATGCTGAGGGTCAGTGTCCATTTGGAAAACCCATTTGCACCCAAGCTTTAAGTTTCTGGCGGATATCTTGAGATGTTGCTTCAGTATTTCCACATAATTGAAACCTGGCTGCAGCATGAAGAATATGTTAGTCTAAATGAATCGACTCCCCCCAGCCACATTAACTTTCATATAGCTAGAAGTACAGGCAGAGGGGGAGGAGTGGCAGCAATCATCCACTCAAATCTATTAATTAACCAGAGACCAAAACTTAGTTNAAAACAGCAACAAGGTCCCTGACAGGAGACAGTGTCAAGATGATCGTGTTGTGGATTACATTGCTTGTTCTTCATCAAGGACGTGAGTGCTTTCTAATTTTTACATGATGTTGTTATCAGGTGGATTTCCTACATCATTGTAACTTACTGTCTTATATGTTTTGCGTTTCCTTTTAATTCAGATACACTCATTCCAGTGATCCCAGTTCAACTTGGTGAATCTACAACGTTCACATGTGATCTGTCTAATACTTATATCAGCCGAGTAGAAGTCAGCTGGTACAAGCAGAGTGTTGGAGATAATCTGAAACTAATTGTGAATCTGCGGGAACATACAACACCTCAGTTTGCACCAGAGTTTCCTAACTCAAGATGGAAAGTTAACATTCATGACAATTTTACCAACCTGACTATTTTGAAGACAATCCAAGAGGACGAGGGAATCTATCACTGTGCAGTCATCGAGCGGTTTGTCTTTTCTAAATGGAGTGCAACATCTTTGATAGTAAAAGGTAATAAATGAGCTACTTTCATCATGTTTTGCAAACGCTTCAACCACTAAAGCTCTACTGTATACATGTTGAAGAGTAACTACACTGAATATGTTTTGAAAACTCATGAAACATGTTTCAATCTAATTACATTTACATTTATTATGAATTTCATCTAATTTCCAAATGCTACTTCAACCACTGATCCAAGTGAAGTATATTCATAATACTTGTTCATATGAGTTTGATGTAAAACTACTAAAGTCACAGTTGAGGTTTTTCTCAGACTTTCAAAATGTGCTTTGAAGTGTCGACATCCTGTTAACACTTTGTTCATTACACAGGAGACACACAGGGACAGATACTGTTTGGAAATGGAACCACGCCGACTAATGGTATGATTTTATGTTCTGTACTGAAGATATACAAAACATGTTAATGACATCATTAGTAAGAAGTCCTCTTTTCCTTCAGAAGCAATTCATTTTTGTATTTCTTTGTTTTCTAGCACAAACTGCCCGTTCTGAAATAATTGCACTGGTGGTGGTAATAATCTGCTTGGCCATTTCTGTGATTGTAAATATTGTTTTCATCTGTTACCGAAATCCAAGATCAGCACGAGAACAATTCACAGGTAAGAGTTGTTTGAGTCACATTCTACACAGCAGTGATTTTACTCAAAAAGTTTTAAACATCTGGCCTAATGTAATAGATCTTTGTAGATGAATATTAATAATTCATATTAGGACACTGTATTGTTGACAATGACAAATTACATTTGTTCATTCCGCGGTGGATCCTAATAGAATCAGATAAAGAACATAATATTCTTGTTTTTCATTCGTCATGAGGAACAGAATTCAGCTCATCACAAGCAAGACATGACAACGTGAGCCAACCGGTGCTTGATGCTGTAAGTAATGATACTAAACTACATTAATTATAGTTATTTCATTAATGATTCCCAGCTGCTCAATATAACAGTATGATTTTATAATGATCCTTTGGTTTTCTGCTCAGTGTGAAGGTGGACAGGATCTGAACTATGCTGCGCTGCATTTCTCTGGAAGGAAAGCTGCACGAGGGAAAAAGAAGACGGAGTTGAAGACTGAAGAAAGTGTGTATTCTCAAGTTAAATGCCAAATGTGAATGTATCAGTGAAAAATTTTAGATTTGTTTACAGTCCTGATCTCTTGCAATGAAAATAAATCAATGCAAATTCTCAGTTTTATAAAAAGCAACCTGTTTATTGATAACAGACAAAATCTCTTCGATCCCATCTGTGTGCTGATGTCTCACTTGTAAAATGGACCTACAGATGCTGACAAAGCAGCCTGTTAGTCGACTGCTCCCCCTTTTTTTTTTCTTTTTTTTTGCAAGGGAGATTTTTGCAAGTTGTATATTTTTTTCATTTTAATGGTCTGCCTCAGTGAGAATTTCATTGGGCTGATAATTAACCTGTTAAAGGCAGTTTGAAGTGTTCACTAACACAAACTAGCAGTTTGAGTTTAGGCTATACTATCCAATTTCCATCTTTTACACAGAACAGCAGTGACTAAATGACATGATGTTTTTAGTGGTTGCTGTCCCATCAATTGAGAAAAAGCAACCTCAATTCAAAAATCATGTTTCATAACTAGACCATAAGCAGTTGTCCCCCCTGATCTTTTAAAATCATATATAATCTTTGTTCATTTACACGATGCAAGCAAAGATATTGTTCATTTGAAATACTTTAACTTGTCAGTTTTGGCAATATTCCCAGATGGCTGATTTTTGTACCTTTTTGTTTTTTTGGAATGAGCCTTACGTGCACCACACACACACCTCTGCATGTATATCAGCAATGATCACAGTCCACTGAAAATTTTTAACATTACATCCTTTTATTTAAATAGAACAAAAACTCTAACACAATACTCTTTTAATGACCATGGCAGTGTTGAGTTTCCATTGATTCCTATAACTTCCTTTCTTATGATGGAATGATTGAAACATGTCTTTGTCACAATCAACCATGCATTTAGGTTCTTGAATAAATTTAGTATATGCCCAAAAACACCAAACTTACCCTCAAGCATGGTGGTGGCAGTATTATGCTCTGAGGCTGTTATGCTGCCAGTGGAACTGATGCTTTACACAAAGTGATTTTTTTTAATGAAGCAGGAGCAATATGTCCTCATTCTTCAGGTAAACCCAAAATCCTTTGGCACTGGGATTGGTCCACCTGTAAATCATATACTCGCTCCATAAAGGCCAAACTCAGACCAATACTTGATGCCAGTCTGTTCTTGCTTGCTCCATGCTCTGTGTTAACCAGTATTTTCCTCTGCCTCAGTTCTGCAAAACTCCCTGCCTGAGTTAAACCCACAAAAAGAATAACAGCATCATTAAAATGAGTGACAAAATGAGTAGAAGGAGAGATGCTCTTCAAAGCCCTGTAAAAAATCTGTGTAACACAAAGTGCACTTTAGAATCTTTAATCTGTGACAACCAATCAGATGCATTTGTCAGTGTGACATAGAGGGTCTTGGCCAAGTCACATCACCTCCTACACTCATTAAAACAGCAACAAGGTCCCTGACAGGAGACAGTGTCAAGATGATCGTGTTGTGGATTACATTGCTTGTTCTTCATCAAGGACGTGAGTGCTTTCTCATTTTTTCATGACATTTTTGTATGTATTGTCATTTACTGTCTTGTGTATTTTCTCTTTTCTTTCAGTTCAGATATACTAGTTTCAGTGATCCCAGTTCAACTTTGTGAATAAGACAATCAGTTTCAGAAGAGGTGGTTCACCCACTAAAGCTGTACCGTGTAAATGTTTAGAAAAATTGTCATTGAGCATGTTTTGAAAATTTGCTACACTATCCTTTAAAAATCAATTATTTGTGTTTATGTCATCCACTTATTTCCAATTGTTGACTCTGATACTTTCAAAATGTCCTTTGCAGTCTCTAAACAGTTTGTTCATTACACAGGAGACAGTCACAAGACATCAGACTACACTGTTGTTCAGCAGACGACAGAATCAGATTCAGACCATCCAGGAGAACCAGAGACTCTCCAGTGTTCAGTCTTGTCTGACTCTGAGAACAAAACATGTTCAGGAGATCTGAGTGTGTTCTGGTTCAGAACTGGATCAGATAAATCTCATCCAGACATCATCTACACTGATGGAAACAGACATGATGGATGTGAGAAGAGATCTGACAATCAGAAGAGCTGTGTTTATCACTTCTCTAAGACCTTCAGCTCCTCTGATGCTGGGACTTACTACTGTGCTGTGGCCACATGTGGACAGATACTGTTTGGAAATGGAACCACACTGACTAATGGTATGATTTTATGTTCTGTACTGAAGATATACAAAACATGTTAATGGCATAATTAGTAAGAAGTTTCTTCTCGTTCAGAAGCTATTCATTTTTTTGTATTTCTTTGTTTTCTAGCTCTTCACAAACGACATGATCAGAAGTGATGGTACTGGTGATAGCAATAATCTGCTTGACCATTTCTGGGATTGTAACTATTTTAATCTGTTACTGAACTCCAAGAGCAGCACGAGAACAGTTCACAATGAAGTGTTGTTTGAGTTTAGCGTTTAACATTGCTGTAGTTTTAGTGTAAAAGTTTTAACCATTAGGCCTAATTTAATCTTTGTGAATAAATAATATCAATTCTTATGCACATGTTTCTTGTATTTTGTCATACATTGTGCTTGTTCTATGTGCACCCATTTACATTTGGCCTATACCATGTCAGTAATTGAAAGGAAAAATATTAAATTGATATTACGTTTGTTCAGTCAGCTGTGGATCCTAATTGAATGCCAGACTAAGGACATAATCTTGTTTTTAATCATTGTTAGGAATACCATTCACTTCGTCACAAGCAAGACAAGACAACTTAGACCAACTAGTGTTTGATACCAAATTGCATTATTTATGTTTTTTTCATTATTATGATTTCCAGCAGCTCAATATAACTGTATGATCATGTAAATATGCAAATAACGTGTATGCACACAGACACACACCCATACTCTCTTGCACATCATAACAACACACACACACACTCACTCACACTCTTGCACAATGTACACCGCACTTTGGCATCAAAATAATAAATGCTGCCCAGGTACTGTGGATACTTTGAAGCCCAGACTGAGGTGAGCAAATGAGACAAAGCTGGATAATGTAGCTACATTGAATGATGGAAAGGAGGGCTGAAATCCATTATGGAAGGAGTGAAGGGAACACCAGGCGGTCCAGTAGGATGACTGGGTGTGACACTGTTTATGGCAGCTTCGTGGAAGAAGCAGATAAGCTTTGCAATGGTGGGGTTTACATGCGGAAACGTGGCAGAAAATAGAGGCACAAGCATAGGGTCCATCACTGCAAGAGAAGCCAAGGTTCTGTAGTTTTCCAGCTGATGGAAGAAGACTGTTTTCAAGAGTAGCCTTGTACATGACCTGGTTCATTCACCATTCACACAAATGCATTTGCCCTGTTCAACCCCAGATTATCCCTGATCCACCCCCATGTTTTACTGTAAGAACCAGACAATCTGGTCTGTAGGCTTCTCCAGGATTCCTCCTAACCAGTAAGTTGGCTGGAGTGGGCATCAACTGAAAATTGGATCCATCACTGTAGAGAACCTTAGCCCAATCACCAGCAGTCCAATCCTTGTGATCCCCAGCAAAGAATATCGGGGCTTTCCTCTGCCTTTTATTGATGGAGGGCTTCTTCTGTGTCTTATGTGACTTCAGACCAGCTTCAAGAAGTCGGTTTCAAACTGTCCTTACCGAACAAGTCACATTTCTCGACAATGCCCACATTATTATGTAATCAGTTGCATTTTTTGTCGCTTTCATTGTATTATGCAGGTAATATACCTTTATTGGTACCAGGCATTAAAATAAACAAGAAATTGAAAAAACAAGGGTGGTCTAAGAATTTTTTCCATGATTGTATGTCAGTAATCACCCATTGTTGGACTGAATGCTGTCTATTTGAACATTTTATTAGATCACCCAACCCTAAGCACAAGATCTAAATTATTAGCTACGTTTTCCTTGTTGCCACTTAGTTGTCATATAGTTACTGTTTGAGGACACCTCAAACTTGAATTTAGCATCACCTCTTGATCACTGCTAAAATTTAGCTTCACAAACTTGGAACAGGGAAAATAAAAGCAGAACCCATGACTACTGTCACCAACACCCTACCTTAGGTAACCCCACAGGTTACCTGGGCTCCGCTTCCACTGAAGTTCCTGAATAATTCCATCTAGATAAAAATTCAACCGACATGTCATCCAGCTAAAAGTCTTTAGTTTAAATAAAACACTGAAGTCCAGTTATTCTAGCGTACACATGATGAAGCTGAAGTAAAAAGTGTAAATCTTTCACTGGTGCACTGATTGTCCTCATCCTACACATAAATGAATATTCACCAGAGTGCCTAATACAATATGAAGAACAAGGTACATGTATTTTCTCTTTAATGACAGGGAAATATTTTCTTGCATAATATATATGTATTTCAGTTTATGAATGGATAATAAAATCTGATCAGATCAATCAATCCGATAAGATGTAACAGTGGTAAAAATATTTAAACAATAGTAAAATCATACTATTTTTTCATTTCAATTTAAACAACCAGCATGAAAAAATGCATTATGTACTATCTCTATCCAAATCTATGTCATATGGCTATTCACAACAACATCACAGCAAAAATACGTCTATGCAATACATTTTCTATCACGTTTTATCTTATTTTATTTACCTCAATAGGATTAACATGCTGCATGTACATATTATGCTGATGTTCATTCTTCTTGGCGACTGAGCTTCACAGGTATTCTCTCGTGTCAGAGTACATACAGTCCTCTGCTAACTCCCTCGTATTCTTCTTCCATCTTTTAGTTTTTCTTGATGAGAAATCCAGTGCAGCATAGTTCACTCCGACCTCATCACCATCCTTCAAATGAATAATAGTAGAGATTTGAGTTGCAATATTATCACCAATTAATTTAATTTAATTTAATTTAAACATGTTTCCAATATACATTAAATGCTATGTCCTCTAGTGTGCAATAAGTAGGTAAAAGGCAAGAAAAAATTGTAAATGTAAAATGATGGCTATATGTTTGGGAGTAACATAATAAGGACATTAATGCATGTATATGGCAAGTCGTAAAAATGCTAATATCAAAATGACAAAAAGTCCCCTAGCGGCTGGAGTCTTTGTGACTCGTGTCTGCTGTTGTGAAAGAGCAACAAAGTGTGAGGACTAATAGTACACGCATCTAATGCCTGTCTTCAGGGCAAGAAACAAAAGAAATCTGTATCTTTGTGCCCCAAAACATAACAAATCAACATCTTAAGCACGTCAGTAGAAAGAGAATTAGACTTTACTTTTAGGTTGTTGAAGACTTTTCACCACCCCGCTAAGACACTACCTCACATCTAAGTGACTGATGGGGAGTTCCAGATTTGCCTATCGTCACCCCCAAATCACATAACAATGGCTTGTTAATGAGCTACGACTCAAGTGCCTCATGGTGTATATGGCAGTGTAACGGCCAGGTCAGGGCTGACTCATGATGAATGGTGGTGAAACTTTCTGGGGAAAGATCTCAAGAGTGCATTATGAGTGCCTGGTAGGTGGTGTTGTAAACCCTCTTTACTGTTTAGAGGTGGTTGTTCCAGTTTAACATAGATTTCCTCTATCACTTCTCTCTCAAACCATCTGCCTTCTCTGTCCTTAATGTGAACATTGTTGTCTTCAGAAAACTATCCCTTGTGCTTGAGATGCACATAGACAGCTGAGTCTTGTTCTGAGGAAATTGATTTTCTGTGTTTTTCAGTGTTTTGTTGACCCATAGATATACTCCAACCTTCCTTGTGAACGTTTTCTGTTTCTTTCTAACTGACTTCTTCCATTAATCCCGGCAGAAAAAAAAAAAAATCATCATGGCAGTTAGAAGACGTAGTTACTTGAACATGAACAGTGTTGTTTTGTTCTCTGTGCTTAAATCACTGATGGTGTTACAAGACCACTTCCTGTTTCAGACCAACAGTGATTGCGGTTGTTTCTACACCACTTGGTTTTTATTGTAATCTTAATGATGAAGGGCCCTTAACACTAATAAAGTAATGTTTTAACACTAAACAACAATAGTTCCTGAGCCCCAGCAAACCTGTTTTTCTGCCTGGCTCTAGGAAAACCTGTACCGATGTACCACTGTACAGATGTGAACATTTAACTGTGTCGCTATGGAAAGAACTAACAACCTAATTTTAAGGGTGTGTTGGATAGATGACAGCTGTGATTGGTTACAGCACCAGAATCAGTTCAGGGGTCATTCTTTGATTTTCACTCTCTGTTCCTGTACCTCCCTGTATTTTACCAGAAGCTAACTCATCATCCAATTGTTAGGAGATGTGATGCCTCTTACACAAAATGCACAGCATGTCAGTTCTGTGTTTCAATCCAAAAAATCAGCATTCCCTGTGTCATCCACAGTATTTCTCCAATGTATAATAGTCACATATGGTATGGTGATTTAAGTCTAGTCATGCATTTGATCATATTTGAGGTATATTTACCACATTGTTCGGTTGAGCCGAGGCTGATGTGTCCAGTTCAGCATGATTGGAAGCTGGTACTTCTCCTGTTCATAAAAATAAGACGTTAATTTCAATAATCTCAGTGACTGTCATTTTATTTTAACATTTGTGCACTCAGAACTTTCTTAAAAACACTATACTAATACTAACTAGTGCCTCGTATTACTCTTAAAGCCACCTGTTTCTGTTCTCAGCTCTGCCATTGTAGTCTATCCTCCGTAATGCTGAGCATGTTGCGCTTTCTAAGAGGTTCTTCTGCTAAAGAGTTGTAAATGTTGGTGTTTTGAGTTCCTGTAGTGTTTCTGTTAGTTCCAGCCAGTCTGGTTGGTCACTTCTGACCTCTCTCTTCAGCAAGGTATTTCTGTCCTTAAGCTCAATAAACTGATATGACGGAAATCCCATTAGATCAGCAGTTTTATATTCAAATCCGTGTGTTTGACACCAGCAACACGCCACATTCAGTCACTGAACTCATCGTGTGCACTATGCTCTTTGGTGTGAACATTAGCTGAAACCCTTGATGTATATCTGCATGATTTCAAAGATTGCACTGCTGCCACATGACCTACAGATTGGATAAATGCATAAATAAGTGTGCAGGTGATCTTGACTGTGTGTTGTATGCATAATAAACCTACCTTTGCAATGTTTGCAAACTTGCTTTTTTTTTCTGGTGAAAATCAGGGCACAGTTCACAAGCAGTGAGGAGGCCAGTAATGTCCCGGTCACGATGACAAGTGGAAACAGTTCTTGTTCTGTAATTAGAAAACATTCCAAAGAGACACTTAATATCTTCATTGCTTTTAATTCATTACTAACTGTTGTCAGCATCTGCAAAATTGACTGCGAGCCTGGTCATTAAGTAAGTTTTATAAAGATAGTTTTCATTGATTATAGCTGTTCGATCTCTAAAGGCCTATTCTTGCTTTTCGCATCCGTGTGCACAGACTGATGCAGGCTTTGAAAGCAGCTAGGGGATGGTGCATGCAGTTAAAAAAAGTGCAAATCATAGGTACCTTTCAGGAGCCTTAAGAAATAAACTCAGACATTGTTCTAAGAAAATTGTTAAGAGCAAAACCATTTTGGACCGCAAACAACCTTGACTAAGAGTTGTGCTTTTTGAGCCACCGAAGCCGCATGATACTCAGCTGATGGCTGAATCATCAAAAAAGATGCATCCCTTCATGTTTTGTTTAGTAACACCATCATTTTGAAAATTTTAATTTGTCCCTAACTGTGGTTTATGACTAAGAATGACTGAACACAAACACACTAAACACCAGCATGTTAGTATTTAGTTTGAAACATCAGTATGCTACAGCTTCAGAGGCTTGAAGCAGGACGGTTCAGTTTATCCTCCACAGACCTTAGACACTGAAACAAATCTCACACAGTTAATGTGTTTAAACTATTCTTTTCCACCTCAATTTTAAAAGAATACATACATTAAATCAATAATTGAGTCATAATAGGGCTGCAAGGTGGCGCAGTTGGTAGCACTGTTGCCTCGCAGCAACAAGGTCACCGGTTCGCGTCCCGGTGGGGGCACCGGGATCTTTCTGTGTGGAGTTTGCATGTTCTCCCCGTGCAGCGTGGGTTCTCTCCGGGTTCTCCGGCTTCCTCCCACACAGTCCAAAAACATGTTGAGGTTAATTGGTGATTCTAAATTGTCTGTAGGTGTGAACGTGAGTGTGCTTGGTTGTCTGTCTCTAAGTGTAGCCCTGTGATAGACTGGTGACCTGTCCAGGGTGTCCCCTGCCTTCGCCCTAAGTCAGCTGGGATAGACTCCAGCCCCTCCCGCGACCCTTGTGAGGATTAAGCGGTGTATAGATGATGGATGGATGGATTGAGTCATAATTGATCAGGGGATTTTAAAAAACTGTCATTATCAAAAACGTTGCAATTCTGCTGAAGTCAACCTTGCTTTTGTATATTATTTCAAAAATAATATACCACAGAGGTGATACAATAGGAATTCAGGTCTCACTAATGCGTCAAAAGATTGTGGATTCAGTGCTAATTTATTGTTAAAGTATAGTTTGTTTCATATTCCATTTAGATTGTATAGTCCACGAAGGTCACATGTTAACAACATCACACAACAAAAATGATTGTAGAAACTGCACAAGAGAACATGAATAGAAGCAGAGGCCTCGGTGTGACAAAGGGCAGTGCAGGAAATGTCAAGAAAACGAATGCAAAAGAACACAGAAAGAACAAAGAGAGGAAGGATGGCGGAGGCAGCAGAGACGAGACCTCCTTATGTAACCTGCAAACTGCATACACTAGTTCACTGGTTTCCAGCCGTTATGATTTCTGGCCCTTTCAAACAATACAAGGTTGAATTACAGCCTTGATTTACAGGTTATATAGAATACTTGTAACTTTAAACACTTGGCTCAAATCTTAGGAATCCATTTTTGAAGGCCTGAAGAGATTTTTATAAAACGTAGTAAAGGACTGAGATGTTTATACTTGGTGATCATCTTATATCCTCTCATATTTACAGAAGTTAGAAATCAGAATACATCTATTATAGTTTAAAAACTTTTAAAAACATACTTGTCTCCACTTGAGTTCCTTCACCAAACAGGATCTGTCCACACGTGGCCACAGCACAGTAGTAAGTTCCAGCATCTGAGGACTCTCTTATGGTTTTGGACAGACGGTAGTCGCAGCTCCTTCCCTCCTGTCCATCACTGCAGGTACTGTCAGTGTAAATGATGCCCGGATTGGATTCTGATCCAGCTCTGAACCAGTGCACACGGCGTTCACCTGGACACCGACTCTTGTTTTCTTCCTTCTTGTAGACAAGTGAACACCTCAGAGTCACAGAATTTCCCAGCTGGACCGACTCCACATCTGGACTTTGTTTCACGTAGACCGATTTCTTCTGGTTTTTAGGATCTGTGTGATTCACATGAAATGAAAAAAAAGAACTATAGTTGTTTTGTTGATGACACAGATATAGAAAATTAAATAAAATGAATATGGTTTACCATTCACAGCCAAAAGTGTGCCATTGAAAAACACCATTGATATTGAAGATCCTCCTTGACAGAGGTATGTTGCTTCATCTTCTTTTCTTACATTTCTTATGGTCAGAAAATACACATCACGCAGTTTTGTGAAATTGAATCTTGAGCTGTTAAAGGGATATTCAAGTGTTGTTCTGTCCAAATATCCTACAGCAACCCTTTGAAACATATTTCCAAAATTCAGCTTGTGCCAGAACAAAAACCTGGGTTGATCCCCAGAGACTGAACATGTCAGAGTCACGTTATCTCCAAGGTCAGCGACAGTCAACGAGATCCGGTGAGAAAACTCATGGCTTTGAATCAGAGCTGAAGAAACAGACAATAGCAGAAGTTACAACATGACAGAACAAAACATTTTTTTAAAAGTCAAAACTAAATCTAAAAATTGTACACACATAGTTAAAAAACTGTTTACAGCTGTTCTGGTCTTACAATACACAAGAAGTAAACTCACACAGAAAAATCAAACCAACGCATCTTGCGATCATTGTGGCACATCACACTACTGTTGCACAACTGTTGTCTGAAATGGAAGATTTAGTCACAAGGTGCTCAAAGGATTTACAAAGAGGAAACTGTAGCGATTGGCTGAAACACAGAAAATATGCTTCCTGTGCAATTTTTTACACCACTGGCCCATTTTCACTGTATCTGAGCTGTACTGTCATTTTATTTTATTTTTTCACTGATCAATAAGGATTCTGAAGCAACATTTAAACAATATATGACATATGATTTACTTTACTCTATGTATGTAATTACACAGCAAAGTTTTATATTTGTGAAAAAAACACAATTGCATTAAAGAAAATGTGTTTTACAACTTTATGTTTTAGGTTCTTTGTGATGTCTAGAAGCACATGGTGATGAGCAAGTTTTAGATCCAACACCACTCAATCAGTAACAACAGATGTCTGCTTTCATTATGTCTTATCAAGGCAAAACAATTAATTAATTGCATATTTTTGCAACTTTAAAGAACAATTTTATATCAAAGACAGCAAAGGAATAAATTTAAAATCAAGATAGATTGAAATGAAGGTTTGGTTGGTGTTCCTATCAATTTCACCTTCCTATATCAGTGATTATTTAATTTTATGGCCAAAATACCACCTGATTTGGATGTTGTACAATTATCAATTATCAGGTAATGAACAGGCTGATAACGTCTAAATTGGGTAACCCTAACCCTAGATATTTATGTGTTTTGCGAGTTGCATTCACAAATGCAGATGGCCAATAAAGTAGTTTGTCATCTCTTGTCTCTCACAGTTTTGAGGAAGCAGTTTACTTACTCTGCCCCGTATTGGACAGTTGCTTTCTGATGTAGCCACCGTGCTACGCGTGACAGAGGCGTCGCAGAGTTTGTTCGAATAATAAGTTTGCTCTCTGTTTTTTTTTTTTCTTTAATTAACTTGGTATGTTTTGCTGAAGCTGTGTCAGCACAATAATTAGGTATGAAATTAAATAACAAAAGTGCAGACAGTTTTAATTAACAGTTACAACTACCGAGAAAATAAACACAGCTGCAACCAAAACTGGAAAACTACTTATAACTGAGTGAATCAGGTGGATGATGACTGAAAAATGGGGGGGGGGGGTTCATTTTCAGTTTCACACAGAGGAGAATCCACCATATATGTCGGTCTCCATTTAAGTAAATTCATGGAAGTTGGAAAGGTTTTATTAAAATACAATATATATATTTAGTCTTCCATATGCTAAAGCCCTGACCTGTAACCTATGTAGTCTGTGTGTTTATTTTTAGTTAAATAGACTTTATATCTTTATATCAAGATTTTAAACTGCACTCACCCTTACAACCATCCTGTTGGTTTGTGGAGAACTGGTCACCTCTGATCAGCGTCTCTACTCATCAATCTACACTCATCTTATAGAGCGGTGTAGTAAACAGCTCTGCCATCCTGTGTTTTCGTGTCTGTGGGGATCCAAATGATTATAAGCCGAGACTATTCGCATGAATCTGAGCTTTTCTCAGCTTACCCTTCGTGCTTCTGGTCCCCTCCTGTAACTCCATGTCTCATTCACACTGAAAAACTGCTGATCGCTGTCCCACCACGTGCCCCGATAGTGAAAGGATTTTGTATTATTGTTCCAAAACCCCCTGGATGAATAAGGTTTGTTTTTGAATTTCGTCTTGTTGGCCGTTATCTCGGTGTGAATTTGTGAAATTATTTATTATCATTATTACTAGACATGCCAAAATGTCCACTTTGGGGAAAATATAGAAGCTGCATCACATGTTGTCGAAATACCAATTTATGCTTGTAGAATTGTATCACAAAGACGGTTTCTGTTGAGGATTCCTTTTGAAACTGTGAGAAATGAGCACAAGCATGTGTGATACCCGTTCTTCCTCAGACCAAGAAGCACGTCAGGTAGCCGACCGTGTGCTTTGATGATGAAAGCTTGTTGTAAGCATGCCTATCGGTGGGTCTCACCACTTCAGAGCACACATCACTCTTCTCATCTCAGGAACTAAGACAGAGACCAGATGCTGCCTACATGTTACACAACAGAGCTGACTTGAGAAATAAAAATCATAGCACTGGTGTATAGTGTTTAACCTGGTATTTGCAATGTCCTTGTCATGATTTACCGTGGAAGTGCCGATCAGAGAGTTTACTCTGATCTGGAATTCCAAATTACACTTACAATTGAGTGTCTAAAGAAATTGGTAATTAAGTTTTGAGTAGTTAATTTTTAATTTTTAATTAAAAAAAAAAATGCATAAGGCAGCACTTTTAACATGTTGGCACTTGAGTGAAAATAGAACACTCTCTAGTTGTTACTGTGGGTATACAAGCAAAATCTGTTTGGTGACTCTCTGAAACCAGCAAAAAATATGACATACAGACAAGATAAATATGAAGAAGTAGCTTCTTTTATCTATATTCAATATATAAAGAGCACTTGGATGAGGAAGGTAAATGGTAACAGTGCAAGCAGTGCAATGTAAAAGGTCATGCACAATGAATTAGATGGTTTTTGCTGCATAAATGCAGCATAAAAACAAGTCAGAAGCAGGTAGAGGTAGCATCCTTTATGTAAATAAAAACATTTTTAAAAATCTTGTGCAAAGCAGGTAGACTATAACAGTGCAGATGAAATTAGAATGCACAACATACTTACTTTAATACAATGTGTTTGGATGACTTCATATTGTAAATGTTATATGCATTTTATGTGATAAAGCGCTGAAGTGCTTTAGCAGCAGTGGAGGCGTGAGAACTTTTATTATTAACAGCCACTGTATGGGAGGATGTGTGTGTCAGTGTATCCGTCTGGGGGAGGGGGTGGTGGACGCTACAGCTCTGTCTGCCCTTTAATCACACAAACTATTTCTATATTGCTTAAATTGTCAAAGGATCACAAACACTCGTGTGTGGTTCACTTGGAGTGTTCCTTGTAATGTTTGTATGCAATAACAGCACAAACAGCACGCAAAGTGAACCTGCTCATGGACGGAAATTGTTTCTTTCAGACATGAGAACAACACGTAACTCAGATGCAACTGATCGCAGGTCTTTTTTCACAGTGAAGCTCTGTGGTGTTTGTACGTCACTGCCTGCGAAGAGAAGCCACACGTGGTAGCTGAGCCGTGACACGAAGGCTGTGGCTGCCCATTTCTCTGCTTCTGACAAACCGCCAAGCATGCTTACTCAGAATGTACATGACTTTGGGCATCAACAGGATATGTAGCTAGTGCACAAGAAGCATCCGCAGGTTAAATTTAGCAGAAACTGTTAAGATGACAGTCTTCCTGGATATGGACTTGTTTAGTGCAAAACAGTGTACCAAAATAGCCACCGATATTTAACCACTTAGCAACCATATCTGTTTTTAGTAGTGAGTTGTAAACCAGCTCGTTGCCTTGTTCAGTTTTAAAATCCTTTTACTTAAGGTCATGAAGTCATCTCGTACCGTTATATATGTAACACTGAAGGTTTACATGATCAAAGTTGTAAATTTCAAATACAGCTTTGCAGACCGCCACGTTTGACTTGTGCGTAACCGAGTAGATAAAGGAGGAGACATGAAAAACAAACAACCAAAAAACTTTAAAAAAAAACAATCTTCAAACCAATCAACCACACATCTGATTGAAGTGAACACACTTTGACTTCTATTTCTGTAACTCAGGTTTATTTCTATAGTCCAATACCACAAACTTCACTCAAGTGGCTTCAAAGTTTGTACAGAATATAACACCTGCAGCCCATTGACTTTTAGTTCTTATAACGGATGAACTCCATGACACAGGAAAATACCCACAATGCCATGGCTACCCTTTCTGAGACATTAAAATGGGCTCTCATGTTGATACAGGAAAAATGGTGGATGAAAGGAAGCTGGCGTCAAAAGAAAAATGAATTCACTTTCTGACACGTCCAGCTTATCTGTCGTCTTGTCAGCATCTCGGCCCTTTTCTGCGTCAGAGCTCTCTCTTTTGTATTTGTTCTTTCCATGTTTTTGCTTCTCTTTTGCATTTTTGATCATCTCTGTTCTGCTCCTTGTGCTTTTGGTTTTTCTCAATTATTGTATTTTTTAGCAGCTTTGATCAATGCTCACTTTTTTATTTCATTTTATTCCAGTCGTCTGTGTCGGCATTTTTTTTTTTCCACTTATAGAAAAGATTGTAACTTGGCTTGACCTCGGACAAGTCTGACACGAGAACGCCCCAGTTTATTATTTTTAAAGAGCACACCACAGCCACCAAGCAGCAGCTACCACAGCCTGCTATGTGGGGCGTTTAGGGAGCATCAGTGAATCATAGTGTCTATCGATAAGAAAATGTTCAGCAAGTCATATGTTTTGTGTGTGAGCAGGTGGGAGGAGCAACAAAATGAGAAAGTGGGTCGTACTGGTGCTACCAGTGAAAAAGTTAGTCTAGAGCTCTGAATAGTGTTTTGTTTTTTTTTCATTATTCATGTTGTGTGTTTTGAGTTTGTACAGATCCTGTAAATACTGATGAAAGTTTGATGAATGGTTTTGAAATTTAGTTCTGGTAAGTCTTAAAAATGTTAAATTAGATTTTGATTAGCATTCCTGTGAATAGTTGTGCCTGGTGTTACTCTTATTCTCATTTAAATTGAAAGGTCATTTGCAGACTGGAACCCCCCCACCACCACCACCACCACCACCAAAAATTTTCACCAGCCTCCACTGCTTTTTAATCATGTTTAAGAAAGGTGTTACATAAATAAAGTTTATTATTTTCTATTATTAAAAACAGGCCTTTGAGGGACAATTCAATAAGTTCAGCACCTTTTACAAACGTGGTTGGAACCACTCACTAAGCAGCACTTCCCCTTTACAAAGATGAAGAGAACAGCGTCCCCGATTACTGCAACAGAAACCCTCGAAGCACAACTGTGTGTCTGTACGTTGTTACTGCAGAAACAATAATGCAGTTTTATGCCACTCGTTTCACTGGAAAAGGCTGCAAAAGGTGTTAGGACCGCTGCCCTGAAACTAAAACTGACAAACAAGACAGAAAAAAAGGACCCCATGTGGATTCACACCTCATATCGACCACACGACCACACTACTTTTTCCATCCATCACTGTTTGCGTCTCACGCTGCGTGTGAAACGTCAACCGAAGGCTCTAGTGAGAGTTATTACATGTCTTCCATTAAATGACTCAGCCTAAACAGACATATAGATAAAAGCAGCCATGTAGACCTCAAAATCCAGGATTTCGTTAACATCCACTGCAGGTAGACATGAAGCTGAACAGAGTCGATGGGATGCAGCAGAAAGTGTGAGTCAAACTCAAGCTAACAACTAAACCAACTTATGCGTCATAAGTCTGAGCCCACTCACTCCCCTGTGCTAAACCCATTTGTCATTTAGTTTCAATATAAATAACTTAGTTGGGTTGTCTTTTGCGGTGTGACTTTTTTTTTGTACTTTCCAGAATTAAAACACCTGTAAGACCACAACTAGTGTTCTTATAGCTACTACAGATCATGACTGTGGTAACTGGCTGCTTTCTAATAAAGGCACAACTGATTTAATCTAACTAAAATATTCATCTGGTTGTTGTTCAGTTGAGAACAGCCCAGTCCCAACATGTTGAAGCGGCAGTGACACGTACTCTGATGCCACCTAGTGAGAAGTTGTTAATAACCTGTGTTGCAATGTCTCAGTGTTTTTGCATAGAAGTTGCTATTGTTTGCTGTGTTGCATGTAAATTCTCCTTTTTACTGTAACCTTCATGTTTTCTATAAGTGTGCAGCAGCGTTAATGGTTCATTTCAAAGCCTGGTCCACCTTAAATCTGATTAGGCTGAATAGGCAGCAGGTGTGGCTCCTCTGTTTACCAGGTGATAATAAAGATACTGCTGCTCTTCACTTGGGTGTGTCGAGAGGTTTATGTATTTATGGAGAAACTCATGGTAAAAAAAAAAAAAAGAAAACCCTGTGTACACGTGGTGAAAAAGTCAAACTCTGACTACTTGCAACTGCATTTGACACTAGTTATTTGATGTTGTAGATTTGTTTGTGTCTTTGTGGTGGTCTGTTAATTGCACTTACATGTTGGCTAATGGGTCCAAGAAGCATTATAAATGCAAACTGGATGTTGCATGTTTGGAAAAGTGCCCATACAGGTTCACTGCTGATGCCTGAAGAGACGATCTGACAAACTGGCCAGAGAGCAGAGTTCGGTTGTTCCTTTATTAAGAGTACACACTGTTGCCCATAAAGTTGGAATGATTTTTGTTATCAGACACATTCCTCCTTTTATTCCTATTTATACACATCAATAATCACTTTGACCAGGTGCAATGATTACATACTGAATCCCAGTTACCAGGTGAAACTAATTCTGACTTTGGGATCTGACCGAGGAGTAGGACGTCCTGCCCATTGACACCATCAACAAGCTGGTGGACAGTACGCCACCATGTCTTAAAGCATTGATCTGTGTCAGGGGTGGCCATACTTAGTGACTGAGTGGCAATTGAAAGAATAATTTTAGACATTCTAATGCATGAATTTCCCTCGAATGTGTGTTTCCTGTTAAAGGGACCAACGTTGAAAAACTGAAACAAAACCCTTAATCTGTTTGTGAAATACCCCCAATTTTGTTTAAGCCTGAATACACCGTTTGCAAAAGTTAATTGTGGTTTAATTTTTATTGACATGTTTTGTATGTTTATTGTGATATGAATACAGTTTTGCAAAGATATACACTTTATCAAGAATAAATCGCATTGTCACAATCATTCCATAAGAAGAGGTAAAAAAAATATTTTATTCTAACTTTATGGGTGACAGTGTGTGTGTGTGCGTGTGTGTGTGTGTGTGTGTGCGTGTGTATGTGTGTGTGTAATTGCATTGATATACATATATGTGTGTATATATGTATGTTTGTATGTATACATATGTATGTAGTGGGAGCATCTGTGGTATTTCCAGATAGCTCTTGAACTCACCATCCCAGAACTAGGTAGACTCCTCCCATGGCCCCGCCCCTGATTGAGGGTATTGAAAGCACCTGTTACATCATGGCTGCCCTTTTGTCTCTGCTTGAGTGCCACATGGGCTCCTTTGTGACTCTGAGGAAGGTGTTGTAGTCAAGATTGTTTGAAAGGTTTTGACTGTTTCAAAGTTTATGAATTCATATGCACATGATGATAACGTGCATTTGTTTGACAGTCTTGTTGCCTCATATTGGTGTCTGCTTGGCTGAGGTTTGCGATGCCAAGGTGCCTTGGCATAATGTGGATGTTGCCGATTCCCCTCAAGTCTACATAACAAAGACAGTTATACCAAGGCGTGCCTTATTTTGTGCAGCAGTTAACAAGAGTGTGACAGTTAAAGGTAAATTGTTATTGCATGTTATAAACACATTATAACCCTATTATTAACATGTAATGTGTTTTTGTTGTGTTGTAGGGTTTTATCGACTGCTGTTTTACCTTTGTCTTAGTTTTGTCTTAGTTTGGCTGTGTTAGCCTTATTTTGTATTTTAGACCGAGCCAACTGGTTTTGTTACAATCGTTATCTTTAGCGAACTGGGTTGCTGACTGGTAGTGGAGGTTAGTCGTTCTAGTGTGTGTGTTTCTTTTCCTTTACAGGTTGTAGTGGTAAGAGCACTGACTGACTTTCATTCTCTCTGCACCCATTCTTGTACCAACTTCTTTAAATTTCGCTGAGGTTTGCAGTTTCGCTTCCCAGGACATGACCCAGAAGCACACATAAAAGCCTCACACAAACTTGCAGGCCCAAGCTTTTTAGAAAATCACACGCTGGCCCCACCAGGCTCTAGTGTCAGACAATATTTTTCCATTCTAGTTGTTGTATTTTACAATTTTTATGGGTTGTGGTTTACAGGCTTGCACAGGATTATTCCACCTTGTACATGAGTGTAATTTAATCATAATTTTTCCAGTTTTTCATCATTTGTTCAGTTTAAATTCCCACTGCAGTTTCTTTTTAAAATAATTTTATTGTTAAATAGAATTAAATTAATAAAATAAATATTTTTGTGCATTTTCATTGGTTCAATTTGTTTTTTATTGGTTTTAGGTTACTTTTTCTGCAGGCACGCCAGAAATCCAGCAACCAATAAATCATCCCATCAATTATTCAATAAGTATAGTTTCTTCTGATTTGAACTATGTCTGTCTTCTCAGCTAACAAACTCGTATGATTATGGTGGTGGTTTAAATTTAACTTTGGTGTTGTCTGGGTGTTTTTTTAAACTGGTACAGCTCCACCCAGCTCCCTTCTTTTCTCCTACACCCCCTTTGTGTAACCCAGCTGCATGTATACAGGGAGGCAAAATCAAGCTAGGTCTAAGGATTAGCTGTGGAACTTTACTCTAGGCAGGAGAAACTGCCCCACACTGCTCTCCATACAAAACTAAGTGTCCCCCCAGGTGTGGCTGCTGCACTCAGTCATAGACGCCTTTGTTGTGGTGATCTTTTGCATTTTTGCTGCATTTTGGTACCAGTGGCTTCAATCAACTATTTATTAGGCTAATGTATGTAGATGTAAAGGATGCTGCTCATCAGCACACTGGATAAAGCCATCGTCCACCTGTGCTCCAGCGCCAGACGATTGCCTACCCCCCGAGTGCGTCTCCTCCGTCCAGCCATTTGGGTTTCCCACACCAGCCTTCACACCGACCACACGGACCTCACCTCTCCCCTCACGAGCACCTACACGAGACACCACCCTTGCTCCTGGGTTTTCCTGCTGTGCTCTGGACCCTGGATCCCTCACCTGCCTCCTGGTGCCCCTCTCATTCTCCTGGATTCCCAAAGTCACAGGAACATCAAGCTGCTTGGAGATGGTCTTATGGCCTTTACTTTTAACATGCTTGTCTGCAATTTTCTTTCTAATCTCCTGGGACAACTCTCTCCTTCACTTCCTCTGGTCCATGTATAATGTGGAACACACCATATCACCAAACAGCACAGTGACTACTTGTAATCCTATAAATAGGCCCACTGACTGATTACAAGTTTATGGACACCTGTGATGTTAATTAGAGGACACACCTTGATTGAACATGTCCCTATGGTCACATTATTTTCAGTCTTTTCAAGGGGTACCATCATTTTTGTCCAGGCCTGTTTCATACGTGTATTTTTTTTTAATAATTCTGTTAAACCGCAATTCAAAAGCAATGTCTGATTTTCATTGCTTAATTTTCATAGAATTTTTATTTATTATCACTTTTGTCAGATTCAAGTTATTTGTGTGACCACTGTGTTTTTCTTTCATTAACCGAGGGGTACCAACTATTTTGTTCACGTGTGTAGACATGCGGCTGTTACACCAAAGAAATAACGTGACACTTCTGCTTATCTCTGTCTAAACCACTGAGACCTTTTTACTATTTAATGGGCGATGAGAGAAAAATGTCATTTTACAATGAGTCAAGTTATGAGATCACGTGTGCCCAGTAAATCTATCAGAGGAGTAAGAAGCACACATTCTCAGATCTACAGCTACATTTACTCCTTTGAATTGCTTTCTGCAGAGCCAGTGAAAGGAACATGAGCTCCTCTAACAGTTTTTTAATGTTGGCACACTCCCAGCGGACAAGACCATAATTCAGCAGGTGTGTCTCTTGTTTGGCTTTCATGAGGCCCGAAATTGGTTAATATTAACTGAGTTTATCAGCCATAAAGTTGAACAGTGCAGCTTTGTTACTGTCAAGATAAATTTCTTGTAACCACGCCTTGTTTGTCTGAGTCCACAGTGAACCACTCAGCGGCTGCTCAGACAAATCTCTTTTCTATGACGATTTACACTCCCTCTGTGCTCTCTAAGAGCGCACCGTGAGGACAAGCAGGTTATACACTTTTAAGCATAAACCCATGGCAAAGCAACGACTCTTTGTGTGTCTGTGGATTGTCTGGCGTTTTCACAGCCTTCACGTTGCAGCTTTCAACCTGGACATCCAGAATGTACAGCAGAGAAAAGGAGATCCAGGCAGCCTGTTCGGATTTTCTGTTGCTTTCCACCAGCAGCTGAATCCTGCCAGAAGGAACCTGTGAGTGAAAGTGATCGATGTTTAAGTTTGAATTAAAGTTTTGTCTCACTGTGTGTTTTTTTTTTTTTCTTCCATCAGGTTGCTGGTAGGAGCGCCACGTGCCAAACATCAGAGTGGATTGAACGTTACAGGCGTTGTTTACCAGTGTGATCTGGCTTCAACATCTGAACGCTGCCAGCCAATTGAGTTTGATCATGAAGGTTTGTTTACCTACTTGACGTTTTATTAGTCCTCTTTGTGTGTTTAATGGGTGGTAATCATTTAAATACGTTTTAAATTGAGTATATTCCCACTGTCTGAATTTTCCGTTCTCATAGTCTTTTAAATAAGTGTTATTTCACAGAAATGTAAAAGCTTGAGGCAAAAATGAGCACAGATGTGTGCTAAAGCTCTTATTTTTTCTTTCCTTTCCCATTATTCATCTCACAGAACCTCAGATTTATGACTTCCAGTAGTGAGCCCTCTAGAATGGGAATCAGTAGACTGAACTACGAAACTGTTTGTAAAGTAGCTACAATTAGTTTCAACAAGCTACAACAATAAAATGCTGTTTAGGCCCTGATACATTACCAATACTCTAACATGAGCTTTAATAATTATCAGTCACCTGGGATTATTTCACATTTTACAGATTAAGTTCGGTACATTTAGTTTTGGAGGTTTTTAAAGTATTTTTCCAAAGTCATCTGAGTAGAAGTGTTTCTGAATATTATTATACAACTGTTGTAGCAACAGAGTGAGTTCATCTTGTTGATGTTTTTAGAGTTCCTCAATAGTAAAGGAATAAACAACCAGTGGATGGGAGTTAGAGTCGTAAGCCAAGGTCCTGGTAAGAATGTAATGGTGAGGAAAACACTCCATCTTTTAAATAATTTTTTTTTTTTTTTTTAAAGAAAAGAAAAAAGTCCACAGCTTTTGTAAGTCTATCATCCTTCCTTTTTAGTCTTGTGCTCATCGGTACCAGCAGTGGAGCCCGAGTCCCAGCCTTCAGGACCCTCAGCTGCTGACGGGTCAGTGCTACCTCTTAGGGGACGATCTGCAGGTCGGGAAGGAAAACAGGAGGTGGCGAAGGGTTGTTTGTGACAATGAACACTTAATAAGACGACAAAAGGACCACGAGTGGTTTGCGTACTGCCAACAGGGTCACGGAGCATCTTTTGCAAAAGATAACAGATCTCTAATATTTGGAGCACCCGGAGCTTATCAGTGGACAGGTAAAGAAAAAAAAGCTGCCAAAATGAAACATACAGACATATACAATTAATGAATAACTCTTTAGGTTTAGATTTTGGTCTTTTCTGCATTTTGAGGAATAAACAAATTCAACGTTTTAAATGGCATTTTTATTTTGTGAAACTGCTCTTTTACATGTTAAATCTTAAAAGACAATTCTGGCAATGTTATGTCACCAGCATTGTCCCATGACAGGACTAAAGCCCAGCAATGCATCTGTCTGTCTCTTGTTCTCTGACTTTGACATAGAAGATGTATGTGCATCTTTACAGCCAAGTCATAAGTCTGTTTTATGTTTTTTTAAAGCTATAAAATTCCCTTAAACATCTGACTTCTGCAGCTTTGAATAAACAGTATTCAAGCAGGAATATTTATTTGTTTTGTTGTGAGTATTTACAGCTGTGGATGAATGCATACTGTGTCCTACTGTGTGGCTACACAGACAATACTTGTTAGCAGAGTCAATGTATTCATAGTTTTGATATTTTGCCGAATATTTTTAGTTTATTTTGATTTGTTGCCAAATTAAAAGAAAAAAAATCATCAATCTTATTCTTTTACATGTTTGATATGACACGTGATGGTGATAGTAAGTACAATGCTAAATCTGCACTGTTGTAATCAGTCTATAAATTCTTCTAATTCCTGTTTTTGTGCTCATTTTTTCATCACTTTGACATGATGGCATTCATTATCATCCCTTTTAAATGTTAAAACCATAAGTTATGCATGTTTTCCGACCTGATGTGTTTCCTGTTGTTTCTCACATGATGCTGCTCTAAGGAATTGTACGAATGGAGCTCTTGGACAACTTGGACATATTCAGTGAAAGCCCTCGTGAGACCGGAGATATAGACCAGTTTAACCTGAAGCTCATCCCTCTCCAGAGAAACAGCTACCTGGGTCAGTTTCTTGTCTGGTCGGAGTCGGCTATGACTTTTGTTGTTTCATCTTGTTTCAGTAAATCTATTGGCTAATTAACTCTCTTATCCGTGGTGAGAAGCAGAGAGAACTGTGAAATGCCTGTGCAGTATACAAAAGTTGTGCCATAAATGGGGGAGGGGGGGAAGAAGCTAAAAGAAAAGTTTCTCTGATTATTTTACAAACTGAAAAAAAAAAAAAATGCAATCAACAATCTGCAAGTGTCCACAGGGGTTACGACACTGAACAAATACTGTTTCTACATACTGCAGATATTTGAGTTTCTATGTTTTTCTCCTACCTGCTCTGTGTGAACGCTGCCTGCAGTTCATCCAGTTCTGCCATAAAAGTCCCTAAACTTTTATTATGACTGTTGGTTACAACTGACTGAGACAAGCCTCCCTGGTTGTGCTGAGAAGCCCAGATTTTTTTCATATATGGTTTGAGGAAAATAGATTACTTTTTAGCAAATTTTGAAATGACACTTAGAATTAAGTGATTTTAATGTAATATCAGAATTAAAATCTTACATTTTGTTGATTTTTCCTGACGGGAAATCACATCACACATGATTTACTGCAGGGGTCTCGAACTCCGGTCCTCGAGGGCCGCAATCCTGCAAGTTTTAGATGTTTCCCTCTTCCAACACACCTGATTCAAATGATCAGGATCGTTATCAGGCTTCTGCAGAGCTTGATGATGAGCTGATCATTTGAATCAGGTGTGTTGGAAGAAGGAAACTTCTAAAACTTGCAGGATTGCAGCCCTCGAGGACCGGAGTTCGAGACCCCTGGTTTACTGAGTCTTTCTGTTTGTAATTTCTGGCTCTGAGAAACAAAATTTTTTTAAAATGCTGACATTCAAATCCACCAGTGGGTTTTAGGGTTCAGAGGGTTAAGTCATAAATATTCATGATAAACAATAATTAATGAATTAATGAATTAATTAACAATAGGAAGAATTAAAATGAAGATGTGCTTTTCTCATTATGTTTGATATCATGTCGTCCAGGATTCTCTGTCGACTCTGGACTCGCCCTCATCAAGAAAGGGGAGCTGACGATCGTCTCCGGAGCACCTCGAGGAGGCTACAGCGGCCAGGTGGCATTTCTGAAGGCGGACCCAAAGGCTCAGAGAAATCTGTCGGTGGAGCTGGTTCTCTCCGAGCCAGGCCTGGCCTCCTCCTTTGGATACGATGTGGCAGTGGTGGACCTCAACGGTGACGGGTAGGTTCAGTGTAGAGCCATCAAACGTGGCTCAAGTAGGTAAACTTGGGTACATCGGTTAGTCTGTTACTGTTTAGATGATATTTATGGTTGCCAGAGGATGTTTCCTTGTGTGACCTTTTATCAGCACAGACATTAAAAAACTGCCTTCAACAAGGTTTTGCTTCAAGTCAGTAATGCAGAGTCAGATTTCCTAGAAAGTTGCTGTAGATTCAATGATTCTTGTCTGTGTATTTATAAAGTTGTGATGACTTTCTGTTTAGTACATTTATTTGTTTTCATTTGCTCTCGAAAACATCCAAATCCAATGGCAGACTGATGGAAGAATTGCTGACCACATTTATGTCCTCCAAAAAATATCAACATGTTGAGCACTTCAGTTTTGTTCAAGCATCTGAGAGCAAGTTTGTAGTTTGAGCCATGAGCTTTCCTTCTGTGTGATGATTTTAGATTTTTAGCCATATTACTAAAGCCCTAATAACATTAACTCAAACTAAACATAATCTAAGATTAATGATGTCACCGAGTCTTTTTTCATGGACTCTTTTCACATGGAATGAACTTTGCCTCCCTCATGGAGCCACCATGCCCAGTAGCAGGGGTTTGTCATGCTGAATGTGACTTTTACATAAAGGTACACAGCCTGCATTATATAATATGAAGTTATCAGTTGCATCCATGTTTATTATGTTGATATTAACCATTGTTGCTGTTTAGTTTTTAACTTTTGATCTTTTTTTGTATGTGCAGATGGGAGGACCTTGCTGTTGGTGCACCGCAGTACTATGTTAAGGATGGCGTGGTTGGAGGAGCAGTCTATCTTTATATCAACAACGAGGGAAAAAACTGGGACAAGATTGTTCCGATCAAACTTGTTGGACAAAAAGATTCCATGTTTGGTCTCGCAGTGGAAAATATAGGAGACGTTGATCAAGATGGTTACGAAGGTTGTGACATTTTAATATCTTACTTTTAAAAATTTTTAAAAAGGCGTATTTGCATTGTATTTATTTGAATTAGGTCACTGTTTAAAGTGCTAAAGAGCTGCATCTGATTTCTGTGTGAACTTTATCTCATTGATGTGCAGATATTGCTGTGGGTGCTCCATATGACGGCTCCGGTCGGGTTTTCCTTTACTATGGTTCTTCTGGTCGTATTAGCACAAAACCAGCACAGGTGAGTTTCACATCGGTGGTTGGAAATATTTGGGCTGCAAACACAGACCTTGAAATTACATTTTCTTTTTCTTTTCTTCAGGTACTCTCATCCAAAACAGCAAATCTGTTTGGATATTCTCTGAGCGGGAAACTGGACGTGGATGACAATCAGTACCCTGATCTGGCTGTCGGATCTCTCTCAGATTCTGTTTTTGTTTTCAGGTAATCTTATAGTTACAGCATAAACTTTTAAATCTTACAAAAAATACAGATATGGCAGGGGACACCCTGGACAGGTCACCAGTCTATCACAGGGCTACACTTGGAGACAAACAACCAAGCACACTCACATTCACACCTTCGGACAATTTAGAATCACCAATTAACCTCAACATGTTTTTGGACCTTGTGGGAGGAAGCCGGAGAACCAGAGAGAACCCACGCTGCATGAACATGCAAACTCCACGCAGAAAGGTCCCGGGCATTTTAACCGGGACACGAACCAGGGACCTTGATGGTGTTAACCACCGAGCCACCCTAACACAAACTACGTCATGTCAAATATTGACCCCTGTAATCTCTCTTTTTTTTTTTTTTTTTTTAATTACACATTTTTTGGTTTCGTTTTTAAGAATTATTCAGTAACGGCCTTGTTTTCTTGACTTTTTCATTTAATCTTTGTTTTTATATTAGATATACATCACTGCATGTTGTTTGTTGTTACTGTCTCGTGTTTTTACCGGCCATTATATTTCCTGTGTTACAGAGCGAGGCCAGTAGTCAGTGTCAGCGTCTCTTTCAAGATAACACCAAATCAAATAGACTTTACAAAGGAAGAGTGTCATGTACGGACATGGTAAGATGTGCAAAACCACGAAAAAGAAAATGATCTGTCTGCGAGCTTATTGGCTTTTAATCTAACATGTCTTTATGTCAAGTTATTTTTCAGGTAAGGTGTGCTTCAGCTACACGGCACACAGAGCGTCGTTCAACTCTAAACTGAGTAAGTTCAATTCAGTACTCATCATGCTAAGTCTAAATTTATGTTTCTCTCCTTTATATTTAATGTAACGTGTACTTTTAAAAGTATACTTGTGGAGCTGAAAGTGGTCTTTTATAATAGCCTGTGGAGGAGCTAGATTTTCATTGACAAAACAGGATTCTGCCCGACTAGATTATTAAAGATGTCACAGTCAAAACATGCATTAAAATTATAATGAAAACACATGAGGTTAGGTTTTTTTGCAGTCATTTTGCCAGTATATTAATGGCAGCCAGGAGTATTCAGTCTGTTGGTAGTACTGATAAATTTGTACTATGTACTTCACAGTGCTCAACTACAAGTTTGAGGCTGATTCTATGAGCACAAAATCGAGCCCCAGAGTCAGGTTTCTGGGTTCATCTCAAGGGGAACTGGAGCTGCCAGGACAAGGGAGAAAAACCTGTGAAGACACTAAGCTCCGACTTCTGGTACTGTTTCAGTATGTTAGCAGATGTATTGCCCCTTAAAGAGACATACTTATGCACAGCTTTCAGGTCAAGCAGAAGCAGAAAGGGCTGCACAATATATCATCCCAACAGCAACATCACAATGTGACTTAGAAAATCAATTTGTCATGTTGATTTTTTTTTTTTTGTGCCAATCAGTGGACCAATGCCTGAAGTGCCATAACTTGAAAAATAATGTAGTCAGAGAAATTTTATGCTACTGATGTGTACATATGGTCACTGATGGTACAATCCTGCTTTGATAGAACAACACAAACCAGTTATATGATGGTGTAAATTTGCTCAAAAAATGTCCATGTTTCTTTTCTATTCCGATATTCCATCGACTATAAAACCTGAATTTTTCACTATAAGAAACAGATTTTTTTTTTTTCTGTAATTGTCATCAATATGAGTTTTAAAAATGTAGAGTATGGTGCTAGTCAGAGGCATGTTTTATGAGAAAAGAAAAGAAAAAAATGTGGGTTTTTTTGCATTTAGGGCCAATATTTGAACAGGCATTGAGCAGGTATGATGATGAAAACATTCCAAAAGTGTCCCAACTGGAAGAGTTGTGTTTTACTGTTACTGGGCTAAAAGAAAAATCATGTTTTCCAACTTATAGTGCTTCAAATAGTTTTCTGAAAAATGGCACCATACGTAATCACATGTATATAGCAGACATATATATATATTTGTACTTGACTTTGATTTCTTTATCAAGACCTGTTTTTAGTTAATTATAACCTCATTAGCAAATAGTCACATGCAAACATCGTGTTGGGAAAACTGATAGCAATAATACATGCTTTTACGGTTGGTAAAACACTGACCCTTTTTTTTTCTATTGTGTTTTAGCGGGACATCAAGGACAAGTTGCACAGCATCCCCGTCTCTGTCTCTGTGTCTCTGAGGAGCTCCAGTCAGACAACCAGGACGAGTGTAGAGCTGCCCAGCCTTACTCCTGTCCTCAACCTCCACCAGCAGAAAACTACAGTCTCAGAGGTACAAATGTGTGCGTTTATGGTGGAAATCCAAACCCTGCTGAGTTTGTAAGGATTTACAAAATGATTTGCAAAGTAAAATCTAGATCTTTTTGTGACAATGCCCAAACCCTTAAACCCCATTGAACAGTTCTGTTTTTTAATTACTTATCAGTATGTCAATACAGGAAAATACAATCAAACTCTTTGGGAAAGCTAGATTTAAAAATTGAAGGTAATGGAGAGAATATGTAATGTTTTTTCCAAAGCGCATCAAGTTCTAAAAGACATGGTAGCATCAGATATTTGAAAAGAAACTGCTGAAAAATATATTACTGCCAAAGAGCTGTAGTGTACAGAGCATAAGAGGAGCACCAAAAAAGAAGCAAATAAGAAACATGACAACAAACACATAAAAGTTGACTTGAATACGTTAAAAAATGAAAAAGCCTGAAGAGTTCTGGGAATCTGTTTTATTGAGGAAACACTGGAAAAGCTTGGACATGTGGATTCGTGTAATATTTGGCAAAAGAAGGCCTCTGAATGATTTTGATTGCAACTGTAAGGATATGTGACATTAACTGTCTGTATACGGCTCTTATTGAAACTGTGTGAATCAAACACTTTAGAAATCTTTTTGGGACAGACATGATTGAAAATGTTGAGTAAGATTTTCTTCTCTCTCTCTCTTTTTTTTTTTTTTTTACAGATTAAATTAATAAACACGGGCTGTGGCAGCGACAACATTTGCCAAAGTAACCTTCAGTTGCAGTACAGGTTCTGTTCCAAAAAAACACTAAATGGTCAAGATGTTTTCGAATCACTGGCCAGGTAAAGAAAAATCTCTAAGTGGAAACTAACCCCTTAGCCCAAACTGTACACTCATCTGGAGTTCTGTCACATCTCCAGTCAGGATGGAGTTGCAGTCATCACTCCGTCTGATGAAGACATCGCTCTGGAGATCACTGTGACCAACACAGACGGAGATGATGCACACCAGAGTCATGTAGTCATTGTGCTCCCAGATACATTACATTACTCATCTGTTGTCCACGGCGGAGAAGCAGTGAGTACAGAAACACAGCAGGAACAGCAGCATGGTTTCTCTTTTTACGATAAAATATCATCTAATAACAAAACTCTGGTAGTAAAAAGTTCAGATATTAGGACAACAAGTTGTTCAGTGTTCATCAAAACTGCAAGATGTCTCTTTTGGGATTTTTGTGTGTTTATATGTAACACTTGTGTTGTGTGTTTCTGTATGTGTCCACAGGAAATGCAAAAAAGTCACACAGCCAATAACAAAGAAACAATAATAGACCGTGAACTGGGGAATCCGTTTCAAAGAGACGCTAAAGTGAGTATCACGCTTCAGCTTCCTCCACATGGGGGTTCATACTTTCATTGTATGACGATTGTTTTGTTCCCCTCAGGTTACCTTTTATGTCATACTCACAACTTCTGGCATCTCGCTGAGTACAAAAGATGTCAATGTCACCCTGCAGCTTGAAACGTAAGTATGTTGACCAGAGTGGAAAGTGGGACCAGCTGTTAATCTGTGGGCTGTAAATGATTAGGAATAATGACGTTGTGTTATTGTGATGTAGGACAAGTGTGCAGACTATACAGCCAGTTCAGGCATTAGCCAAAGTGGTTTTTGAGCTGGAGTTGCAAGTATATGGGTACGTACTGCTCATTTTTTCCCTTCTTCTGGAATTATTGTTTGTTTTCTTGCCATTTCAACACAGATAACACTTGGTTTTATGGTTTTGTTTTTCTAAAAATACATTACAATAAATCTGACTACTTAAAAATGCATAAAAATATTTTTTTTTAATGATGAAAATGACTAACAATACAATATAATGATCTGTGTTTCTTTATCAGGCTAGCCAGGCCTTCCCAAGTGTCACTTGGTGAAAATGTGTTGGGTGAAAGTGCCATAAAATCGCTGGATCAAATAGGAACTTCAGTTCAATTTGAATTCAGGGTGAGATGATACTTGCTGCTATCGAACTATAAAATGCATTAATTTGCTTAAATGCATTTTTTTTCACCCCTATATATTGTTTCTTGAGCAGATAACAAATTTGGGCAGACCGCTAAAATCTTTCGCAAATGCATCACTGAACATCTATTGGCCAAAGGAGAACTCTGTAGGAAAGTGGCTTCTGTACTTGACTCACATCAGCAGTGAAGGTGTGCAGTCTGTCCCCTGCTCACCTGTGAACGAGGTCAATCCTCTTAAAGATTTAAAGGTAACTAAGAGCTCCACCTTTTTTGTTGCCACTGCTCAAAACTTAAGCTATGAGTGTAGAAGTACTCCTAACCTAATCGTGTCTGATGTGAAGGGTTGGCGCGCTCCAGCAAGGAAAAGACGTGAAGCTGAACACGAAGCTCTCTCTACAGATGAATTCACATTTCTTCCATCAAGAAGAAAATACAAAACACTGGTGAGAAATCATTTTTATTAGGGAGCTGGGGGATTTATTCGTAGAAAAGGCTGTAGAAAAATTTAGTTTTCGTTTACTGATGTGAAGCCGAGCTGTTTCTGATGCACAAATGATATGTCATGGAAGTTAGAAGTGTTAAGTGGAACACATCACCTCCTTGTCTCTCAATTTGTTAGAAGTCAAATCTCTCATTGGTGCGTTGTCTTTGATAGACCTGCTCAGATGGACTCCAGTGTGTGGAGATACGCTGCCCTCTGCTGGGCCTGGACAGCTCTGCACTACTGGTTCTGCATTCCCGCCTGTGGAACGCAACTATGGCGGAGGTTTGTCATTTCTTGTTTTAAAAAAATGCTGTTTTCTCATCTGAAATCCACCTCTTTTCTTGCTTCAAAATTCCCACAGCTTATATTTGTATATTACTGACAACACATGAAATGACACAACTGATCTTTTAAATCTCTGCCTCAGCTTTAAGAAGCTTTACATTGACTTTGAGCTCATGGTTGAGCTGTTCAGCAGCTTTACTGTTTGGGTTCATTCTCACTGCTCTCATAGTTTTGCTCAAAGCTACAGCAGCCGACTGTTTTCAGCAGCAAAGCTCTAGAGACTACACAATCTGTCCAGCACCAAACAGCAGACAGACAAAATTAGCCACCAGCTGAACAAAATGGAGCATTTAGCAGCTATAGGGCCAAATAGTTCCCTCAGGAGGTGGTAGGTCCCAAAGCAGAGTTTTTTTCTATAATTACTTTGCTTGTCTTGCACACACAAGGACACATATGTTCTCCAGTGTTATACACATTGAAGCTAATGTACCAGAAAACCCAACACACCAACAAAACCAGTTAAAAAAACAAAAAAACACGAATAAACAAAGAAAAATCAGCTTTGCAAGTGTGTCATGTGCAAGGATATGGATTTATGTTCTGTCATAGATTTGCAAGTGCAGTAGTGACTTACATTTAAATATAACTTCAAAGTTCACAGGGCACATTTAATCCCTTAAGCCCTTGGTTATTTATTTTATTTTTTTTTAGATTTTCAGTCCATCTAAAAATAAAAACATTCCCAATTCAGTCAGCTGCAGCTGCAAAACCATAAAAATGAACTACCAAAATAAAACATCCTTGGGCTCTATGGTTAAGAGACATTCATCAGCCCCATCACCAGACCCAAGTGGGATTTGAAAAATAAAAATGTACCTTTTTACTTCTGCCTAATCTAAATTGGAGTAAATAACAGCCATAAACCAATGAGTCAGCACACACTGTTACTGAACATGTTCTAAAAATTTCCCACTGCAATTTAATGCAACAGAAATGAAGCGTAACAAATGTTGTATCCAGTTCTGGGTTTCAAGGGGTTTAGAGTTTGTGAGTTCATAAGTCGTTTCTAGCTGCCATCATGTAGCCAAAACATCTGTTGCTGCAGGCTAAGGTTCTTATTTCCAAGAAATCTTTTGAGTTTTAGCTTTGGTTGTGTTGTTTGTGTCAGTAGAGGCCTTCCACCACTCACTCATTTAGTTTTCCTCCTACTTAGGATTACAGCTCTTTGAACTACCTCAATATTGTCGTGGATGCTCATCTGAGTCTGACCAACTCTCCAGAGAATATTGGACTTAAGAATGAGACACCTGGGACAAAGGTAAAGCATCAATGTTGAAAATATATTTAGTTAAATTACTCAATGAAGTATTTCGCTCTAGATTTTGACGATGGTTTTAATTCAGTGTAACATCAGGTACCATCATACTGTATGTTACAGTGTAGCATCAACTAGTCTTCCTAAACTCCTGCATCTGAAAGTATATTGATGATATTGAATCTGCACATGGTTTTTTTGTTTTGTTTTGTCCACAGGTAATACTGACGGTGTTCCTTGAGAGAAAGATAAAATTCTTGGTCAAAGTTGCGTGGTGGATAATCTTCCTGACGGTCATTGCATTGCTGCTGCTGTTGGCGTTTTTTGGCTTCTTGTTGTGGAAGGTAACGACAACAAAAAGGGGGTGTGGGAAGATGTTTGTTTCTAACATGATGCTGCTATTTTCATGTATTTACAGGCCAAAAAGTCCTTCATTTTGCTGATCAAATTTCTGCTAAAATCTTATGCAGTCTTGATATTACATGGCACTGAATAGAACATCCAGCTTCAGAAATATAAAGTTAAAATAGTCAAAAGTTCCAAATTAACCTCCCCTGTATTTTCAACATAATCTTCCTGAAGTATTTGTTTTTGACTGTTCATAAGAAGAAGTACTCTGCTGTTCAACTTAGGAAGTTATTGTGAGGTGATGCAGTTTTGAATCATGTGACATTTAGACATGTATGCTGTATGTATTAAACATGGACTGTGTTTCTGGTAATTTCTTACTATGCTTTCTCAATTTATTTCATGTGCTGCCTCAGTAAATGTAGTTTTGAGTCTCTTTCCTCTTGTCCTTGTCAGCGTGATTGCATCAGCAGCCTCACTCATCTGAACAAGCTTCCACATAATGGACATCCAAACACAGACACGGCTCCCCTTAAAGCCTAAAGGTGGAAACAATGGACATCCTGCTGCCTCAGAGGTTTGAGATGCACATCTTGAACTGGTGATGTTGTGGCTTCAGCTGTAGCCAGCTACTCTCCTGTTTTATTATCCACTATTCGTGCAGACTTACATGATAATACATTGTTTTGAAGATTTGATGCAGAGCTTTAATTATTCTGGTATATTTTAACTCAAGTAAAATCTAAGGCACAACTGAGATGTTGACTTTTCTAGTTACTGTATTTTTTTTGCTACTTTTGTCAAAATAAAAGACACATCAAGATACCTTTCTTCAGTTTTTTAATGAAGCAGAAAATATCACTTGTTTGATACCAAAAAACCATTACAACAACATGAAAAAAGTTGTGCTATACTTTCACCATGAAGGAATGTGTGAGTAGTGGGAATGGATGAGAGGTCGGACTAAATAACAAGTTTCCTGAAATTCAATGGAAGTATTGCAGCCGCCACCGACTCATCTGACTGCTGATCATCGAAAGCGCATATGATTGAAACACTGTTGCTTTTGAAATACTGTGAAACACTTGAATTCATTGGTGTGTGTGCAATATAACACTGTGTGTAGTGAAGTCTTGAACAAGGTTCCTACGGTCTTCAAGGCTTTCATTCCAAACATAACCACGTCTGACTGCTGGCATTAGTCACTAATCGGTAGTAATATCGTAGAAGGTAGTCTTTCACTGAGCATTTGAGCAAAGAGTGCCATTAAAAACTTTTTTTTTTTGGACAAAAATGGATATGTTTTTGAATGAAACCCTCTTCTAGCATTTCTTTGTATTGTGCAGATATATTAGCCCATTTTACAAGAAGTGTCATTCAAAGTGGCATTTAATAATTCCTTATTTAACAGAAGTGTCTTTTCGCAGCATCTATACATTCTTTTATATTCTCAGTGTCTGTTCTCCTATATACTGACCTAAATCGTCTGTTCAACATTTTGGGAAATGTTAACTGTTAACTGTCGAGGAGCTGAAACTAGTCTGAGCAGCTGCTTAGTTTAACCTGAGACTTGAGAAACTACTTGTCTGGTTCTGTTCAGAGGTAACAGCATGACAAAACACAAATGCTATCTCTTAATTAGCACAATTTTTAATAAAATACACCCAAATTTTTCGAGTCATACAGGGGTTATGTGCTAAACTATTTCTTGGCCATAAGAGTTTCAGCTGGTTCACACAACAATTGCTTTCAGCCAAGAAAAAGTGGGACAAAACCTGAGTAAAATGACAAATTGTTGTTTTTACACATCAGTTTTTTTCTACATTTTAAATAAACAAATTAAATCATGTTAATTTGTGCATTCTAAAAGGTGCTGACATGCAAATTGTGTTACCTTCAGACAGAGCCAATCGAGCTAATTCCAGTCTTTGTGCTTTGTGCTAAGCTAATCAGCTGCTGGATGCATCGTTATATTTTCTTTAATCAATCTTCTAATTCTCTGCAGTCCTCAGCAAGGAAGCATGTTTTACAAAATGTTTAATTAATCCTTTAAAGTCAGTCTTTCCCTTTACATGATGACAACTCCTCAAAGCTTGTTCATTTTTTTTTCTTGAATTTTCTTTGATCTCATCTTCATCAAAATGCATTCAGCAAAAGAAACTTAAGGGCCAGTGTCTCCAAGTTCTTAACTTCATTTGTCTTTCTGTAACTATTCAACCCAATGTTTCATCAAATCGTGAGCTCACCCAGTTTCCATCATCTGTTGTGGCTTTTAGAAAAAATTAGTAGAAAAGAGCACAATTAAAAACATCCCAACGTCTTCTCAACATGAACTGTAACTTGAAAGCAGAACATATAACAAACAACATATCACACAAACACACGCATTCACACACAATGCTCATTAACAATCTCTGGTTAAGACGAAAGACACCTGGGGGGAAAACAAAAAACTACTGATAGTATTCTTTTGCTATCGGTGTGACAATAATATTATAAAATGATTGCTTACCAAAAGTAATTATAAATACAACTTGACTTTTTTTCTTCATTTTTTTAACCAGAGAAAGTTAAAGACAAAACTTCTTTTAGAAGATCAAACACTCAACCTTTGCCTTAAAAATATAATAAGAAGAACAAAATATATTACAAATAAATTAACCAACAATATATTACATATAAGCAACCCAAATTTGCTTGAGCTTTTACATTCAAAATCAGTCCCTTGTTTGGTTTCAAGAGTCATACTTTTGTCGTTTTTTAAGATTTCTAAGCCAAAACAGGGAAACTTAATTAAGCAAGTAAATAAAATCTTACTACTTATACAAGAATTAAAAAAAAAAAAAGAACAAAATGAAGCACGTCCAAACCGAAACTGAATCAAACTAATTAACTGAATTTCATGAGAGAGGCAGCAAACAAATGCACTCCGATCAAATCAACTGCTCACTGAAACAACACAGTAATTACTGGCACGACTAATCTCTACCTCGCAGACCACCAAACCACCAGCTCCATCACCCAACAAGCTGCTAGTTCACTTGATGTTAAAAAAAAAACCACGTGGTTCTTTGTTCCCCTCCAGACAGCACATCATTCAGCGTCAGACTCCAATCTGTCAAACATCTCACAAATGGCACTAAAAAAAATGGCAGTTCTTATTAGGTTTTGTTTGTAATTATCAATGCCTGGTGATATCATTTTTTTATTATTACTTGGGGAGTAGGAAAAATAATCACCTATTTATTTAGTGCTGTAAACAGGTTTTTGATTATTGCTAAATTAGCCTGTTTTGTTGTTTTTCTGCTGGTGTAACCAAATGGAATGGTGTTTTGTTTAGTTTTTTCTTCTTCATAATGTGCTTAAGACTCCAGCATGACAGAAAAATTCCCTTCACCTCCAGACTGTAATAACCAGCTATCTCCACATGGGGGCAACAGTGACCAAGAAGGGCAGAGACAACAAAGGAACTAGAGGGAAGGAGAGCAGACTGGCTGCAGATCGGACCCGTCCGTGGCCGTTGTTTCTGTTCCACTTGGACCCGTTTCTGTCTCGGCTTCGAGGAGGCTTTGCGGGGTTGGTTGCGGGGTTTCGTGGGGGTTTGCTGTAGGGTGGAGAGTAAGGCCCATAACCTGGCCAGTCATCATTGTACCTTTCTCCATGATCCCCGCCCCCAGAGCCACTGCCCTCCTCACCTGAAACAAGGAAAAAAAATGTAACTGATGTACGAAGTGAAAATAAGAAAATGCCAATGCTACATATTAATATACACCAATCAGCTGCAACATTAAAACCATCTTAATAAAATTGTCTAGGACCCCCACGTACTGCCAGAGCAGCTCTTACCCCTCAAGACATGAATTCTACAAGACCTCTGAAGGTCTCCCGTGGTATCAGGCACCATGACTTATGCTGCAGATACTTTAATTTCTAGTTTCTAGTTAAGTTGCCAGGTGCAGCCTTCTTGGATTGGACTTGTTTGAAGGCCAGCTCATGGTCATGTTCCTCAAACCATTCCTGTACATTGTTTTTGCAGTGTGTGTTATCCTGCCGAAAGAGGTCAGTGTCATCACTGAGTATTGTTGCCATGAAGGGGCAGCAATATTTAGGTACTGCAGCAGTGTTTAGGTAGTTGCATGCACAAGGTTTCACAGCAGAACATTGCCTCCATCAACTTGCCTTCTTTCCATCCTGCTGACATCTCATATCCAGGTCAACAACACATGTGCAACGAGGGAATCCACTTGATGTCAAAGAAAACATGAATAATCAGACCAGGTCAACTTCTTTCATCGCTCGGTTCCGACACTCACGTGCCCGTTGTAGGTGATATCGGCGGTATACAGGATTCGGTATGGACACTGTTAACAGTCTGCAGCTATTCATCCCCATACACAGGAAGCTGTGATGCACTGTGTTTTTCTGACACCTTTCTCTCACTGCCAGCATTCAGGTTTTCAGCAATTTGTGCTGCAGTAGCTCTTCAGAGAGATCAGACCACACAGGCCAAATTTTTCTCCTTACAACATCAGTGAGGCTTGGGCACACATGAACCTGTCACCAGTTCACCAGTTGTCATTCCTTGGACCACTCTTGGTACGCATTAACCACTGCAAACGGTAAACACCTAACAAGACCTGTCTGGAGATGCTCTGACCCAGTCGTCTAGTCACCACAGTTTGGTCCTTGTCAAAGTCACTCAGATCCTTACGTTGCCCATTTTTCCTGTCTCCAACACATCAGCTGTCTAATATATCTCATCCCTGGACATGAGTCACTGTAAGAAGATAATGTTATTTACTGCACCCGTCAGTGGTTTTACTGTTGTGGCTGATCGATGTGTATTGATAAAAATCACACATGGTCAAAAATTCCCTTTTGGATACACACATGTATACATTTTGACTGTCAGGAATACTCACTGTCCACAAAGTCTGTGTCCTGTCCGCTCTGAGCATGCCTCAGTTTGTTGGTCACCACCCTCAGCTCCATGATCAGCTGCCTGGTCCTCACATCTGGACGGGCGATGTCCACCTCCACCTCAGGGTTGTTGATCTGGCTGACCAGCCCGTCACCTGTCACATCCGGCAGGTACCTGAACGTGCATGTATTGAAGAATTCACATATTTTCATAGCTACCATCATCTCTGCAATAACTGGCTGTGCTCATAAGGGAAAGAAACTTATTGCCTGCTGTGGAATCACAGCAATATAACACAAGGACTGTAGTTTATTAATCTCAAAGCGCACAGTCATAGCTTTCTGTAGTGTAAATAAATCTCTGTATTTAACTGTGTGCTGTTTCCAGGCACGCTTGTTCTAGAGATAGTCGAGTCTGAAATATCTCATGTGCAATCTGATGGATTGCCATGACATTTTGCACACACTCGTGGCCCCCTGAGAAGGAATCCTAATGACTCTAGTGATTGCCTGACTTTTCCTTTAACACCGCCATAGAGTTGGCATTTTGTCTTAGCAGCTATTGGATGGTTTTATCTGAAATTTTGTACCACTTGTAATAGCTTCTGGTAACACCATCAGGTTAAAATGTTCACAATGTTTTCTTAACACTACAAACTGAAACGGCTAGAGGGCATTTTCACGACTCATCTATAATAAACCTAAGGTCTAAAAAGTTGCTTTGGGTTATTCAATTAATGTAAGTCTCTCCATTATATATATATTTTTTAGCAAAGAATAATGATGAGTAATGTGATATGTTATTATTTTTGTTTAATTAAAGCCGGGTACAATTTGATACCTGCACGTGTCTGGCTGCTGTCCCACTTTGTGATTAAAGCTGTTAAGGTGGGTGTACTTTTACATCAGCTGTTGCCAAATGCAGCTGGAACATGCAGGACTTCACGGTGCCTCTAAATACGCTCTGATACGTACACGGTGTTCGGCTGTGTCTGTGTGCATAAAAGCAAGCAGGCCCACGCAGGGAGCATGTGGGTGACTGGTGGTGGCAAAATTAAATAAACTCTGTTCCATCTGTTGCATCCTTCCACCTCTGCACCATCACTCACTCACTCCTCCGCCTATACCGAGCCCCCCTCTCTCCAGCCGTTTGCTCTGATCTTGCTCACCTCCCCCGGGTCTGCCCGTTCCAGCAGCGGTCCTCATTAGTGACGTCAGCCGCCATCTTCTCGTCGTTGCAGATGGTGTGTGGGAGGGACACCCAGAAGCCCCGCATGGGCCGCAGTCGCTCCTTCAGCTCAGTAACCTGCGTGGAGGTGGAAGGAAATTGGTTATGACTCAGACCTGGTTTTAAAGCATCCTTGTTTGGTATGGCTGGCTGGAGGAAGCGTATGGAAGCTTGTAGCACTGATGCTGGGCAAAGCGAAAAACTGACCTGACACTGCTTCGGGGTCGGTTCCTCCACCACACGCCTTTTCTCTCTTAGAAATAGATATAAATACCCACTATCCTCTTCCTCCACTCTTGATTTCATAGATTCTTCAAGCACCTTTATCTTGCAAGACCACTGTGGTCACAGGAGTGCTGTCTGGGATCTGACCTCTGTTCTTCTTCTTATTAGTTGCTTGTATCGAGCTTGGTTTTTATTTTGGTCTTCTTTTTGCTTTCTGCCAAGCTGCTGTCTGAATCCTGATGCCTGCACAGCCCATGTTTGACATTCTTTATTGCAGTTTTAACCCGATATTTTTAAATCCTCGGCTCTAAAAACTAACCGGAACAAAACCATTTTAACTCTGTTTCTATGTGTTTCCTGCTCCTGTCACATTTTCACTCAATGTGGGCTCTTTTTTTTTTTTTTTTACTGCAATAGAAAGTCTTACACCTTTATGGAAACAGCTCAACCATGGGTAGAAGTAAAAGGAAATCAAAAATGTACTCCGTGCAGTATGCCACAATTGTGCCATAAATCATAAGTAACAAAAATTAAAGTTTATTTTTTGTTATTATTTTACAAAAATGTTTTTTAAAAAATCTGGAATCAGCTTGTATAACACGTTCCTTGTGCCCACAGGTGTTAGCAATGCTGGGAATTAATGATGGCTCTACATAGTATAAATATTTTACTTACATTTTAAATTTGTGTCCATTCTTGTCTCCTATCTGCTCTGTGTAAACACAGCCTGCAGTTCAGCCGAAAACTCTCTGAAGTTTGGTTCGGGGACAGTTGGTCAGACTCCTCAGCTGCCCCGACAAGTGCAATTTTTTAAGTTTTTTACAGAATGGTAAGGCGTATACAATCATTTTTTATTAAATTTTTAACGAAACATGTACAATAAGCTGATTTTGATGAAATATTATAATTTTAAACTTCGAATTAGTTAATTTACTTGATGGAACCAAACATCTCAAATGATTAGGGCATTTGGAAAGATGAAAATCCAACAATTCTGTTTGTTTTTGCAGCTTCTGGCTAAAAGGTGTAATTTTGGTGGTGTTTTTTTTAAAAAGGTAACATTCCTTTCACTGTTGCCTCGCAGCAAGAAGGTTGCCGGTTCGCGTGCATGTTCTCCCCGTGCAGCGTGGGTTCTCTCCGGGTTCTCCGGCTTCCTCCCACACAGTCCAAAAACATGTTGAGGTTAATTGGTGATTCTAAATTGTCCGTAGGTGTGAATGTGAGTGTGCTTGGTTGTCTGTCTCTAAGTGTGGCTCTGCGATAGACTGGTGACCTGTCCAGGGTGTCCCCTGCCTTCACCCTGAGTCAGCTGGGATAGACTCCAGCCCCCCCACGACCCTTGTGAGGATTAAGCGGTGTATAGATAATGGATGGATGGAACATTCCTTTCAATTCCACTGGCAGATTTTGGGGTTCATAGGGTTAATTGATTAGTTGTGATTACTTGAAATCTGTGTTCATCAATATTTTTACATCAGCAATGTGTCATACTTCTGATTACGTTACTTGAAAAGTGTCAACAATAATGAACCCACAGAAAATGATTACCTGACACCAGTGAGAAAGAGCTTCGCTTCACTCTTGCTGCTCTCTGGAGTGAAACTTCCAGGGAAAAAGTTCTAAAAGCCCAATTTTTGCTCCCTGACCAGCACCAGACAGCAGCCAGTGAAGTTAGGCATCAGCTGGTGAACCTAGCATTTAGAGCTTCAGTGTTTGTTCAGTTTTTTGCTCACCAGTCGGTCCAGGTTGGTGCCTGCAGCAGTGGTGGGTTTCTCTTCAGGTGTGTAGGTGCGGAAGGGCCTCCTGTTGCCCCCGGACTCTTTGGGTGAACGCTTGGACCTCGCTGGAGCGGGCCGGGGGTTTCCACAACCTTGGAATACCTGTGGTAAACAACACCGCAACACCGTTGTAAAGAGCTGTGTAACCAGCATTTTTAGATCAGCTGACTGATTTTTAAACAGTTCTGTAGTAGTAGTAGTAGTAGTAGTAGTAGTAGTAGTAGTAGTAGTTCTGTCTCTTTTCTAATCAAACCAATGTGCTTTAGCTTCACTATCCTGCTCATACAGTTTTCCTAACATGGTTATATTCATGTTTTTTTGTGTGATTTTTTTTCCCTCTATACACTTATATGCACTGTTGCATGTCATTAACTTTGTGTCTTTTCTCTTCTGTGGTTTTTGCTTTGTCCTCTCTGTCCTCTGTCTCCCTGTTCATCTCTGCAGGTGTATCTGGAGCTGCACATGTCTGGTCTGTAGTTTCTGGTCCCACCAACCTGTCCAGTTTTTGCTCTCTTGTTTGCTGTCTGGTTGTTTCTCCCTGAGCCTGGTTCTGCTGAAGCTTTCTTCCTGTCCACTATCGCTAGTATAGCAAGTACAGTAAATTTGTATAATATATAATAATGTAAGGTCTTAACCTTAATATTTAAACTTTTTGGGTAAATTTGTGACCTTCTTTCTCTATTGGAGAGATATAAATGATGATGACTTGACTTGCATATGTGAGAAATTGGATATTCTTGCACAAATTTCTGCGGGATTCAGGACATATCATGTCTTAAAGAGTTGTAAAATAGCTTTTATTTCACACACTCTCCCTCAATCTGCTGTATAACATTCAGCTTCATCTAGCAATAATGTGGAACATCCCCAAGGCTTAGAGGTTTGAGGCCAAATAGGTTCTTGTATTAATGCCATATCTTTCTCTGTGAAAATCAATAAGACATATGAATAACTCTTCAAAGCATACATTTATAGTTTCTATGGATGGTATCTGCTGTGATTCCAAAAACAAGTGCAGAGAAGGTTTGCTCTTTTCGAAGGAATAAATGGGTTTTAATCATGATGTTGCATTTTTTACGGCAAAAAAACCCACAAAAACTCAAGGGTCGGTGCTGTTTAAGCTACTTCAAATCAAAGCTGAGGGAGTTATTGAGGTTTCTAAATCATACAGAGCAACTACAGAAACCAGAGCCTTAACTCGAAAACATTGCAACAGAATTATAGAGGTAACAATATAATGCTGTTGAAAAGGTTCTCCATAACCTCAATAGTCAGACTTTGTTAGTGAAAGGCTGCAGTCATACAAAGCTGGGCTGTAAAGGAGAAAGCTGCCTGTTCCTTAAAGCACTCCCACCACAAATCAGGAGATTTTCTGTCTCTAAGAAGATGTGGGTGTCTCTCTGGTGGATTCACTGCTGGGATGTCTGCCATGTTTTAATCATACTGTGAGGCTGTCATGCTCTCTGTGTTATAATTCCTGTCATTTTTACTGCATGCTGTCTCATTAAGAAGATTAAAATAAAAAAAATAAAAAAAAATTATAGCTTCGACTTGTAAGAGAGGATTACTGCAGACAGTAGATGATGATTTTTATGCGCTCTCAAAGGTTCAGTAAAACGTTTTTGATGAACAGCTCAATTGCCAAATTCAGGGAAAGCATTAAGAATGCTTCAGTGTTCATTTTATGTTCCTTTTTATGTCCTCATCATACACTGGTGCCTTCTTTCTTACCTTACTAGAGATGCCGACGCTGTTTTCCTGCATGTGCATAATGGCCTCTGACACTTTCACAGAGATGGAGTCGGCTGCGAGCTCCATGTTGAACGGCCCCTCCAACTTCTCTGAAACCTGGTACAGAGCATCTGATATACGACAGAGAGACAGATGGTGGGTTGGTAAAGTTTACTGTGACTCCAATAGCAAGGTTCTGGTTGTCAGGTGAAACAAGCAAAAAGAGGCTCTCTGTTGGTGGCCTATTGTGGACCCTGGTAATTGTGAAGACAGTGGTTCCTGTGCGTGGAATCTGTCACTGGCTAACCAGCTGAAAGGGTTAGATTTACATCTCTTTAGGAGGTGTTCAGCAAGATGAGGAAGAAGCCCTCATCATATAAAGAGAAGTGTGAAAGAGAGAGAGAAGAATGGTGGTTGGGGAAAAAAGGGCATTGTGGGTAAAATGGGTTTGAGTGCGGTGGACATGGATGGAGTGATGAAAGGTAAGAGGAAGCACCGCTCATGAGAAGGAAAAAAAAATGGAAGGAATGTATGGGTTTGATGAAAGGGGAAAGGAAACACAGGGAGACACATCAATTGTGAAGGAGCAGAGAGGCATGAATGATTAATGGAGGAGGAATTCATTAGGGGAAACGGAAGTGAAAGTAAATGAGTGACAGGAGCACAATAAAGGGATTCCACTTTTATGTATGCTCAGTTTAATGATGCCAATAATTCAAAATGCTGTTCAAAGTAATTTGGGTGCTGACATTTCTTAAGCTGCCAGGATCTAAAATCACTGGAAATTAATGCACGAGTCCTTTAGCTGAAATATATAATACACCATAGAGTAAACCATAAAATACATCACGCACCCGACCCTTGTACCACACACATGAACATCGTAGCCAGACGTCTTGTTCTATTTTCTCAAAGCCCACCTCTTCCTCTCACCCACCAATGAAATTGTTCCATTCGGTGTCCAGGTCAGCCTGATTGGCCAAGCAGCCCTTCATCACGTTAAGGCACAGGGAGTGGCAGGGCCGCAGGGAGGGCATGCCTCGACACAGAGGGCAATACCACTGCCGCATCAGGCCACGCACACACTCCGAATCTGCAGTCAGCTGAAAAACAAAGCAGGGGATGAGAAAGACTGAATAACTAAACAGCAGAACTCTACATGTTTGCATCTCCTGTTAAAAGCTCTTAATGCTTGAAAAAGAAGTGGGCAGCAGATAATGTTGAGATTTTTAAAAGTAAAAAAGCAAACTCAAGACCTACCTTTTTAGCCTGGCTTTTAATAGATTTTATTTACTAGTTTTTGTATTTCAGTACAGGTTTTTTTTTTTTTCCTTTCTTTCTTTTTTCAGTACTGCACTTTGTGCTACATTTTATTTGAATGAAGAATGTTTTTTAACATCACTAATCATCACTAATTGGCTGACTGATTAATTAACTGATTGATTGACTGATATCTAGTCATCCAATGTGCGATCAGTTGATACCGTAGGGACAACAAATGAGTCTGGCTTTGTCTGGACTCAGATGCCGCTGGTCATAAGATGCTTTTTGTTTGATTCCAGGTTTAATTTACCATTTGAAATACTGATAATTACACTGAATATGGAAAAACAGGACAAATTTACAGGTTCTCACCAGACCGTAATGCTCTGTGGTTGTGTAGATATACATACACAGTTTATAAAAACAATTATCATTTATACAGACAATCATTGTTTTCTTATTGAGGTTGATAGGAAAGGTGCAGCTTTTTTACAACAAGCTTGCCAATGGGCTTTAGATGGCAGAAGAATACTATCTTGGGTTAATAATGTTCTTCAAAATGAATATGAGGCAAGGCTACATAGGAACCACTCACCTTTGTTGCTTTATTCACAATATCCCGACCAGTAGCCAAACCCTGAGACAGTGCTCTGGCTGCAATAAAGGCCCTCGACACCTGAATATGAATCCAAAGATCAGTCACAAAGTACAACCCAGTGTCATTCCACTGACAAAACTAGGTGCAGTTAAATACTCAGTTTAATATGTACAAACTTGTACGCGTAGTTTGCGCGGCACATCCCCAAACGGCTGCAGCTGCTCGGCGTGTTTGCTGACACATTCCAGGTAGTCTTCGCTGAACTGATACTGAGGGTTGACCAGAGAAAAGACCCGCTCCACCAGTCGGGACCAGAAATCTGAGAGAACCTCAGTCAGACTTACACTGCCGCCTGCAGACAAAACAGTAACCGACTGTTAGGATACAGGTTTTCTCATCGGAAAAAATAAAAAAGTGTTTCTCCATTGATTTCTTAAGTACTTAGATTATTTGTGCTTCTTTCTTTTGCATTCAGCATCTTCTGCCTGACCGCTGAAAGAGTGTGCATGAAATCTGAACATTTGTCAGGAAGGAAAACGCAGAACAATAATTTGGCAAATAACTGACCATTGTAGTTAGTTTTCTTTGCTTGGCTACACACACAGTCCAAGCTGTTGAGAGAAATCTAATGGACACTGTTTCACATAGTCCCAACTACACTGTTAATGCTTTGGAGAAACGGTCCTGTTAAACTGAATAATCTGGGAACAGAATGAAATGTAGTTATCTGTCTACAAATCTAATTAATCTACAAATTGTCTACAGCTTGTGAAAAGATGATACCATGTTTTGGATAAAACTATTTCTTCATCTCAAAGAGTATTGTCTTCGGTGCAATCAAATTAAATTAAATTGGATAAAACATAATAGTCGCACAACACTCATCACAAAGAAAAAACACATTAAAGCCAAAACATAACATGAAATATATGCTGCTTCTTTGATTTCTCAGATCTGTGTATTGACTATTAAACACGACACAACAATATGGCATAATATGTCGTCAGCACCGCACTATTTTTTCCCTCATTTCCTCCTATAAATGTGTTTGGGTGCTTGTCAGTGTCTGTGTGGAGTAAGTGACTCTCCAATCTGTAGTCTACTATACAGCCTCAAATTAGCCATACATGCTGTTTGGCAGACAAAGACAGGTTGACTAAGCAGCAACAGCCCGCAGATGGACTCGCCAGCGAGCGGCTGTCATGCCAAAACAGAGCGATCCGGAACGGAAATAGAAACGGTCTGGCATCCGTGGGAATCCAATTCTCTTTCTCTGTTTTTTTTTCTCTAATTCTTCTTGGCATTTTGCTACTCTTCAAAAAAACAAAAAAAAAACAATGCTGCCTCTTTACTGCTGCCCAGAGCTGCTGCTGCGGATTTACTACGACAGGGAGTGATCGAAACTACACTGAACTGTCAGTGCAGTTCAGCAATTGTTGCAGACTGCTTTACCTCCCCTAACCAGGTTTTTAATCATCACTCTGCAGTCGTTCGTTCCTCCTGATGGCGCTGGAGTCAGGTGGCATAGCTGAATGAATGTGTCCTGAAATTTGCTTTTCCATTTTAACTGAATTGAATAAAACATGTATCTTTTATTTGGATGACCACTAAACCACCAGGACACCTCTACTCTCTCTGTTTTACACGGCACATCCAACCCAGCTGGTAGCACTTTAAAAACACCATCTGAATACATGGCGAGGTGGATAAAGAAGTGTTTAAACCAACCAGAATAATATCTGCGAAGCTCCACGAACAGCTCCTGGAAGACGTGTGCGTTCTGAGTGAAGAGCCGGCCGTAGGTCTTGGTAAACATCTGGTTCATAGACTTCTCCGAGAGGTCTATAAGCTCTCTGAAAAACTCTGCACAGACAGGAAAGGCAGAGATTAGATATGAGTCGGTCAGCCACCTTCTATTCTTCTAATATCTCAGCCAGGTTTCTACGTAGGCGTGCCATCACCCCCTCCCCTCGCTTGAATATTAACAGCTCCTAGGGACAGTTACATCAGATCTGCACGCCGCTAAATGAGTGTAACAACATGCACTCTATTTAAAATCCATCTTTAAGACTCATATGCAGTCTCCCACTCCTTAAGCGTCTTTACATGACTCACCACATGCATTATATAAAAGTATGAGGAGGGGAAAAAAAAGGTGATAGCGGTGCACTGCAGGTAGGAGGAGAAAGTGTAAATTCAGCTCTGTGCTGTGGCTGCTACAAACCTGCAGGCTTCACATACAGAATTCAAGACGAGGGCTAAGTTCTCTCAAATGCAGACAGTGATTAAAGCAGTTCGGGCTTTTCTAACACCAACAGTAAGGGGCTCTCAGCTACTTTCACACAGGATGCTCAGTTTACAGCCCACAGTTGGAAACGCTCAGCCTGTGAAACAAAAAGTCTGTGGCTCGTGGTTAATTCAGCTGGTCCATGGGAGATTACACATCACAGCCAAAAAATATATCTAAAGAAATTACATAAGATATACCATGATAACTGTCAAATCGCCAACTTCATAGACACTGTTGTATCTTGCATCTTTTGTCAACACAAATGAGTTTTCATTTATTCTTTCAATGTGAAATATCCCAAATGTTCTTGACAGATCTGAACTCTCACTTGTTTAAAGCTGCTAAATTCAAATGGTACTGCTGAATATCTGATTTATTTCATCAGTCTAAATGCAACATTTTTATTCCCAAACAGAAATTTGCTAAATCCCTCCACTGAATTAGTTCTGTTTACGAAACAACAAAGAAGTAATAAGCTTCTGGAAAGTTTTTAATTTTTCTTTTCTGAACTTCTGACTCAATATGTTCATGTGTAAGCCTTATTAAAGGTATTTTATGCTCTCCATCTATTTCATTCTCATGTGCTCTTTGTGGATAATATTTTGTCATTTTAAAAGTAATTTAAAATAAAATTACATTTTAGAAAAATAGCAGATTAAACGCTGTTAACATGGAGTCTCCAGTGAAGGTGTGATGTTTAAAAAAATGAGAGTATTCAGTGAGGGTAGTCAGGGTCCAATTAAATGCAATGTTGGGGTGCATTATGGGAAATGTAGTGTTTCTGGAGCTCGACCCAAACCAGAGACAAAGGAGTCAAGATATTTGGGTCTTTGCTGCTATGAATTCTATTTTTATAACCAGCCTCTTGTGACTTTCCAACTTTATGAAATTGCAGTACTGATATTTCTGAAATTAAACTTAAAAAAACAACCATGCTGGGGTATCTGAAATATATATTAACTGCTGCGCTTTCAGTGTCTTGAAGTCAGTTTTGTGGCTCAGATCTCTGACTCATATATTTGAGTGGAACTGTGCAGTCTGAAGTCCTAAATTAGTTTTTAATCAGCTGTCACTCAGTGCTTTTAACTGAGCAGATAGGGCGGGTGAGGCGAGGAGAAGCCGAGTGCAGTTTGTGTTCCTTTTTTTTTTCCCCTCTCAAATGTTCAGACTGTGACTTCAAGAAGAATAATTATTTTTTTAATCAATTTTCAAACCAAATCATGTTCCCTTTAAAAGCATGATTAGTAACGAGTAACAGCCTCTCACCATCAAACCTGCGGTGTCTCTGCGTGAAGGTGGTCAGGAGAAACTGGCTGTTGTCTTCAATGGCTTTGAGAAAGTCCCTCTCGCTCTGGAGGGCCAACGTCTCCTCCATCTGACTGGAGCAGCAGGTGTAGTCCTGAGGACAGAGCCGCAGGTGTTCACCTAAAACCAGGCCAGAGGGGAAAACAAGGTTAGGAGGACTGATCACACATGTTTAGAAACTTGTGTGGAGAAATGACTTTTGTTTTAAGATGTAATCATATGCTTTTGCTTTGAATCTGCACAGTAATCTTGCTTTTTTAAGCTGTTTGGAATTCATTTCTGGCTAAAAGGTTATTATCAACACCTCAACAAAGACCAAGGCCCATCCTCGATCATGTCAGAAGGTCTATTATCAGGTCAAAGCAGATATTTTTAGTGAGAAAGTCAATTTGTCCACTCATCAGTCTGTTCAGCGGGAAAAATCTTATCAAAGATAACGCTGTGATAGAAAATTGTAATTTCCCTGCATGAATTATTCAGCTTCAATCTGCCTTTCTTTGTCAGCTCAGGTTGGGTCTTTGATATGTCTGAGGTAATGATATATGCAAACGACAGCCAGGAGGAGGAGAAGGAGGAGGAGGGGGGGAGTAAACAGGCAGCACTCAAATGTGGAAAGGGTTTGAATTCTTTGTTTCTGTAATTTTACATCCGACATGATTGTTGCACCCCTCATACAGTGGAAAGTCTGGTTCCCAACTCCACCCCGGCCGGTGTTCCTCTCTGCCTCTTTTGTTCTCTCCGTGTCTCTCACTATTAGCCTTCTCTCATCCCTCTATTTCCATTTCTAAACTGCCTCCCTTCATCCTTCACTCTCCCGGCCATCTGCTCCCCTGGCCCACGGGACAGTGAGCCAACACTCAGGCAGCGATAGCCCAACACACACACACACACACACACACACAAAATCAATCAATCCTGCAGTTGTCTCGCACACTGAGCTGGATTGCCGTGAAATAAACGTCTGCAAACATACAATTTACTCCCAATCACTTTTAATAGCAGCTCCGTGGCATCTCTGTCTGGGATAGCGGACACTTTTCTCATCAATTTACATGCAAATCAAGAAGTATAGGCTACCTCTTCACACACTCTGTCATTTGGCTGCCTCATATGGTCAGACATTTTAACAATTTAACAGTTTCATCTAAAAATCTACTCCCCTTAATTCCCCTCCTCCTCCTCATCCTCCTCCTCACCCATCCCACCTCTTCAACAAAACTTCAAATTATCCAAAACCCAACAGTTTGTAATCCGCATGACATCTTTTCATTCTGAAGATAAGATTATCACCAGTGAGCAGAGCCTGTGGGTGTATATATACATGCAGGGATTTACCAGTGGGCCAGTAGGCAAAGACTAATTAGGGGCGAGGTTCTTTGTTGCACCGGTGTTGGCAATTTGCTCATCCCCTTAATCATCCTATTTGAGGCGCACAGAGGGGAGGAGGGGGCGGTGTAATTTGTTTTAAACCACACTGCATTGTTTCTCTTTAGGGAAAAAAAAAAAAAAACTCAGCCTGATGTTCCTCCACTGTCGCTCTGGGGCGTTTTAGTGAGTTTAGAGACACCTTGTACTTTCTCATATCACTTTCCTGCTTTGTTGGTGTGAGATCTGCCTGCTACGCTGCTATAATGTTCCCATCATGATTTATGATGTGCTGCTGATGAGCAGTGAGTTTACACTGACCCTAATGTGCCTAATGTTATTTTTATCCCTGCTGAGGCGAACTGGAGCATGCTGACGCGCCTGCATTTGTGCTGCGACACCTAATCCTCAGTTTTATCCCGAAAATAGCATTTCATAGCATGACGGTGGGACTGTTGTGCACCAGTCCAAAGAGCTGTGTGATGCTTTTTTTCTTTTTAATTCATCCCCGCCGCGGGCTACATGCAGAGGTCTTACCGGAGATTTGAGTCAGCGGAGCGGTGCCGGTGCTGTAGCCCTTCTCCGCGTACACCTGCCGGGTGTCGGAGCAGCTCCTCCCCGCGGCAGCAGCGGGACTCCGGGTCCCCGACAGGGCAGCGACCGCGCAGAGCAGCACCAGCAGCCGGTACCTGGAGAAAGACAGCCGGGCATCCATCCTCACCGCAGAAAGTCAGAAAGCAGTGAAAGAGGGGTGGATGGGTTCAGATTAAAAAGAAAAGCAGACTGGGTGCAGTGGCTTGGAAATGAATGAATGACTGGCCGGTTTAGGTGCGCGCAAAAGTGGAAAAAGAGTAACAGGATCCCAAATCGTCAGTCGTTTGAAACAGTCATAGTTTTCCAGTTTGGTGCAGTGAGCATCCAGGAGGGCTTTTTACATCACACATATGTTTCCATCGGCCGCGTCCACTTAGTGTGTCCTTCCTGGGAGACCCGCTGCTGTGCGTAAACAGAAAGGGAGTGTGAAAGAGGCACTCCCGGCCCTCAGCATCATCCGACACACCGACTGCGTCAAACTCACGGCACGTAGCCATGGTGATACCGGCGCAGGGACGGGGTTCAAAATAAAAGACATCCAGCCACGTTTGTTTGTAATAAGACCAGTCAAAGCGCCACCAGACAGACCCAACAAGCAGGAGCCTTCAGGAAACAGATTTTGTAGATTTTCTATATTTTTTTTAAATCTTTTTTTGGAAGAAATCTGCAGTTTGTTGCCCAGAAAAGGAAACCTTTAAGGAAACGTTCCAGGAACCTTCAATGAACATTCCCTTAACGTCCCGTGAAGGTTCCTGTTCACTGAGATAAAACGTTTATGAAACACAAGGACTTAAATTGAACACAAATATAAATGCATCATGTAATATTTCCCTGAACATCTCCTGAAGGTTCCCTAAAACGTTTTTGTTTGCGTGAATAAGATGTAAATGAAACAGGAGGAAATATCCTGAACAAAAATATACACATAGCATGCAATATTAAACATTCCCTGAAGTTCCTGAATGAAACACAAGGAAGTATTCTGAACAAAAGCATAAACAAAACATGGAATATTTTGTTAAATTCTATCCGTTCTTTTTAACATAAGGGAATAAGTATTTGGTGTCACAACACACAGCATCTCTACAGTACGTCATGTAACCACCGAGTATATTGGAGATGATAATGGAAAGATGGAGAGTGGAGTCATAGACCAGAAGTCACAAGTTAATGAGTTTGTTGATGCTGCTTGTTAAATGTTGTCATGGAAGAAGGATTGTGTTGTCAGACATCCAGAGCATCCCTTAGATGCTTAGTGGCTGATGTGTCTAGAGACCATGACAATTTTTGATGTATATTTATGATTCTTTCCTTCTGTATGCTGCTGAGAGTTGTCATTCGGTGGAAATATGGTTTGTAATTCATGCCTTCATGTAGTAAGTGGGGTATGTTGACTGGACGTGGAGTTAAAGCAACGGCTTGTCTTTGTACTAAACCATTTGCACGATGAAGGTCGAGCACCAAAACATCAGAATACTTGTGTTTTTGAAAGTTAGACAGTGTACACAGTTTATTAGCAACTTTTAGAAGTGCTCATCCGTCTCCTACACACCTGTCTCACCTAAAATAGATGTGCAAAGAGTTCCTTTGTCTTAAGAGCAGTGCATATTTTTTGCGATTTGAGGCCACACATTGTGTTGCTAAGATGTCAAGTCAGGCAAGAACGTCGGCAGTGGATGTAATTTACTGTAGCTGGATGTTGAGATTGCCAGTGATGAAGTGCAGACATGTTGTTGTACCTCTCCATACCATCACTCCTATTTCTTCGTGGGCCTGTCTCTGTATGACACAGACTTCCCCTGTACAATGCCAAACGCAACGTCTGCATTGTGCGCTGTAAAGCTGAAAAGAAGATTCATCAGCAAACAGGACTGTCCTCTAGCTTCCTGGAGTCCAACAAACATGAGTGGAGCTGATCATGCCACTGTTCTGCTGTTTGATCAAGGCCTTGGTGTGGGCGACAACATCACAAGCCAGCTTCGCAGTTTGACCGGAAATGTTGTTTCTGCTCAACAACAGCTTCATCTGAATCTCTGTTGCTGATTTTGCAGATAAATGGATGATCCTGAACTCAGGTGGTGATCAACGGCCGTGTGGCACATTGTCATACTGTGCTGTTTGAAACTATTCATTAGACCACAAATAATGGAGTTGTGGACATTCAGGTGTCTGACTATGGTCCTAACTGACATGTCAGGATGTCAACAGTCTGTTCTCGTCTTTCTCTTGTCACCTGTGGCATTGTGTTGTTCGAAGAAAGCTGCATTTTCTGGTCTTTAAAAGTGATCAAAGGAATGTCTGTGAACTTTAACACTATCTGATCGTTGTCCTTTAAAGCTACACCTCACAAGGTTTTGGATTGACTCCGTGGTTAACAATTAAAACTGTTAAAAAAAATCAAACGGAAACAGGAAAAAAATGGTTAATTCAAAAAATGTGAATAATTAAGGTAGTAAAAGAAATTGCTTCTGTGTCTCCTAAAATCTGTATGCAGTTCATTGTTTTATTTTATTGTGAATTATAGGTTCTTAACCTTAAAACTGTGACGGCTATTAACCTTAATTTTTAAATTCATCAGATAATTTGGTAATGTAAATAATAATGTAGGTTCCTAACTAGTATTTATATTCGCCATGTACATTTCTATAATATTCTAGGTTTTTGACCTTAATATTTATGTTGGCCAGGTACATTTATATTGTTTAAAATATTGTAGGGTCTAAACCGTAACATTGAAACTGGTTAGGTACATTTGTAACACCAGTCTTGTTTCTCTATCGGAAAGCACTTCAGCTCAGTGTCTGTTGTTTTAATGTAATATATAAATAATGTTGAATTCACTGAATTCAAAAACAGAATTCAGAACAGATTCCAACTTTGGTATAACTGATTTTGTGGATAGGAGGACTATTTTCTACAATAGTAGTTACAGCCTATCTGACTGTTTTGTGCTCAAGGAGAGCAGCATCAGATCAATGTCAGTTTTTAGGTTTTCTACAAACAGCTTCCTGTTCAGGACTTCCATTAAACCCAGATAGACAGGTAGTCCTGAACAGTAAGCTGTTTGTAGAAAACCTAAAAACTGCAGCATAGCCAGGTTATGAACAAGGTAACTGGGCTAGACTTTCCTTTTTAGCAGGGGATATGTCCTCGTCAATATTTAGAACACAAAAGAGGACAGAAGACTAAATCCAACCTATATGTTGACTCAGCAGTGAAAATATTAAGTAAAAAAATCCAGTCTACAGGAGAATGAATATTTTAAAGCAATGCTGAATAACTGAGAGCCCTCCTGGATTCTAGATCATATTTTGAATTATTAGCTGGTGCCTGAAATTTGATTTCCTGTGCATAAATTCATTTGCACCACAAACCAATGCAGAAAAGGCACAATGGTGCTTTAAAATTCACCAAAAATCCCCAAATTATAATAAGCCTTTGATGCTCAAAAACTCCTCAGGGAGGTCCCCTAAATCCCACATAATGTAGCCGTCCCAGTCATCAACCTAAACTTAGGGCTATGCCTGAGTGTGACAAGTTCAGAGGCGTCATGCGATGGTTTTAATAGTTTTAAATATGAATCAATATTGAATCTTGATTTGTAAAAATTTAAACTTAAAAAAAGTGAAAGCTGGCAAACTTGTTGGAGCCATATATTCTTTTAATATTAAGTCTATTTAGCAAATTCAGTATAAGGGCACAATGCAAGTTTCAAATGGCATTTACAGGGAAAATAAAAATTGAAAGATTGTTTTGTGTTTTTATCCTAAGAACCTCAGTAGAAGTGGAGGATCTTTAGGAACCAAAAAGCAGTTCAGTTGTTTTTATCACTGGAGCTTTTAGGATTACCACGACCTGAAATCTACACAGACATCAATTTATATAATAGTACACTATTGCCGCTTTGCAGCAGGTGTGTTATTTTGACGGTGCGGACCAGAAGCGGTGTGTTCATCCTGGCTGCTTTGACTCTGGTGGTCAGAGCCTTTCAAACACAGAACAATGGACCGTGCAGAGCAGCAGCACCAGGGGAGAGAGCGATGAGGAGCCTGCGGTGGCGGGGCGGGGAGCAGCTGAGACAACCACCTCAGGCTGCTCTGTACTGGACAGACTGGCACAGAGCAGACAGCCTGGAATATTATACACACATACAGCACCATACCACTCTTAACTTATAGGAAAAAATGTTCCTTAATGAGAGTAATTACCTGCAAAGTGGAAGCAGCCACAACTGAGGTTTAACACTCTTGTTTAACTCGCTGCTGTCTAAAAAGCACAACTTACAAGTAACCACGTGTTGACCAATCACCATCCAGCTACCATTTGGAAGAACCAATGATCTTCTGCTTCGGAGAGGCGCTGGCCAATCAGCAGCCAAGAATCTCGCACTTTTTTTGCGCTTTTTTGGCTCTTCCCGGGTCACGAAAGAGAAGAAAATTAGCAGCATACTGATCGATAGCTATATTATCAGATGGTAAAGTATCGTAGTTGGTTTGTTAATGGTGGTTATTGATTATTTTTCGTTTTAGTAGTTAGCTGGCCACTTGCTTAAAAGCTAATTTTTCATATGTTCTGAGGATGTCGACCAATGAGTTTTGTCTGTTAGCAGCCCATGAGATCCAGTGTGGACAGGATTTTCTCAGCTAACATTTTGTGTTATCCATTTTTGTCTGTTTCGAAGAATTAAAAAGTCAGTTCGTTTTGGAATTATCATTGCAAGTCTGTTAATATGCTTTTTAAATAAGTCAGTGAGTCTTAAGAGTTAGTGATAGCGTTTACTTAAGGGGCTAGCTAGCCAAGGTTAACTAGCCTTGTAGCTAGCTTAATTTTGTCTTTCCTACACAGCTCCTCTCCCCACTGAAAAAAGTGTTAAGAACAACCAGTTAGCCAACAATCCAGACTCATCTTATGATCCGTGGTGCCTTCATCCAGCCAAAATGTCAAGTAGAAGCCCACCTTTGGACAGGTAAGTTAGCCAAGCCCATCTAAGTGTTGAGTTTTCAGAGTGACGGCGTTGTGAGCTAGCTAGCTCTGAATCCTCCCTCCATAAAGTGAACCTGAGCATGTAGAGTTGTAGAACATATTTTATTGTCAGTGAAACATTTATTAAATTTTAACTGTATTACAAAGTTTAAATTGAATTATTTTACAAATCAGATCACAATATCTGTCAGAAAAACTGCAGTTACATATTTTCCCCAAATTGTTCAGCCTTGCTCCACAGTAAAACATTCTGGGTGCTTCTCCCTAACTAACCAATTCATTGAGGTATTAGTAAGATGTGTGCTCAGATCATCAAAATTTTGATCATGATACTGGTCCACCTTTATAGTCTTATTACTCTTGGTAATATTGATTTGCTGATGCTGAGATTTGTCTTGATTAAGTTGTTTTCCTCTGTTAGTCCTGAGGAGCTGGATGACTTCTCAGACTCTGGCAGTGACTATGAGGCCACAATAAAAGGCTCTAGGCGAAGAAAAAAGCCAGTACCCGGACATGTGGTAATTCCCCTATTCTATTTAATTTACTATATAATTTCACTCTTATGTCGATGCTATTCATTTAGTCAGGGAGTAGATCAGAGCTGTGATCTGGTATTTTTAAGGTATTGAGTGAAATTCCATGATTTTTTAATCATCAAACATCAAACTACACATTAATTCACTCTAAATCCCTGAATAAATCTCTTTCATCTCAAGCCACCCAAGAGACCCAGGCGTAATGCTGCATTGAGGGTGACGTCCAGCACCATTAACAGCCCCATCCCCACCCCTCCTCCTGACCCCTCCCAGCAGCAGCAGCAGCAGCCACCATCCCAGGGGACATCCAGGCAGGTCTCTCTTAGACCTGTGAGAAACGTGGATGAGGGGAAGCAGGGTATCACAGCAAAGGATATCTATGATGCTGTCAGCTCTGGAAAGACTGCCATGGTGGTGAGCAAACACTCAGCTCAGGAGCATAAAGAGAAAGGGGAAGGTAACATAGAGATAAACAGGTGAAGGAAGAGAGGTGCTGAAGGAGGCATGTGTAATGAGAAGAGAAACAAGCTGACAATAAGAAAGGTTATCATGTGCTGTCAGTGGGTGAGTGATGTAAACCTACAGGATCACTTTTGATACGCGAAGAGGAAGGAGTGTTTCCATTGGATGATGTAGTCAATGATTGACAGCGCTCGTCCATCCCAAGTATTGTTGTCCTCTAGCCAGTCTTTTCTGGATAAAGGATACAAAAGAAATGCCCCCTAACAAAAGAAAGAAAAAGAAGTGGTCCGCCATAATAAAGAGCCTTTCACTACAGTATAGAGCACCAGAAACAATGCAGATGGTCATTCTGGGTGAAGGCACACCCTAGTACAAGACTTTTAGCAAATCTGCACAAACTGTGATCAAAGAAATGTTACTCTGTTTTGCAAAGGTTTCTTGGTTTTCAGTTAAATTTGACTCCTTTACACTTTACATAAATCACACTGTTATTAACAGCAGAACAGATGCTCGGGAGGAGTGTCTTTGCATGTGTAATAGGGCCATGGTTGCCAAAAATGATTATGCAAAGGAGTTGGTGAATTAAACAGGAACTTAAAGGGGCCTGAAAATATACGGGTAGTAGAAAGATAGGATGAACACACTTACATATGGTACAAAAAAAACATAAAAAGCTGAAACCAGTAATGTTGTTCAAATGATATTCTTATAATATCCATCTTCTCTTTGATCTGTGTGTGTTCTCATTGGCTGCTTTCTCACTGTCAATCCTAAGACCGTGGTGGACGAGTGGCTGGACAGCTACAAGCAGAGCCGAGAGGCGGGACTGCTGGTGCTCATCAACTTCATTGTTCAGTCCTGCGGATGCAAAGGTCAGAGGTTAAGAGGGAGGCAAGGAGATGGACAGTAGGGGGTAGGGGGGGTCAATGTTGTAGAGATTATCTTTCCAATTTCACTCAGAAAATGATAAGCAGTATTGATCTGCTTATATGCTAACTATGAAGTGTCTAGGTGCCGTGTTAATCCTCTATTGACAACAGAATATCAATATTTTGAGGGAGTGGAATTAAAATGAGAAGAAATCATACCGTGTAAAGCCTAAGTAGGAGAGCCAGATGGATATTTCACTTTATTTCCTGATGTAGAGCTTTTCTTGTGTGTCCAGGTGTGGTTAGCCGAGAGATGTTTGACAGCATGCAGAATGCTGAAATTATCAGCACACTAACCAAAGAGTTCAATGAGGTGAGACGAGAAAAACGGTAGTTCAGACATAGGCTGATTTGTTGAAACGCATAATAAAAATAAACGTCGTTCTTGCAGGTATTCAAGCTTGAATCTCGTTCACAGTCTTTGTCAGTCTTCCCATTACAAATAATTCTGCTGGAATTAGTGGAGAAACTCAAATAACCTAAATGTCCTGAAAGATTATGATCTGAAGGATGGAGCGCAGCATGATGAAACACACTAATTATAATCTAATGCTGATAAATGGGCACATTAATGAGGTAATCTCTTTGGTTTTCCACTGATGTAAATGTCATTAGCAGAACAAACCACAGGCTTCAAATATCTACATTATGCACAGTGTATGATGGTAAGCGTGTTTTCTTTGTTTTGTTTTGTTTTTGTCATTGCTGTCGTTTCCTTGTTCCTGTCTGTCTCCAGGATTCTGTGAACTACCCTCTATGTACTCCAGGTCCCCAGCTGAGGCGTTTAAAAGACGGCCTGCGTGAGTTTGCTCGGGTCCTGGTGCGCTCCTGTCAGAATAGCCTCATTTATGACGAATATCTCTTCCCCTCCCTGCTGGCTCTGCTCACCGGCCTGTCAGACTCCCAGGTCCGAGCATTCAGACACACCAGCACTCTGCTAGGTAGGTGCATCAGTGCAATACAGGTGCATAAACACTTTCACTGTGTTTATTGTGGTTGATTTGCTAATCACTGAAATCAGTTTTTAGTTGGGGTGAAAACGTGTAATTCACGCCCATATTTCCTCCTGCTGTTCTTTGAGGCAGTCGATTCAGTAGACATCTCTTAGGTGCTAGTGGCAGTTTTTGTTCTTTAGAATGCACTCCTCTTGTAAAGCTTGCTTTTTGTTGATTTCTTTTAAAACCATGGATTTCTCCTTTTCAGTCAACTAAACCACAAAATGCAGGTCAGAAACATATTCATAATATGACATAGACATACTTTTTACACTTAGATTTAAAAGGTGCAGAAGTCTTCGGCAGGACAATGCTTTTAATGTAACTGTTGGACATTAATGTGTTGAAGACGTCAGTAGCACAGTATTTAACCTACTACATTAAAGTAGACTGTTAGTTTGAAGATGGAGACTGGGGGTAGATTTATCCAAATGCCAGAGGATAAGGACTTACTGAATTTTTAAAGGAATAGTTTTTTGGGTTTTTTTTTTTCAGAAACAGTGGGAAATCACCTGTCTTCCTCTGTCAGATCCGCTCCTGGTTATATATAACACAGTTAGAGCTGCCTAGCTCAGTCTATCTGCATGTTTTTCTCTATTAGCCATGAAGCTGATGACGGGGTTGGTGGAAGTCGCTGTGATAGTGTCTGTTCAGCTGCAGACCACCCAGCGCCGATACGACGTGGAGAACAGCAAGAGGGCGCATGACAGAGCCTCTGACAGACTGGAGGACCTGCAGGCCACCATCAGAGAGGTGGCGTATACGAACACACTCACGAGTGCAGACACACACAAAACCACTTTCACAAACACGTAGGTCATGACATTTAAGCAGTCACATCGGCTTTATAGGAAGCATCTTAAAGGGGAAAGGATAAAAAGGACACCCACATCAAGAGTCTTTGAAGTGCTCAAAGCAATGTAGTTGAAATGCACACATAATTAAGACTTTTTTTTTTTCTTTAAGTTTAACCCTCTGAACCCCAAATCCTGCCAGTGGGTTTAAAACGGTAATTCCTGTTTTTTGTTGTTTTTTTTAAAGCCCAAATTCCGCCATTTATCAGAGCCAGAAACTGAAAAAAACCCCAACAGAATCATACTTTATCAGAATTGCTTTGTTCTGTATGTCTTGTTTAAACTTTCTGCAAAAATAAATCATTTGTTCTAACCAAAATGGCACAACTGTGAAGCCGTTACTCAGCTGCGACCAACAGTCGAATGCCAAAAATTGACTGAAGTCCGGCAAAAAATTATATTATACTTGGCATCTTGGTTGAAAGAGTAGAGGAGGTTCAGCCAGATAGTATTATGTGCTTGATACAGTTTCCTATCTTGCTCACATGCATGGTCAGATGTAGACATACAGAGACAACAATTGAACATTAAGCACACTCTTAATACTACGCCCCAATGTTAAGATTGCATCAATAATCACTGATTGCATTATTTCTCCTGCTCTTCTGTCTTTACTGCTGAATGTGGATAACGTGAATGATCAGATACGAGGTGTGTCAGAAAAGTTCCAGGACTGGTGTCACTGATATATTTCAAACCCAAACTACAAACTACCAGTTTTCCCCTTAAGACCATCAACCAGCACGTCTACAGAGATCCTGCAGCGTTTGTTTCTTTCAGTGCATGAGAAGAGGTGAGAGTTGTGGCAGGACAAGTCGTGGCTGCTTCACCATGACAACGCGCCTGCTCACAACGCCCTGAGCATCCGACAGTTCCTGGCTGAGAAGAACATCGTTGTCACCCGACCTGGCTCCGTGTGATTTTATTTCCTCTTCCCCAAGCTCAAGGGGGTCATCAAGAGGACCCGGTTTGAAGACGTGGACAACATCAAGATGGCTGTGATGAAGAAGCTGCAGTGGATCCTGGAAGAATCCTTCCAGGAGTGCATGGCGGCATGCCAGAGAAGGCTGGGAAAGTGTGTTAGACTCCAGGGGGATTACTTAGAAGGGGAAAACTTGTAGTTTTGATTTGAAATGTATCTTTTCTGACACACCTCTAAGGATGCAGAAATGGTGAAGTGCTTGGTTGCCACAAGCTCTGGGAAATGTGAAAAAACACTTTTCATAATGGTTGCCCTCTCGACCTCAATGTAATCAAAGAATTGGACATGAGATAGAATCTTAGGGTGAATTATTTTATACACAGTCTTGTTTGGGAGTGTTTGACTTGATCTGTTTTCTATATATGTATGTTGTAGTTACAAGAGAACAGAGAGGAACTGTCCTCCATGATGAACGGCACTTTCCGTGGTGTGTTTGTGCACCGATACCGGGACTGTCTGTCTGAGATCCGGGCAGCTTGTATTGAGGAGTTGGGCATTTGGCTGAAAACAGACCCTGAGGACTTCTTAAATGATGGATGTCTTAAGTATCTGGGATGGACCCTGCATGACAAGGTAAACACGCAAACATTGGACAAAACAACAGAAAATGCAACACAGACTGATGTATTGCTACAATGTGGGCAACATCATGTGCCACAGAAGTAGCAGATGTGTGTCTGCAGCCCTCCGCAGGCCAACACTGGGGATAACAAGGACAAGCACTGGATTGTACAGGGAATTGTGCTTTCTAATTTAAGCAGCTTTTTTGTTTTATATTCATGCTTTGACATCTTTCCTCGAGAGACACCATTGTAGAGTATCTGCAGACAGACACAGGAAGAATCACATACACACACTTGCACAAAGAAAAATGTCCAGACTCTGACATTGGTATGTATGCAGGTTATAGAAAGTGTGTTACTGTACTTTTTTTTTTTCTTTTCTCCCTCAGCAAAGTCCGGTGCGTCTGCAGTGTGCGCGTACCCTGCAGGGTCTGTACCAAGAGAAGGAATTCATTGGCCGCCTGGAGCTTTTCACCAGCAGATTTAAAGTGAGGCATCCCTCTGGATTGGACTCACGCCTCATTTAATGCCTCTTTCTCCCTCTTCTTCCCCCTGTCTGTGTGTCTGTCTGCGTGTCTCAACATCTGTCTTTAATCTTTTGTTTCGGGCCCTTTGTATTGTTTCTGTTTTGTTGCCTGCCTGTCTCTCCTGAATATTTTGTGCCCCCTCCTCCTATTTTCTTGTCTTTTTAGTTGATTTTTTTTTTTCACCATTCCTGTTTGTTGTCATGCTCTCATCCTTTGTCTGGGCATGTGTCTGGCTGCATTAATTGCTGCCAATTACTGATGGTTAATAAGCTCTTCTCAAACACATAAAAACCATCCTAAGCCACATGTGCTGCAGCAGATAAATGGCGTTTATGCCGTGGCTTAGTGCCTAATCAGTGGGCCCGTGTGTATGAATGCATGTCTGTGGATGTGGGTGCATTTCTGCATGTCTGAGTGTAATATTTTTTGTGCCTGTTTGTTTGCTGGCGTGATTGTACATTGGTCTGTGTGTGTGTGCCACCGTTTATCTGAGTGTCTGTGTGTGTTTAGGAAAGGATTCTCAGCATGGTGCTGGACAAGAACCCAGACGTGGCAATGGAAGCGGTCAATCTGTGTCTGCTGATCCAACAGTGAGGGGGTTTTCTGTCTCTAATGGTTTCTTTGTGCCACTATCTGAAACATGCAGTACAGGAATTTCATTTTAAAGGATCAAAACCCAGCGAATATATCACATTTTACTAAAAGATAGATTTTTAATGTTTTTCTAGGTGTAATGTTTTGAGCTTTATTTTGGCATAAAAATCAAATTACATTAAACTGCTGCCCAGTTCTTTGATATAGATAGATGTCGCTTCATGTGGGCAGTGTTTAACACTGAATGAGAAGCTCCTCAAAACTCCAGAGTAAAACTATTCTTATCTAAAAAAAAAAAAGAAGTCACGCCCAGTCAACCAAACGAAGTTTTCCCCTGAAATGAAAAGCGAAAATAATCATGAACTGCATATATCTTCATCCGCAAGTCTAGCCTCTCAAGAATAGAAGTGTGATGGTCCCTCGAAACTGAGATAACATTCTTTGTCATGATTGCTGATGATTCATAGCACGAGTCGTGAGCTTACATTTGCCAACATCTCACACCACTGACTGTAAATTAGATGGTTTTGTTAATAGCCAAAAAGAAAGATGAGATTCAAATTTTTGGTTAATAATATAATTCTATATGACATCTAGCCAATATACAGTTTTAAAAATACATAATTTAATAGAATGCATATCTAAACAAACCAGTAAATGCTTGTGTGTGTGCACACATGCAGGAATACAGAGGACGGTCTGACTGAGGAGGAGTGCGGCCACATCTATCCTTTGGTTTATGCTGCACATCGAGCCCTGGCGTCTGCAGCCGGCGTCTTCCTCTACAGCAAGTACGCTCTCGCTCTCGCACTGTACAGTCGTCTTGTCAGACGACTGTACAGTGCTGTCTCTCTGGTTATGAGGTGTCACTCATTATGTACTTCACTGCTGTCTTGCTATTTGTTGTATGTTTACTTCCACATAGTCTATCCACCAAGAACCGAGCAGTGAATCCTCACTGTCATGAAAATGTGTTCCTAGTCTTTATAATGTGGTACATCATAGTTCCCACAAAAGCACAGATGAAAAACAACAACTACTACTACTACTTTTTCATTTACAAGCAGATAAAATTGTGTGTTATGCACCTCTTTTTGTAATCTATCACCTCAGTGTTTTATTCTCTGTGTTTTTAATGTATGTGTGCCAGGCTGAAAAATGTGACTGCCAGTGACAACCAGGAGGAAGATAAAAGCAACAATGCCGCCTTTTTGCAAATCCTCATCTCCTTCTACATCCAGAGTGAGGTAGTATTTCTTTCCTTCAGTGTCTCCTCTCTGTTTCAGTCCATCTATTTACTCTCTAAGTAAATTCATCTTTTCTCATAGATCATTTATTTTGCATTATGTTTTCATGATTAGAAGTAGTGTTCAAATCTTTCCTATAAAAAGCCACATTAACCAAAAGGCATAGCAGTAAACCTTTTTGAATATAGACCCTGCTTTATAGGTGAAATAAGCGATGGTCACTGTAGTAGACAAGACAACGGTGTTCGACTGCTGAAGTAAATCTAAAACACTGCATCAACAGTTCCATGAGCATGGGGCGTACCTGGTGGACAGTCTGTGGGGTGTGGCGGGATCTGAGCTCAGAGACTGGGAGACTATGACAGCATTTCTGCTACAGGAGGCTGGTGAGGACTACGTTAATTTAAGTCATTATTATAAAAAAAAAAAATGCTGCAAATAAAGATACCAAGTAAATGGTTTGTGCTGTTTTTTGTTTTTTTTTCAGCTGGTGATTTTCTTTATGTGTTATTGCTTTGTGTCGTCTCAACTGTCTGTCTGCTGCTGTCTCTGCCTTTGTGCTGTCAGGTCTGATGTATGAGGAGGAGGGGGCCCTCATAGAGCTGATGATGTGTGCCATCAAACAGGCAGCACAGGCAACCCCACCTGTTGGGAGAACTCAGGGCAAAAAGGTGGTGACAAATGCATGCATAATCATCTGTAGTTTATGTTTTATGGAACAGTGGAGCTTGAGGGCGAGATAAATTCTTATTTTTATTTGTTTCAAATTTTCCCATGATGCAGAAAGTTGATTTTTAAAACTTCACTATGCACATTTGCGGCACTAAACATGAATATATGAGATACAAGTCACCAGTCTTGGTTCTCATCCATTTGTATCGGAACTCTTTTGTCTGCTTATGTACACTGCTGAACTGCTTGCCTGTGACTGCTTACTGGATGTCCATATGGGAAGATCCTGAGTATGAAGGATAAGAAGATCCAGGAACAAGACAGAAGACGCATCACCGCACACTTCATCCCCTTAGTGCCACAGCTGCTGGCCAAGGTACAAAGCCAAGGTTCTAAAAAGTACACATATGCTGTGTTTTTTATTGCCATGTTTCATTTTTAATGCTGACATGTTTTTTTCTGAGCTGCAGTACTCAGCAGATGCAGGCAAGGTGAGCCTCCTTCTCAAAGCTCCCCTCTACTTCGAGCTGGAGATGTACAGTAGCGCTCAGTGGCTGGAAAAGGTAGGAGGGCCAGAAATCTGGAGGGACCAACATGATTAATTACCCTGAAAAGATAAAAAATCTCCTCAGAAATGATGCCACGGTCCAGTGTGCTCTAAGGTTGTGGGCATAATCCTGTAGTGGTAGCTTAGAATATTAAAAAAGGGAAATTAAGGACAGAATGGTTAGGGAGAAGGGACTTGGCTGTGGGTTCTCAGGGAAAGACACTTAATGATTTCTGTCCTTTTAGGGCTTCGCTGCTGCTGTTGTTTGAGGATTAATAAAGTAGTAATATAACATGACACAGGAAGGGATAATGGTTGTGCTGACAACTTTAGAGAAAAATAAACTGAACAAAAATGGACAAATGAATGTTTATAAATAAGTGCTAGCCAAGGTGAACAATGACTAACCTGGCTCAGCGGTTCAATTCAGCGTTCTTGAGTGAGCGAGCAAACCAGTTCCCTTACACAAAACTGACCTCAGGAATACTGCACATGTTTCTGTTCTGTCCTCTCTTTTACCTCCTTTATGTCTTCTTCACTCACCCCTCTTTCTTTCAGCATCTGGACCTGCTGCTGTCCCAGATATGTGGCATTGTGGAGAAGCACACAGAGGTCACTGTGTTGGAGGCTTGTGCCCACCTGGCGAACACTCTCTGCTCCGAGAGCTACACCTTCTCCTCCCGTGCACACCTGGCATTCAGCCAGCTGCTGGACGGCCTGACTGAGTGTTTCAGCAGCTACTTAAGTGACCTGCTGCAGGTTAGAGAGTGTGTTGGTGAAGTTTACATACTGGCAAATATGGCATGTTCTAAATTAAAACACCTACTCATTTGCTAGTTTATTAAGATTGCCTAAGTCTAATATAACAGTCCTGTAATAATCTCTGCTTTCATGTAGGTTCTGTTAAACTGGGTGTAACAGGTGTTTCTGTTATTTTGTCCTCCCCATTTATCGTCACCGGGTGTAAACTACACATGTACATTTCAAGGGCTTCTGCTATCTGCTTGCTACACCTTTGAGAATCCCCTTCACTACAGGAAACAAATGCAGCAAACTCAGAGCAGCAACCTACGATGTTGAAAATGTTAAGTTTTGCAGAGGATTGGGATCGCAGCAGTGGCAGCTCTGCTAGGTTTTTCAATGAATTAGGCAGTTTAATGATGATGCTCACTTGCAAACTAAAGCAGTTCCCCCCATCGCTATTTAAAGGGGACATATTCTCTGCATCTTTTGTTTAGCTTAAGCTTGGTTTAAAGAAATGCAAACAAGCCAGAGCATTTCACTCCCCTATAGCAGAATGATAATCAAGTGCAGCCAGATCGTGCTTTGACAATGATGGTAGGTGAAATAACAAACAGTTCTCTATACAGTTTGACAGCAACTGAAACAGCAGCCTTAAACAACACAGAGTTGAATCAACATATTTCTTCAACAGTAAAACAAAACATGAGAAGAGTTATTGCAGGATTTGCGTAGTAATTGCAGTCATTTTAGCTCAGTGTACCAAACTGATATAATAATAATAGTGTATGATAAAATGGTGACAGCTGTAGAAGTTTGACTTCAACAAACTACTTACCACATTAATGACTTGGTAATTTGTGGAGCTACTAGTTTTAGACATGCATACAAACTGTACTTAATTCAAGTATGAGAAAACTTGATGCCTCACAACACAAAAACAATTTTGAAAACTCTAAACACTTATAAGTAATTATGAATCACAACAGGTTTCTAGTGGGCCTGCTGTTTGTAAAAATTAAAACCCCTTAATTGGGGTTTGGAAAGCATGTTTGTGTCTGGAGTTTGTGTTAGTGTGTGATTGTCTACCTAGGGTACTGCTGATGATGACGACACATACAATGCAGCCACTGCCTTGAAAAGGATTGCTGTCTTAAGCAGGTAGGTTCTTATAATATACATGACATTGGTACGGGCCACTTCTTACACAGATGTGTATGACTGAGTTGTTGTGTGTGTGCGTCTGTTTTCCAGTGCAAAGGACCCGACTGGCTTGAAGCTGTTTGACTCTTGTCTCGAGCTGCTAAAGATCAGGATGGAGTCGACAGAGCTTGACAAAGAGGTTTACAACAACGTTTAATGTTGGAAGCAGTGTTAAGGATTGTATTTAGATTATTATGGTGTCAAATAATAAGAAAGGAGGGGAATGTTTAAAAAAATATATTACAGTATGATTTATCATAATACAAAAAAGCCACAGGATGAATTGTTAAGCAAAAAAATTAATGATGCAAATAATAATTACCTACCAAACAAGGCTTGTTCAAACTGTCCTAATTTGCCTACTTGTTGACTATGCATTCACTATGCCATCTGAAAAAAACAGTATTTTTGTCTTTGTAGGTATGGATCTGGTTGGAAAAGTTAGGGAAAATAGTTTTTTGCATATAATACCAAAATCTCTACAGAAATTCATTTTTACTTCTCTTTGTGTAATTTCAGCTCATGGTTTCAGCTCTGAAGTGTGCAGGCTTTCACCTGATGTGGGCCAAAGTCAATGTGGTCAACTCTAAGCCAGCTGAGGTACCTATTTCACATTATAACATTGTTTTGTTTTTTTTCTCCATTACTTAAAGGCCCTCTCGGGCCTTGATGAAACTTGTAATTAAATCTCTGTGTACCAAAGTTACACATTTAAATGTTTTTTCAGTCACATCATCTGTTCATGCCTTAAAATGGTTAGATGTAAATCCACAGTGTTGCTTCCTCTAAAATAGAAACATCTATAGGCGCCTTTTTTATCTCCATCCAACCCGCCCAACTCAGCGCCTCTCAGCATGATTCTGAAGAAAAACCATGATTTGGAAAGCCCCACGATGCAGGTTGACAGCATTGGTCCTTTAGGTTTTCTACGTATGAAACCTCAGAAGTCTGAATCTGTTTTTTAAGCTGTCATCAGTACACTGCCGTTTGATAGGTGGGAATGCTCAGCCATGTTGTTGACTGTTTCTACCACATGATCACGTCTTCTAGCATATTAAAAAAAACCACCATATCAGCATGTTAACGAGATTTTAAAAAGGCAGAGTTTTACCAGAGGGCGTCTTTGGAAGTTTTGAACTAGTTTGACCTTCTCTGTCTTTTATGCACTAACTTGGATCCACAGTGTCAGCCGACCTGCATGAGATAAGCCAATCTACATGATTAGTGCTTTCATAATGGGTATCACATCACAGCCAACCCATGGTGACCGTGTTGGTGGCCTTCCTGTGTGTTTGTGGAGCTCTTTTGTCTGTGTGGTTATACAATTCACCAGCTGCGCAGACAGCAGGCAATTAACACAGCAGTCTGTTAGAGTTCATCTGAGCCCACAGTGATGCTCAGATTTTTATTTCTCTCTGGTTCACACATTTCCCTGCTGTTTGTCTTTATGTATTTGTTGTCTTATTCTTGTGTGAAATATTTATTCACTCTTTCCTTCTTGCCTCTTTTCAAATCGATCAATCAAATCAAGTTTATTGTCATTTTGCTGTACATACAACAGTAGTACAAACAAGATGAGAGAGCGTGTCTTCAGGATCCAAATACTAAAAGCAATTAAATAAAGAAGTGTTTGCACATCTGGATCAGCAGTTCAGCATTCTGACAGCTTGTGGAATGAAGCTCTTGATCAGTCTGGAGGTTCTTCCTTCAGTGCTCCGGAAACGTTTGCCTGATGGCAGCAGTTCAGTTTATGGAGAGGGTGTGAGGCGTCCCTGACAATGTTAAGTGTCCTGCTCCTGCAGCGGCTCTAGAAAAGTTCAGAGCTAGCTGTCTGTCTGTCCATCCAGAATGATGTCATCTCCTTCAGCTGTATGGCTGTCTGGCATGCTGTCATGGAGCCATGTTTCTGTAAAAGCTCTTGAAGCTCATTGTCATGTTTTTGTTTTTTTTTTTTGGTTTTTTTCTGTCTTTCTCTGCATACAGGTCACATGCGTCATTACTAGTCATGCATCCATTTTTGTGTTTTCCTTAACAGGGTTCCAGAGACAACACATACAAATCCCTCCCTCGTGTTTAGTTATTTTCATTCCTTGTCTGTTTTCATGTTTTGTTGCATCACCCAAATGGCCATGTTTCAATGTCTATTTAAAGACATTAATTGCAAACAAATGCTGCCAAATCTTATCGCCTGCAGATCATTTTGTGTACGTCACTATCTGCTTTGACAACAACATGTTCCCTTTAAAGAGAAACAGAGTGAATTTATAGGAAACATAAGACTGCAACTTTAACTTTATAACTCAAATTAAAGGGCATCTCTTGACAGCAATGGAGGAACTGCTCTTTCTTACTTCGCCTGTAGTTTAGATAAATGTATATTCTTTTAATGAATACTGAAGAAAGTTGTGTTTAATTGGGTTTGCTATTGTTGGTGTTTGTAGGGAGCTTAATTTATATGAATATTTTCAGGGGAGTAAAGGTAACTTGCCTTGTACCTTGTTGCTGTCCCACACACCCAGATATACACAGTAATAAGATGATCATTTATTTCTGTACCTCTGTTTTTGTCCCTCTATCACCTTCTCTCCCAGGTGGAACTGATAGGCCTGAAGAAGGATGTGCGTTCATTCTGCAGAGTCTGTCAGACGTGTTTGTCTCTGAACCAAGCTGAGATTAGAGATGAGGTGAGGCGACTCTACGCTGTTGGAACAAATTGGCAGTCACGACGAAAATGTGCTGAAATGTTCTGTCGTCAATCCAAAACGGTGGTCTTGAGATCCTGCTGTGAGAAACATTCACAGACAGAAGATCTGGAACACGGGGAGCCTGTGGCAAAATTCAGACAGCGTAAGAAATTTAGGACCAAATTCTCACAGGGGGACAGCTGCTGCGTCCAATGTCCACAAACCACCAAAGAATACAACATGAAATAATGTAGAATATGCTGGTCAATAGAAGAACACCAGTGTGGTGCTGTAATTTAAAGCAGGACATGCTGACATGAGCTTCTGTTTGCATATTTACGTTCTCGTGCTTCCATTCACCAGCTTTTCGTCACACAATCTGAAATACCTCCACATGGCATCGTACAGTTTGACACAGGTTGAGGCTAAGATTGTATTAGAGCCACCTTGCACAGCGTGACGTTTAATAGTATTATACAGTCTTATTGTCGCACAGTGTGAATCCACTTTTAGACAATAGACTGTTTTTAATTTGAATTGATTTCTCAGCTTGTCTGACACCTTTCAGAAATGATCAATGCCGCAATATCTCTGTGATCCCATGGCACAAAACACACTTTCTACACACTAATCTTCTGAGGTGAAGCTGATAAACTATTAGTCAGTCTTGACATCCTAATACCAGTGTTGTAGATCTGAATTTTAATACTTGGAGAAAATAAGTTCTTGTTTGTCCTTTCATTCACAGGCTTTTGTGCTGCTGTGTGACTTGCTGCTGCTCTACAGTGTGAGTTCAGTCCGCTCTGAACCTGCCCTCCAAACGCTGGTCCACCTGCCGTCTGATTCTCTGCGCTCTGAGTTGGCTGCTTTCCTTCTGGACTACGTCTTCACCGACACCGAAGATGTCGAGCTCAATGGTATTTTGACACCAAATGAAAAAAAGTCACACCTACTCTTAATTAAATGTTTGCATGAACTGTGGTGCTTTCTGGAAGCAGTTTCAGGCCGTGTTGACAAAGTGACATCACCATTAACAGATGTCATCCTCTTTTTTTTCTTTCTTTCTTTCTTTCTTTTTTTTTTTATAACCACTGAATTATAATGGAGAGGATTTAGTTTTTCTTGTGGATGTGTAATGTTTTGGAAACTACTCAGTTGTAGCACTGCCAGAACTCTCCCAGAGGACTCTACCCTCTTCTATGCCTGCGGACATAGTTTTTGATGTCTTGTTTTGAGGGTTTTCTTCTGTAACTAATCTTTTTTTTTTCCTCCATATTTCATGATGTTCTGCCAATTCCCAAGAGAAATACCAGTTTACTCAGAAGCTGTATATCTTTCATCACATACCCTGTTTTGCTTGTGCCTTATAAACATCTAAATTATGTCTCCTTGCCATGACATTTTTCAAACTAACTATCGGCCTGTTGTTCCTCCATCTGATTATTTTCTGTCCTTCGGTCACTGTAGCCAAAAATGAGGAGGAGACAGAGATAAGTCTTCTACAGAGGAAGCGCAACCAGCTGGCTGGCTACTGTAAGCTGATCATCTACAGGGTGCTGGACCTCACTGCTGCCACCGATGTCTTCAAGCACTACAGCAAGGTGGAAGGATGGTTTAGTTTTAATTAGCCCAGTATATTATATATACATTAAACATATTGAAATTTATAATTTCTGACTGTCAGCATGTGACAATTGTGTACACATAGGAAAATGTGTTAATAGTGAGTTTAGCAATCTTTAAATTGAGAGAGAAATTAATTGGGTTTGGAATACGGGAAACAAGTTTATACAAAAGTAATAATGATGACAGTGTGTTAGACAGTGGAGGAGGGTGAGAAAATCCTTGTAGAATCAGTGAAAAGCTGAGAATGAGTCAGAACAGTGGCTAAAATGAGTGGATTATTTTTACATTTCCAGACATTTAGCCAGTGCTGTTAATTAAACAGATTAGTACTTTTTTTTTCTTGTGTGTGTGCTTTTTTCCTCCAGTACTTTAAAGACTTTGGGGACATCATTAAAGAGACTGTGAGCAAGAGCAAGCTCATCAACCCCATACAGAGCGCCAAGACGGTCTGTCTGAGTCTGCAGCAGGTGTGCACTCACATGTCACTGTAATAATTTCTTTATGGCAGCTTGTATTGTTTAGTGTAGAGTGTTGTTTAGTGGCACAGTGTGGGAGGGTTGCAGTGGGGGTGCTGAAGGAGAGAGGTCAGGCAGAGATTCTGTGTGGCATAAAAGGCGCACACTGGTGTTCTGCAAACAACAGGAAGTCAGTTATTAATGTGCCAATCAGACGCTGGAGCAGCAGTAGCTGTGACACACAGCTCATGCAGGTTAAGTACTTTAAAACTCTTTGAAAAGCACCCAATGAGGAGTTATAAATGAGTCAAATCTGAACACACACACACAATACACATATTCAGTGTGACTTACACTTTGCAAGGTTGTTATGACTGCTGATGTTCATCGTGAGCAGACGTCCATAAATCCACTTACACACCACTTAGACATTCCCTGTAGCTGCGAAACTTGACAATCATAATGTTTTAGTAATAATGGCTAATTCAATATACTTTGAACCATTAACATGACACCGATCGGCCCCAACTTTAAAACCACGGGCTTGTTCCAGTGAATCCCACAGGTGCTCGATTGGTTTGGTGTGTGGAGAGCTGGGAGGCCAGGTCAACACCTCGGACTCTTTGTTGTGTTCTTCAGGCTGTTCCTGAGCAGTTTTTGCAGTGTGACTTGTGCATTGTCCTGCTGGGGGAGGCCACTGCTGTCGGATAGTGCTGTTACCATGAGGGGGGGGGGGGGGGTGTGCTTGTTCTTTATGTATTTTCTACATGTGAAAGCTGCATCCACATGATTCCCAGGGCATGTCATTTACTTCACCTGTGTTCACCTGGGTTTTAATGTTGTGGTTGATCGCTGTATACTTTTTTTTAAGTCATTGTGTCCTCCGTACCATATCTCTTGATAGTGAAGTCATTTTGCTGTGGTCAGCGAGGTTTTTAATAACAGCAATTTTTGTAGTTTCTTCAGTTACTTTAGCATCCCCCAAACATCATCACAATCAACAAGAAGAATCAGTTTAAGTACTGTTTCCATGTGTGAACAATCTTTGCACTAAAAAAATACCAGCTGCTTCAACCTGACAGATCAACGTGGATGTGTCTAAAAGGCATTCCATATTCTTTTCTATAGAGTTGGTTTTTTACTACCTGCTGAAACTGTCCACATGTAGGATATGCTATCATGACTGTGCACGTATGTGTTATATATAGAGATGCACTCACATCCTGAGTTACTCGCCCCATGAAATGCATCTATTCACAGTGTCAATTTCATTAGATAGTGTCCAGCAGCTAGCACTTGTTTATATTGTTTTGACACACAATCAAAATTCACTTGATCTCTGTGTTTTATGTGGCAGGTCTGTTGTTTTTTGTGTGTGCAAACAATGCGTGAATTGCTCAGAGGTAATTTGTAACCATAACTAACCAAGTTAACACTGTCCCTATTTCTAGAAATGCTTGAATATCATGCCTTTTACACAACATGGTTCTGTGAAGTCATGTCTGTGTGTGTAGCTGTTTTCAGAGATGCTTACAGACAACCGCAGCAGGCAGGATCTCTCTGAGATTAGAGACTTGGCCAAAAGGCTTGCCATGAGCTTTGGCATTGATCTTCATCGTGTCCGCAAGCCACTGTTGGCCCTACACAAGTCAGTAACACACGATGCTCTTGACAAACACATGTAGACCACTCCTGTCATGACCTAGTTTATGCAGTTTTGATTCTATTTTTTACTTTCTAACAGCTGTATTTGCATTTTTACTGGCAGCTGCAGCTCTGTGAATGTAAAAGAAACAATGTGAATGTAACCTCAACCTCCAACACTGATGTCTTATGTCACACTTGAGCGGTGCAAATTAAACATTAAGTATTTTCTGCACTGTTGCAGTTCATTTTTTGTTTATAATTGTTTTATGTTCAAGCTTTTTTCTGTTGTGTTATCAGGGGCGGTATATGTTTCGCATTTCGAGACTCACAGGAGGACGGGGAGCGGCATCCAAATGTGGCCTTCTTAGAGATCCTCAGCGAGTTCAGTTTCAAGTTGCTGCAACCGGACCGCACCCAACTGTGAGAAACAAGAACACACAAACTCCACTGCATGCACATAAACATGTTTACTCCCACACTGGAACTCTTATGCTACAGTAAGCTTTTAGTTGCTCATTCATTCATACAGTAAATGCTGTTGCCACAACAAAAGAATCACATTTTCTCTTTCTCTTCTTTAAATGTGATGTCAGTGTCAGGGGGTCACTCTGTTATCATTCAGTTACGCTGTATGGATAATTATTACATCATAATTTAAACTGTCAAATATTGTTTAGTTCATGGAAGAAGTATTTTGACAATGATGTAAAATCAAGGATTTGGGATTCTAATTTTTTTGTTTTTAAACTGTGGCTAGTATTTATGTATTGATTATCGTCACTTTGTGGGTGTAGTAACCCTGGTACTTGTTTGAATTTGAGTCATCATAAAGCCAATGTTGATCAAAGTCAATAAAACTGAACATGAAATATAGACAAAGGTTCCCTTGCTCTTTGTCCTCATCCCCTGTCATTCTGTCGTCCGCTCCCAGAGCTGATTTTCTGAAGTCAGAGTGTCCCAGTGCTGCCCTCTCCTGGCCCTCAGTCAGACTGTATCAGCGTTCTTTGGCAACTCACTCCACCTCCAAATCCAGAGAGCAGGAGGAGGGAACTGATGCCTTCTCCTCACACCATTCTCCTGTAGCCAAACGGAAGAGGACCACTGCACAGGGTAACACACACATATCACAAAACACTCTATGGATCCACTGTGCACTTTAACTGTCATACTCAACAGGTGCGGCTTAAATGATGAAGGAAATATGCTGCAAAATTCTGTTTTTGATTCCTAGACATAGTTAGAGGTGAGGGTCAACAAAGTGTTATTGGAAATGGGAAGAATTTGAAATTGTATTATTGATTATTTCTATTTTTTCACATACATCACAAAGGAAAGCTCATATCATGTGTTCCTCCAAGCTTAAGGTGATGTCCTCATGTTCCCTTTTGTGTCCAACGAACAGTCCCAAGACAAAGATGTTTAATTTGCAGTCATATAAAAAAAAAAACTGCAGATTTTTAAAGCTTCAGCCAATATATACACTCTTGATCAACATCTTAAGACCAGTTTTTAAAAATTGCATGAATTTGCATTTTGCACTGTTGGATCTTAGGAAGGTTCTAAGTAGAACTTCAAAATGCAAAAAGAAGAAATGGGAACAAGAGACCAAAAGTTGTGAGAAGGCAATTTATTGAAAACAACAATTTAACTTAAATAGACTGTTCATCAGCTGATCAAAAGTTTAAGACCACACCCTTTAAAAGTCAAAATCTGTGCAAAAATTTGGATTCCATGTCATTTCCTGTCAAGTCATCACACTGTGAAGATCTCTTGATGGCAAAGGCAAAAAAACTCACCGTCTTTGAACATGGTAGGATTGCTGAGCTGCATAAACATGACTTCTCACAACGTGCCATCGCTGCTTAGGTTGGACGCAGTGAGACAGTCATTTTGCATTTCTTAAAAGATCCTCAGGGTAATAGAACAAAAAAATCAAGTGGGAGACCCAAAAAAATCTCACCAACACTGAGCCGGAGGAGCCGAATGGCTATCCGTCAAGACACGGGACGATCCTCGTCCCAAATTAAGGCCATTACTGGTGCTGACTGCAGCCCAATAACCATCAGAAAACATCTGCAAAGGAAGGGCTTCAAAAACAAGAACGTCTTCAAAGGCCACGTCTTCTTCAGTGCCACAAAACTGCCCGTTTGGACTTTGCAAGGGAGCACCAAACATGGTGCATTCAAAAGTGGAAAAAAGTTTTATTCTCTGATGAGAAAAAATGTGACTTTGATGGTCCTGATGGCTTCCAACGTTACTGGCATGACAAGGAGATGCCACCTGTTTTCTACACAGCACAGTGGAGGGGGCTCCATGATGATTTGGGGTGCTTTTTCCTTCAGTGGAACAATGGAGCTCCAGGTTGTGCAGGGGTGGCAAACAGCAGCTGGCTATGTGGAGATGTTGCAGCGGGCATCCCTCATGACTGAGGACCCTCGGCTGTGTGGTAATGACTGGGTTTTTCAGCAGGACAACGCTCCAATTCACAATGCCCGTCTGACCAAGACTTTTCCAAGAGAATAACATCACTCTTTTGGACCATCCTGCATGTTCCCCTGATCTTAATCCAATTGAGAACATTTGGAGATGGATAGCAAGGGAAGTTTACAAAAATGGACATCAGTTCCAGACAGTGGATGCCCTTCACAAAGTCATCTTCACCACTTGGAGCAACATTCCCACTAGCCTTTTGGAAACACTTGCATCACAAAATGAATTTTTGAAGTGATCCACAATATTGGTGGAGCTACTCATTACTGAGTCAGTTTTTGACACTTTAATTTCTGTTTTAAGGAAGTTTTGGGTTTTTTTTTGAGCTGTGATCTTAAACTTTTGATCAGCTGATGAACAGCCTATTGGAGTTAAATTGTTGTTTTCAATAAATTGCTTGCTCACAACTTTTGGTCTCTTGTTCCCATTTCTTCTTTTTGCATTTTGAAGTTCTACTTAGAACCTTCCTAAGATCCAACAGTGCAAAATGCAAATTCATGCAGTTTTTTTTAACTGGTTTTAAGATTTTGATCAGGAGTGTATATATGTGATAGCATAATGATAGCAATAATGACTTGATGATTGAGCTTGAAATGATTAATCATTCATCAAAAGTGTCAGTTTTGTTAGTTGACTAACTGCAGAAAGTGCTGTTGTGACAGTTTCTTCTCTGTGTTTTGTAAAACTCAGAAAATTAACACCTGTCTCCTCCAGGTTCAGTGTCCAGCACTGCCAGAGGCTCCTGGCTGAACAGCAGCAGTATCCACAGCAGCCTGCCCACACCGGCCCTCACCTCCACTGTCCAGAGACAGCCAGCCAAGCAACTGGTCTCCAGGAACCCCAGAGCACCAGAGTCAGATATCGATACTGGCATACGCGAGATGGAATCAGAGGATGAGTTCTCCTCAGTGTAAGTTGGGTTTTATCATCACTACATCTGTAGTATCTTACATCTCTATTTCAGAGGTTTGGAAAGTACTGCCAGGCACCTGCCAAATGCTGAAAATTGCCAGGGTTTGCTTTGTGTTGTTAAAATAAAGTTGTGGAAAGTCAGTTTTCCTCATATGTGAACTCAGATACAGTAAACGGACAGACAGGTTGAGGATATTTTACTCTCTGTGCCTCACCAGGCCACAGATGCGAAAGGTAAACCCCACCAAGCGACGCCTGCCTTCCGTCACCCACACTGCCCCGACTCTGGAGCCACAAGACCTGAACTCCCACCTCAGCTTGTAAATAGAGAAGACAAACTTTTTCACAACATGTTTTTACTGATTACAAAATGTGACAACAGTATTTGTCTCATTTCATGAACACTATTTTCAGCCAGGGATAATCTTAAAGAATTGATTTGTGTTTGTGTTGCCTAGGCTTTCTCTGATGGAGGAGGACAACGCAGAAAGAGAGGAGCCTGAGATTGATGATTATGAAAGTGACTCTGACTCAGCATATACACTGGTAAAGACAAAACACTCCGGAATGTGTTGATCCCCCCATTTTTAAAACCACTTACACACTCACTTGCATCAGATATACTGTACTCACAATTGAGTATTTGGCTACAGTCAAATTAATGCCCAAAAAGAACATAGTACTTGTGGTATGTGGAGCCTTCTACAAGCTAATTTATGTCACACCATTCCAGTACCGCTTGGGGTTTGTATGCATTTTCTTTACTTGACAGATATTGTTACAAAAACATAAAGACACACTAAGGACTCAATTCTTGGCACACTTTCTTTACCCTGTTTTTGATTTGCAGCCTTCCACACGTCACACCTCAGCCAGCATCCTTGACGAGCTCTTTGACTGAGGTCAGCTCTGCATCATCTCCTCAACACTTGCGCATTTCAGGGGTTTCAGTGTTCAAGTGTGACAAATATAAGAGCCGTCTGTTCCTCTGAATGACCTTGTACTGCGTTCACTTATCAGGTCTGTTTCAGTTTGTTATTTTGTTGGATGATTATAAAATCTGGGCACAAAAGCTGTTCGAATGCAACATGAGGAGCGTTCATGTTTTGTTGATGTTTAAATTGCCAAATGTTTAAAACATATGTTAAGGTTTAGCTAGATCCCTCTTAGCTAACGTAAGCTGAAAGTCTCGTGTGTTGAATGTTGAATTTCATGTGATGAACTATTGTTGACGCCATCTTTTGTTTTTGATGAACATTTGTTAATTAAGTGTTTATTAAAAGATGCTAAATTGGGCAAAGTTAAAGCGTCTTTAATAAGATTACAATGTGTTTATTAATGACTGTGAGTAATGCCCCATTTATTCCCAAATAAACACAAATCCAAACTAAATGCTATTCAGAGACAATAGCAGTTCTCTTATTCATCTTTAATGTCTTTTACTGATTTCTTGCTTTTTCCCAGGCAGACATGACCGTGCTATTTCACCCAACAATGCCTAGTAAATGAATGAAAGTTAAAAATCCCCAAAAGGAATACATTTTTGAGCATTTCCTGCATTATGTTGATTTTTTTTAATGTATCAGTGTGTACCTATTCTGCAACAACAACACAACACCAACACAACATTATTAATAATAATAATAGTAATAGTAGTAAGATAAGTAGTAATATAAGATGCCATTATTTTCCTATTTTCGCTATTATTGTCCTGATCTCTTGAAAGGGGAAAATCCCACAACAAACTTATTAACCCTGGCTTCTGTAGAGGCAGGTTAATGAAAAACAAGGAAGTTCAGTCTGTAGTTTGAAGTGGGGACTGGATCCTGTAATACTAGAATTTTGCACCCAAATGAATAAGAAGTAAAATGTACTGTACTTCCTGTTTTATAAAGACGGCCGGCCTGTTGAAATGTATAAAACTGTCCTTTAGCGGTTTTCAAGCATGGTTAAGATTTTTTTTTAATGGAAATTAGAAACCTATCTGATAATTGCACGTGGTGTTTGATTGTTTTTCATTAGTTCTGCTACAATTTTAAAACCCAGACAGTACGGATTTATAATTACATTCTAAATCACCTATGAAGAGGTAGGAGACAAGGATGAGCTAGAACGTTACTAATCGTGACAGTATGTTTTATTACATGAGGTAGGTGCGTCGGAGAGGGACGAGCACATCTAACAGGTGTGCAAAAACAGATTCCTGCACACTGTCTAACTTGCAGTCATAAATTTATGAGTGCAAAGTTTTGGTCCTAGACCTTCATCAGGCAAATAGAATGATTATTTTCCTGATGAAGGTGTGTGATGAGCCCAAACCCAAGACATCTTTTAAGTGGCCTCTGGTTCTGTCAACTGCTGCTGTGGGCTTTGCTGCCTACGTTAACAGGAACAACCTTCCAGCTTTCCTATGGGATCCAGCTGGACAGGATTAAAAAGCACCCGCCTGCAATGGGGCAAAATACATTAAAAAAATCAGTTTCGTCTGTGATTACTCTTTAGTGCTTGTTAAGCAAATGTTTGCACTAAACTACACGAATGTCTGAAATGGACAATATACTGATATAGTTAATGATGTAATTGCATGTTGCACTGTTGATTTTGTTTTGAGTGTATCATGACTACGTACAATGCATTTTTTTTCCCACATCAGGCAAATAGTCATTCTATTTGCTTCATGAAGGTCTAGAACCGAAACGTTGCACCAATAAATTTATGATTGCAAGTTAGACAGTGTGCATGATTCTGTTTTGTACCAGTATAATAACTACCAAATAGATAAGATAAGATATGCCTTTATTTATCTCAAAGTGGAGAAATTCACAGTGCTGCCAGCAGCAGTACACAGAGATACACACATACTAAAAAGAAAAATGTACATATAAGAAATAGTGCAAACATAAGTATAAAAATACACATAAAAAGGTGCAAGCACAGAATATAAACATGAGAATATAAAATATTTAAAAATGTCATGGAATAGTTCAAATAACCAATGTAATATAAAGAAATACTTCTAAATATGAATGGGTATTGTTTATTGTTACATTAAACATTGTTGGTCTACTGGGAGCAAAGCTGGTTGTAGAATCTATACTAATCATTTTTTATTCTTTTCCCATTAAGTTTTACAGGATAAAACTGTGTGTAGATTTACATAGTACCTTTATCTTAAAACCTACAACACCATACTAACTGTTAGAAAAACACCTTTACTTTCCTGTTAGTATCATGTCCGCCACAAATCAGCAGCCTGAAGCTTCACTATAGGAGTTCCGGTGGGGTAACTTTCACCCTGTTGACAGTTGTGGATGAAATCCAATCATCTCATTTCGCGCCATTCCTGACAAACAGGGCGGAAGTTCGCCGGGTCACGTGACAAGCCGTCGCCCGCAACTTTCGCGCCACCACCAAATCCCGCCTCTCCGCGCGGAACGAAGCGACGCGATTGGCTGCTGGGGACGTCAGACTCGCGCCACTTCGAGCACCGGGAGAGAGACTGCAGGCTGCGAGTGAATGAATACTCGTCTCCGGTGACCGTAAATACCCCAAACCGTGAGTTTAAGCTGCGTTTTCGGTTCACTGGGACCTCAGAAGTTTAAAAACTAAGTCATCTCACCTGAAGCTCAACGCGTGCAGCCATGGCTCGTAAGGATTATGCGGCAGAGAAAGGTAAGGAGTTGTCTTTCACAGTAACGGCATGGCAGCAACAGGTTGGCCCTGGAACTTTTTACTAGAAGTGTCTCTGCGATGCTGTTTTAAATTGGTGAATGTGCTCCCTGGATCATCAGCATCGTGTCGAAAGCCGGATAATGTATTTGTTTAATCTTTATTCAGTATGTTCACTCTTACCTAATAACGTTATGAACTCCTAATTTTCCTTTTAACTTACTTTCCTTAAACACAATCTTTTGTAAAATATGCATGTTAGTGTGTGACTAAACAGACGTGCTGCAGCATGGTGGACTGCTGCTAACTCACAACTTGCACTAACTTGTGTAACTAACCTGCTGCTGAGGAGTGGAGCATTGTCTGTGGGCTGCTGACTGACTGCGCGGTGACCCGGATGGATCCTTAAACAAAGGAGCAGGCGCCACTCAGCAAGCACATGTCCACCAATAAACCCAGCAAACGGGACCCTTAACGAATCGTTACCCTAACGTCTCTCTTTCGGGTTTTAGGGGGTTTGTTTACAAAACAAATGCGATTTTCTTGTCAAATTCTATAATCTTACAATCAGGAAACGTTAGTGTTTATTGAGAAGTGAACGGTTGATGAAGGCACACCGGGTTTTATTATCAACAAATAAAGCTACAAAGTTGACCGCATGTGCTTGTTTTGTTCCCTAATGTGTAAAAATGTTCAAACTACTTTACGAGTAACGTCCTTGTGGAGACATGACGTTTGGCATCTTCCTGCACAGATAACGTTATGAATGTGACAAGTTCAACAAACCGATGTTGAGTTTGAAGGTTTTTGCTAGTTGCATGATTGCCTTGCAGCATAAACATTTTCACACAAAACGTCAATAAGTTAACCGGCACCTTCTTTTTAAACTATCCAGGTGTTCGTTTAGCACTTGTTTCGGGTGTCTGAAGCGTCCACAAAGTGCTGCACCAACTGTTAGCCTGTTAGCCACTGCGTTAGCTCTCATTAGCATCACTGTCAGTTAAAGTTACCTCGCTGCTTTGCCTTTTTAAAATAAAATAATTTTAAAACATGAATAAAATAACAGCTATAGAATGGGCTGCTGGCTCTGTGTCTGGCTACTTGGCAAGGCTGGTTTGTTTTCATGACATTTTTTTTTGTCTTTACGCTTTATGTTACCCAATCTCTAAACTAGCATTTACCATAACGTTACCTGCTGCTGATATCCACTATGATAATATGGACGTATTTCGAAAGCACGGTAGTTAAAGTTTATATTAGTGCTTGAGTTTGCAACTCTAATAGATGTTGCAAAACCAGTACGTAAAAAAATCGTTCGTTTTAATATTCTCTTTCCCCCTTTTTTCTTTTTGTTTTTTGCTTCTCAGCTAAAACCGAAACTTTACGAGGACCTGAGTCACCGTCTAATCTGTGAATTCGACAGCCGCATCAAACCGACCGTTAAACGTTCCAAGTTTTAGTCGGAGTCAGTGAGCCGTCAGAAACCAGACGTGTTACACATTAAATCAGCCACTTCTGCTTACCGCTCAGTGATTATGTTAAGACCAGTGTCTGTTACTGGCGGAGGCTGCCTGTGCTCAACACGGCGGCTAACCTGAGCTAACGTTAGAAGATGGCTGGCCGTGGTCTGAAAACAACAGTCGGGACTCTTTTCAAGAGCGGAGGAATCGCGGAGGGATATCGGAGTGACGGGGCACAAAAGCCATGTGCTGCTTTGTTTACAATAACATCCTCGAAGAGAGAAATAATAAAGCAGAGCCGCAGATTTCCTGCTACGGCGTCAAAGTAAGTGGAGTGTTGCGATTATCACGCGAGGGCTAGTTTCGTTCCCCGTAACGTGGAATTGAATATTGTTTGTAGTTGTGTCTCTTTCGAGAAGTGGGGGATATTTTCCTCAAAAAAAAAATGGACACTGAACTGAGCGCGCCTGTTGTTGTTGTTGTTGTATTTACATTTTCACCCTGAAGCTATCTGCGGCGCAGCGCCACTTATTTCGCTGTAAAACTGTGATAGTAGCTACATCCGAGCGGAATTCGCTTTATGTTTTTGCACCAGTGGCAGTTTGCGCTTTACTGTAGGCAGTAGTGACTCATCGAGATTACAGGATGCCATGTTACTCAACAAAGGGGGTCGTCGCAGGACAACAAATTAGCTCCCAGTGTGTAGGCCCGCTGCTGGTGCTCTTAATCAACATTTTCAACAGCTTTAAACTTAGAAAACCGCTGTAATATTGAAACAAATCAAAAGGTAACTTCAGTAAACAATTGTTTCTTTGTGTGTGTGTGTACAGCTAACAATCTCCACCTAGTGTCTGCTGGATGTGGCCTGTGTTTTTTTTCCCCTTTTTTTTCCTCCCTGCTGTGAAATAATGCTGAAGGTGTTTTTGTTTTTGTGTTTTTGCAGAGAAATGCAAAAGGTTCCTGCAGGAGTTTTACACAGAGGATGACAATGGGAAGAAGGTGTTCAAATACGGAGCTCAACTTGTAAGTAAAGATGCAATAAAAATGGGTTTAGCTGTCAGAGTTGACTGTTGTGGGCCTGACTGCTGATGATGGATTGTATTGACATTATCACTCTAACCTGAATAAATGTGGTGGGGGGTGCTAATGAGCGCTGATAGATTTGGGAGGGAAGTGAAAAGACCAATTTTCTTTTGTGCTTTAAAATTGTGTTTCGCTGAACTTTTAACCCTTGGACATAATTTTTCATCAGTTATTTTACATTGGCTAAAATCTAGAAACATAAATATTGTTGTTATCCATCTCTGAAGACTGAGCTAAGTATGATTTCAGTGCCGTTTGTCTTTTAGGACAGATGCACTAAAATTATCTGGTCAGATTTTGTGAAGGAACCTGTAACATTTTAATGCCAGTCTAGATTACTTTGTATAAATTGGAGATGGGGCATTGGTCTTGGTTGACCAACGCTTATCAGCTGCACAACTGCTTTGTCATCTGGATTTGAGAGTGGTGCAGTAGTTCCTAATGTAGCTACTGTATGAAAGATGGAAAATGTCTGTATATGTTAGCCAAAAGTGTAGGTCATTGTAATGACATTAGACATACATTTGTAACTGAATTCAGTGCCAAAGCCTTTTTATGTTTGAGGAAGTGCAGAGGTGTCATTGTCACGTTATTGAGCAGTACCTGCAGTCAAAGTCATGTCACTGTTTAGCAGCTTGTCTAATTACTTGTCTGTGTGTCCAGGTGGCCCTGGCCCACAGGGAGCAGGTGTCTCTCTTTGTGGAGCTGGACGATGTGGCAGAAGAAGACCCTGAGCTGGTCGAGAGCATCTGCGAAAATGCCAAACGCTACACAGGCTTGTTGGCTGATGCCGTCCACGAGCTGCTGCCTGAATACAAAGAAAGAGATGTATGTAGATCCTCACCTTGAATAACATGGTTTCCTAGAGTACAGTATGTCATGTGGGTTTTCTAAAACTAATTAAATTTCCTGGCATTATTACCAGCTTTACATATCGGTTTATTCAATGTTTCATGTTAAGGTTGTGGCCAAAGATTCTCTGGATGTCTACATTGAGCACAGGCTGATGATGGAACAAAGGGGTCGTGACCCTGCGGATACTCGAGACCCTCGTAACCAGTACCCACCTGAGCTCATGAGGAGATTGTAAGTTGACTCAGGTTTTGTGTTGAATTTGATTACGTGTTTTTAATGCATGTGTGAATACCTAATTTCCCGTCCTATCCACAGCGAGCTGTACTTTAAACCACCGAGTACCTCTAAACCCAAAGTGGTGCGTGATGTTCGAGCTGACAGCATTGGTCATCTGGTGACGGTTCGAGGCATCGTGACCCGTGCCACTGAGGTGAAACCAATGATGGCTGTGGCAACGTACACGTGTGATCAGTGTGGCGCTGAGACCTATCAACCAGTAAGATTGGATTTAGTCATCTTATCATTTAGATCCTGTGACAAGATCTATATTTTTCATCGTAATGTCTTCTCCTTGTCCTTCAGATCCAGTCTCCCTCCTTCATGCCCCTCATCATGTGTCCCAGCCAAGAATGCGTTACCAACAAATCAGGAGGTCGACTCTACCTGCAAACCAGAGGCTCCAAATTTGTCAAGTTCCAGGAGCTGCGTATTCAGGAACATGTAAGGAACCACATACAGTGAAATCCTCACTTGTTGTCATCACTTGTATTCAGTTAATTCAGTCAGTTCCTATTTACTTATGAGTTCTGTCTGATGTCCCACAGAGTGACCAGGTCCCTGTTGGTAATATTCCAAGGAGCATGACCATTTATGCACGAGGTGAAAATACTCGTCTTGCCCAACCAGGAGACCATGTAGCCGTCACAGGAATCTTCCTCCCTCTGCTGCGCACGGGCTTCAGTCAGGCTGTTCAGGTAGTCTCCAGTTTCAGATCACATGGTTCACAACTCTGAACTCAATCCTGTCTGTAGAGAAATTCACATAATAGAAACTTTTCTTCATTGTTGGTAGGATGTGTGGTTTAACACACAAATTTAAAATACATCTCTATCTTATTTTAATTTGGTTTTGGTCTTTTTTTTTTTAGGGACTCCTGTCAGAAACATATCTGGAGGGTCACTGCATCACACTCATGAACAAGACGGAGGACGACGTGCTCGGTAACGAAGAGCTGAGCGAAGAGGAGCTGCGCAGCATCACAGGTCAGGATCTGTGTGTTGCACATGAGTAAAATGGGAATAAATTAAAAGAATGGCAAAGCAAATACTTGTCAGCCTTGTTTAGCAGCTAAAGTAACTCTCATCTGTTGCAGATGAAGGATTCTATGACAAACTTGCGGGTTCGATAGCACCAGAAATCTATGGACATGAAGATGTAAAGAAGGCTCTGCTCCTGTTGCTGGTTGGAGGAGTCGAACAGGCTCCCAAAGGCATGAAAATCAGAGGTGAGCACAAACACATGCCCCTTAAGCGCTGACTAAACACACAATCAGTAAGATCATATGGTTTTCTGAAGGAAATAAAAGTTGTTTGAAATTCTCTGTGGCTACTCTTTGACAAAATATTGTGTTGTTTTAGGTAATAAAATTTTAAGTTACATTTTACCAAAAGCACTTGTACAATGATCAAGGCTTTTGAAAGATAGTTTGATTAGACGTTTGATTCAGTAAGAGTTTCACTATGTTTTCTACATATCTTTCTCCCTGTTAGTATGTGTGGTTGTATTTATAGAAGGATTCACCCTCATGAAATGTTGTCAGAAGTGCAACACTCTTCAATCTTCGCTCTGTTTTGGTTCTTGTCACTCAAGGCAACATAAATATCTGCCTGATGGGAGACCCAGGAGTCGCCAAGTCCCAGCTGCTGTCCTACATTGACCGTCTGGCCCCTCGAAGTGAGTCATGTTTGCTGGAGTAAAAGTCCTGTATCTGGTTTAATATTTTATCTAGTAAGGCATTTCTTTTCCATTAGGCCTTGCTCTGTCAAATTTTAACTTTTGCCGTTCTGGCTAGACGAGAGCTATTGTCTGGTTTTATGCCAAGTTTTGAACAATTCATTATGTGGAGAAAGCATCCTGTGAATTACAGTGTTGTACACTATTGAATGTCTGGGGTTATAGAAAAACCTTTAGAAATAGTGATTTATTCTGCCAGTGTTTGATCCACATTAATTTAATCTCCTCCGCTCTGGTATTCAGGTCAGTACACGACAGGTCGTGGGTCGTCTGGTGTCGGTCTGACTGCAGCGGTGATGCGTGACCCCCTAACTGGTGAGATGACCCTTGAAGGTGGAGCCTTGGTGCTGGCTGACCTGGGCATCTGCTGCATTGATGAGTTTGACAAGATGGCGGACGCCGACCGAACAGCCATCCACGAGGTGATGGAACAGCAGACCATCTCCATCGCTAAGGTAATGTTAATAACTGGCAGAACCCTAATTGGATTACCTGTCTGAGACTTTTAAACCTAATGCCTGTGTAACATCCCAACTAATGCCGTTCCTCTCCCCTCCAGGCTGGCATAATGACTTCCCTGAACGCCCGTTGTTCTATTCTGGCGGCAGCTAACCCTGCCTACGGCCGCTACAATCCCCGGAAGAGCATTGAACAGAACATTCAGCTGCCGGCTGCTTTGCTCTCCCGTTTTGACCTGCTCTGGCTCATCCAGGACAAGCCAGATGCTGATGCTGACCTGCGCCTCGCCCAGCACATCACCTATGTCCACCAGCACTGCCGCCAGCCTCCCACTCACTTCACTCCCATTGACATGAAGCTGATGAGGTGATGATTTGCATTATTTCAAACATTTTTACTGCTCTGTCAAAGTATTTTTATCACTTTTCAGAAGACTTTTGTTCCTCATAGTTCCAATAAATAAATAACAAAAGGGACAGCGAGGTTTCTCAATATTATTTCAAACCTACAGCTGTGTACTAGACAATATTGCCTTTAACTAAATCATAAAATTAATTTCCCTTCAGGCGTTACATCGCTCTGTGTAAGAAGCGGCAGCCTGTGGTGCCCGAGTCACTGGCCGATTACATCACTGCAGCTTATGTGGAAATGAGAAAAGAGGCTCGAGTCAGCAAAGACACCACCTTCACCTCCGCTCGTACCCTCCTCTCCATCCTCCGTCTGTCCACTGCCCTGGTGAGAATCATGCATCCAGTCAAGTCAAATGGCTTTCACAACCACGTGCACCAGTTCAAACTCCATAACATGTCTAGAATTTTTATCAGACATCTGTTTTCTGTAGCAATGGAGCACTATTATGCATAGACTCCAATTATATATATTTAAATGGTACAAAAATATATTGAATATGAAAGTGTTTGCATCGATGTATGTCAGTTCAGTGTGCGATAAAGTGCTTACAGTGCAGGTAGTGATGATAACCTGGCCTACTGCAGTGTGAGCACTTCTTTCCTACGCTGGACAAAAGCTCTTCAGTCGGCCAAACCAGCATGAAGTCATCCTCACCAGTGACTTTGTAACAGCAAATGCATGTACTCGTAATAACTCAAGTGCTGTGAAGAAGGCAGTGTCGTGAACTTGGTCGTTTATGGTCTTGCCTCGTCTCTGCCTCTGGTTGTCAAAAGTGCTGTTTGTGCAGGTAGCAGTCATCCACCTACTGCAAAACCAGCACTTCAGGTGAACAGGTAGGCAATGTGCTGCACGCAGACGTCCACAAGAGGGCAAAACGCTGCTACGACCGCACCTGTGTCGAGAGAAAACTGCTGTAGTTGTAGTGTCGACAATACAGTAGCGCCACAGCTGCACATCAGCCTAATTCTATAAATGTTCTGATGACTCATTTGATAATTTATATCTTCATGACCACGAGGGAGCTGTGTTCTTAATGTTTTTCCTGATCCTGGCCAGCTTTGCAGGGTGGGCAGTCAGCCTGTGTGCGTTAGGAGCAGCTGTGCAAACCCATGCAAAACTGACCGTGGCCAGGGCTGTCATCAGTGTTTCCTATATAGAAACTTGAAGTATTGAAGTTTTTTTTTTTTATTTAGCTGTTGTGTGTGTGTGGTGTTGTAATTTCAACCCCTGTAGAGAGACTAGCTGGTGTTGAGAGGCGGAGACTTGGGCAATTGCCGGCCATCCCAGAGGGCATTGCACTTGTCTCGGTCTGACAGTGCCGGCACAGCGCAGCCTACGTCGAGATGGGTGTAGTAGGATATTTGTTTACTTGATCAAACTTAAAGCTCAACACTGCATCCACTTTCCTTCCTATAGGCTCGACTTCGCGTGATGGACACTGTGGAGAAGGAAGACGTCAACGAGGCCATGAGACTGATGGAGATGTCAAAGGATTCGCTACAAGCTGACAAGTCCAGCACCACAAGGTTGGTGTTAAAACTCGAACCCTTCATAATGATGGCACTCGGTCGGCTCAAACTTCATGTAACACGAGTGACCGGATGTGGTCCGACCCAGAATCCGCTTTATGGGTTTCTCGTAGAGCTGTAACAGTAGCTGGAGGAAGCTGTAAAACTTCTCTGGGTTTTTATGGAGCTCTGTTCACATGGCAGCATGTTCACTAAAACAGGCGTCGAGAATAGTGGCGCATTAACACCCCGACCATGAACTGTTCTCTCATCGGTGCCTTGAAGCCTCTTGCAGGGTTTTTTTTTTAATTACTTTGGAATCTTAAGCGATTAATTTTTTCAAAAAGGAGTTTAACCTTGTAAGACATTGCCATTATTTCCTTTTTTTTCCCTAAGAACTGAAGATCCAGACCACTATTGTGTATTATACCGTTGGAGCCAGTAAACTGCTCAGAAGTGGTGTATTTCCCCCCACCTCCCTTCATGTGAAGCAGACTGTGTCTACAGATTCCAATTTAGGCGTTTTGTATCCAGTGTTCCTCTAAGGCTTAGAAGTCTCACATCATTTCCAACTCCTTCTGTGCAGGACCCAGCGCCCGTCCGACGTCATCTTCTCCCTGGTGCGTGAGCTCGCCACAGAGGGCGTGGTGGGCCGCGGTGGAGCCGGCGGAGTTGTTCGCATGGCTGAAGCGGAGCAGCGTTGTGTCTCTCGTGGCTTCACGCCCGCACAGTTCCAGGAAGCCTTGGAGGAGTACGAGGAGCTGAACGTGTGGCAGGTCAACCAGGCCCGAACCCGTGTCACCTTCGTCTGAACAACCCAGAACACTTCTTCATGCACGCTTTGTTTCAGCCACCTGAGGGGAGAACTCTTTATTGTCGGCTTTCTACAGACTTATAATGGGCCTCTTTATTTTTTTCTCCTCCAGCCATTTCTCGCGCAAGTCAAGAAACGTGGGCTTCTTTTAAGCGAGACTTCCTGCTGTTGGAGATCCGTAGCTTTTTATGTTTAAGATTCCTGTTAACCAGTAAAGCACTTGTAAATATGTATGTCAGAAGTTGGTATTGTGTAGTATTATCTGCAGTTTAGTGCTTAAAGCAGTTGACATTGAGCATTTCTGTACATTTTATACCCTTGAAATGCAAGAACAGGCAAGATACACTGTTGAGCTTTGTAATGTCACAGATATAATAAATTGTTGGTTCACTGCTATACTTGTCGTTCATTTTGACGTGTGCGCTCATGAAATGGGATGAAGTGTGCTGCAGTCACATTGGCACACCTGGTTTGGTCGTGGAGCGGCCTTGCAAACGGTGCAACTAACAATTATTTTCTGTCTATAAAAAGGGGAAAATCACAGCTTCTGTTTTCAAATAGCCTGTTTTGACTGTCCAACCCAAAGATACTGAGTCATGTTTTTTTTTGTTTTTTTTTTTTTTGGAGCAGCAAAATTTAGATTGTTGGTATCTAACAGTTCAAGTTGTATTAAAACCACCTAAGTAAAAACTAGGGTTTGTGTCAGATGAGTAAAAAGCAACTAAATTCACTTGAAAATTGTTGTGGATTAGAGATTTTTTTTATTAAAAATGGAAGGAAATTGGAACTTGAGTATTTGACGGATTGAACTGACAAACCAGCATTAAGTTTCTGGCATGTTTAGTGTGACAGCATCCTTTAAGAATGAAGAATGTTAATAGAGAACTGATAACATCCTCTCAGACACAGACGTGTTAGAAAAGCAGGTGTTCTTCAGGAAAAAATAACCACCTTTAGGAACTGACTGCTTTAGAAATCTGTAAAAAGTCATTATAAATGTACGTTTAGGGCCATGTGGGTTATCATCTAGGATTTTTTACTGCTTTTTTTTGGCAGAGATATTGTGTTAGTAGGCAGCATTTTCCCCACAGTTGCAGTTGTCCCAGCAGGTGATGCTTTCCTCCCAGACTTAATGGGGAGTTTCCATTTGAAGTCTGTTCTCTTTATGGCTTTGCTGCTAAAGTCCAGGGGCTTTTTATTCCTAATTGGCGCCAAAGGGCCTACATTAAACCTTATTAAAAGGGAGGCGGGGATGTAGATTTTGGGCTTAAAGTTGGTGGAATCCGATTGGACAGGATATAATGTTACAGGGTGACTGACACGGAGATTAGTATTTAGCCCCCCTCAGTCCTGCTGGTGCGGTGAAGAGACCCTCCTGAACCAGGTGAGTACAACGTGGTCGGACAGTGTTAGGTCGCAATGTTGCAGCTAGAAACAAAACTTTATCATTTTGACTGTTGTTAAGCTAATTTTTTGTTGCTGCTTTTTTTATTCTATTTCATTGGGATGGTGTGTATTTACAGCTAAATTTTATAGATTCGATTTTCTTGGAGGAAAAATGTCATTCTTAACTTCTATACATGGTGTTATTTTTAACTCTGTTTTTTTTGCAAATCCACAAATTTTGGGAAGTCATCAAAGAGGACAAAGAAGTGACCTACATGCCTTTTTAAATGTTTTTCTTTATGGAAATTAAATAGTACATTTCACAAATAAGTAGGCCTACACTATTGCTCTTTTAACACCTACTTTTGTGACATTTGTCCCCTTCCTCCTCAAATGAAACAAATGCATTCTTGTCATAAAACACTTCTTCTCTGGATTTCAGGGGTTCAAGATGATTTCTTCATTATGTTTGGTTGGGGCGCTCTGCTGCCTCACGCTTATTCCAGGTCAGTTCTGCTTCTTTTTTTATTTTATTTTTTTTATTTGCCTTTATTTCGAACCAAAAAGTTAAAACAAAAGTCAACATTTGATGCACAAAATCAAAGTTTCAAAGTTCGAAAAGGGTTTTGGAAGAACACTTAAATATATACCAAAACCCCCCTATGTCAATAAGAACTTAAATATTGACACTTTCACAGTGTCTCATCAGAATATTTACATTAACCCAACTTTAACATTTACAGGTGTGTTAAAATCATGAAAATCACCATTCACTGAATATGTTATCTCCTCTTTCAGACCTGCTGGAGGCCAAATCTCTTTTGAATGCCATTAAACAGGAAGGTAACTACAAATCTAGAACATCTTTTTGGTGCAAAATCTGATCCTCTGTGCAGCAGTTGTGTGTTTTAGGGGCTTTTTGAGTGAATGAGCTTTGTCTCTTCTTCTCACAGAGATGGTCCCTGTCGGCCACGTTAGCATCGACTCAGACAAAGCCAACGACTTTCTAACTCACTCCAGACCAAAGCGCAACGCGGACCCCCGGTGGTACAGAGGAAACCCAGACTTCCAGGCTTACTACAGATACTACAGCAGCATCGGACACACTGAGGGGGTAAGATAGACTGTGGGCTTCCTGCTGTGAGCAAAAAAACACAGTTTCACATTTTTTTTCTCTCTGATACTCAACCTGTAGAACCTCTACCTAGTTTTATCTCTGTACTATGTAACTCCACCAACACCCTGAAAGAAAACTAACCCTTGCAGATTACAAAATCAAACCAGCACAGTGCACTCAGATTTCAGGAGATAACCGTGCTGTTTTAGTTTAGTTTCACTAATTATGACTAAAATAGCCTCTGACTTGGCTGGAGCTCATTTGGAATGAAGGTTTTGACCATCATTGGTTCAAAAAAGATCAGCAGTGCATCATGACTTAGGTGGTCAAGTCACACTGTGTTTCTGGTTTAAAGACTTGTTCAAATTCACATATGAAACTGAGCTGCACAATATAGAAACAACATCCCCCAACTAACTTATATTGATTTGACAAATTAGCATTGGACATTTTTTGTCATTGTGTGCTGAATGAGAATCATAATCAAATTTTTGAAAGTAGGTTTTCACATACCAAGAATGTGATGTGGTGTTTTGGTGCATAGTAATAAACATGTATAAAGTTTTAAAGAAGGATAAAAAGATTTTAAAAAGCGAGTGTTGTGAGTCAGAAGACAGTAAGTGTTACGAGACAAATCAACAGCAAATCCATGAAGGTGTAGAAAGTAACAGAAATGCTGTAAAGATCCTTGAAATGATCTTGAGTGTGTCTTTCTCTGTTCTGTTTTTTTCCTCTCAGCTCTATGAGATCGACAAGCTGCGGATGCTCTACCAGCAGATGCGCTACCTGGAGCACACCTACGGCCCCAACGCCTCCTATTTCCAGAGCAAACTGGGAGTGCCGATGCTCATGTGCGACCCGGTCACAGACAAGAAGTGCAAATTCGCTCCTCCTCCTCCTCCTCCAATGAAGGGGGTCCCAAAGGCCACAGACCCCCCAGCCACCCCTCCTCCTCCCCCCATTGCTCCAGCAATTTCCCAGGCAGATGTGCTCTACCTGTGTAACAGGAAGGACCCCCTCTGCAAGCCCCACATTGTCTACCTGCCCAGCGGCGCTGTGCCTGTGCTCTGCGACCCCCGCTACCACCCCCACTGCACACCCCAGAAGGCCCCACCAGCCCCCGTGGCAGTTCCCCAGCCTCCTCCTCCTCCGCCAAAGAAGTCTGCCCCACCTCCACCTCCCCCAATCCTCGTCAAGAAGTCTCCTCCAGTCCAGATCCGCACCTTCAAGGGCATGGAGTACGACTGTGACCCCTACTGGGACCCAGACTGCCTGATTGACCACCCACCCAGGCCCGTCAAGGGGAAGATCTTGGTTCCCCCACCACCACCGCCTCCGCCTGTGGAGGAAGAAGAGAAGGAGGTACCTGTGGAGGAGTCGGCACCTCCGGCACTCAAAGAGAAGAAGATGACCTACCCTTTCCCTTACCCTTACTACCAACCCCTCCCCTACGACCCAAGGGATGATCTGTACGACCCGGTCCGCTTCCAGTACCCCCAGCCCGCTGATCCTGCCGACGAACCCGCAGAGGACAGCCAGTAAAACATCCAGGATGCACCAGAGGAAAGGTGTCTCTCTTGAAATGAAACTGACTTTGATTGAAAAGTTGCACAATTTCTTACTCACTGTCATGGAAAGCAGCATGTACCAGAGTTTTGATAGGTTGTAGTGTTATTCAACTGATAGCTTATGTATTTATCATCACTGTCAGCATGTAAACAAAAGAAGTGTTCAATCAGGACAAGCATTTAATGCAAATGATTTTTGAATGACAATAAAATGTGACAAATCGCTTTTTTTCATCAGTGAATGAGCAGCATTTTGACGTAGCAAGAACATGTTGGCTCCTCCTGGCGCCACATGGCAGGTACAAACAGACTTGTAAAGTACCAACTTGCAGGTTGGGGGTCATTATGTCGAGTTCTGCAGCACATTTAATACCCAAATAAATGCTGACTCCTGTTAGACACCTCAGAGTCTGGAGCTATAACTTGCCCTCCCCCTCTTTTTCTACAGTGTATTCCTGTCTGTCCAAAAACCTCCAGAGGCAATCAAACAGCAGGATCACGGCTTCAAAAGACGAGCTCACTCTCAGCTGCTCGCAATAAACCTGCAGCTCCACGTACAACACTTTCATCGGCTCATTTAAAAGCGCAGGTCTTACATTTTTCCATAGACTTCCTCTGATGTGTACCTCATTATAATCACTGACTGTTAGAAAGCAGACGAGTCAAAGTCCCATGAAAAAAATTAGCAGATCATTTATTACATACAGAAACATGGAACAATAAAACAAACTGGGTAAAATAATATAACGTTCATGTACAGTGGATTCATCGCTGTGCATACCCACAAAAGAGTCGAGTGATTTTGTACACATCTCCTACTGATTGGTGTTTTTAGGTGCCTTTAGACACACTTGTGGTTGAAAATGGTAAACTGGTTGGAAAAGCTACTGTTGGCTTAAGGATTTCTTTTTAGCAAATCAAAATACAAACAAACCCAAAATAAAGACAGAACAGAGAAAAAGAAACTGCAGTGCTTGTTTGTCTCTCTGCTTCGGCTTTCTGCCAGCTCAAAAGAAGAGTCCTCTCATCCTCCGGCCGATGCCCTGTCTGTCGTACAGGACGTTGAACTTGTTGATGAACTGGTTCATACTGTTGCAAGTCTTGGTGATGGTGCCTAAGTAGGCCATGAGGCCGACGTCATTACATTGCTGCGGGGAAGCAAGAGGCACAGTTGCAGAAAGCCCTCATTTGGCAGGACAACATGGAGATTTACTATAAACAGCAACATCATCACAGCATAACAGTGATCTTAATTTATCTACAATTAATCTTTTGTTTTTAAATAAAACAATTAGAAATAACACTGTGGCGCATATTCTATCGTGTTAATACGAAGAATATTTTTTTTCACTTTTACAAATATCAACAAAACAGATACAGAATTATTTGTATTAATGTGTACTGCCTGTGTATCCAAAGCCTGATAAATCTGATTTCTTTGTGTGCCATAGACCTACAAAAATGCATATTAATAATCACCAAAAACAATTAAAGACAATTTATTAGACTAACTGTGTACTTCACTTTCTGTTTTTAGTATCATCCCTGTACCCCTTCCAGCCTGTGCACTGTTATGATTACATCAACACTGATGAATTTAAAAACCACGTGGAAGGAAATTAGATTGTCGCTTTAATCCTTTTCACGGGATTTGCAGTGTCTTATCCTTTAAGTGATGAAAACATCAGCATGCATTAAGGGTATATATTTGTGTGTGTGTGTGAGTGAGTGAGTGAGTGAGTGAGTGAGTGAGTGAGTAGGTACAACAAAGTTTACTTACATCATAGAAGTCAGTTTTGAATTTTGTGGTGCTAAGGACTGGCAGTCTGTGGCACAGGGCGTTTGCTTCTCGAAGGATCTCGTGGTTAAATGGCACCTCTCCTGTGACAGAGAAATAAACGGGGTGCAAAAAACGATGAGATAAGACAATGCTGTCAGATTACTGTTAAACAGGAGCTTGTAATCATGGGGGCATGTTCGAACACTGTAAAAACAGGAGGAACATCTCATGTAGGAACAGCTGCTTTCTTGATTTATTTTCAGTCTTTGCTCTCACTGCCTCCTTAAACGGCCCCTCGTCATCTCACCTGCTTCCACGGCTTTGACGTACTCTAGAATGATCTTCACTCGGCTGTGGAGCATCTTTATCGCGCTGTGCTGGGCTATGAGATGTTCAGCAACTATCACAAAAGACAGACATAAAAAAAAATAAATAAATCAAAGTTAAAACTTAATGACAATTTCTACTATCAGGCAGGTCACAGACAAAAAACTGACTGTAGTTTGTGCCTAAACCACCTTGTAGGATAAAGGAAATACACTTTAACATATGACTCTCTTATCCATGTGTTTATTTTCTTGTTTTATCACTGCATAAAGAACTGAACTAGTTTTGTGACGCTGTGCTCTACAAAACAGGGAACCTGTTAGATGTTAACTTAAGACATTTTGATGTATTTCTCGTATCAATGTTAGGTTTGGTGTCTCAGTATGTGTACATCTACCTCATGATGCTAGAGATGGAGTTTGGACTAAAGAATCCAACCACCCAGAATCACAGGTAAGACACACCAGTCTCCTTCACTGCTCCTCCAGAAAGAAATTCATTTACCACTAAACAGCCTGCAGAGACGATGTTTGTGTGCTGTGGCTTTTGTAATGAACTGATTCTCTACCAAGTCTGTCTTTTATTTAGTTTTCAAAACTGAGCCTTCTTATTTTCTACCTTCAGATATACAGTGCAGTTCAGTCAGAACAATTACAGTCAAACTGTACTATCCTAACAGAAAACATTTTTCAGCACAGCATCAGTGGCAGCCTCTCCTACCTGTTGAGTTTTCTCCGGTGCCGGTGGCCGTCATTCGAGCTACGTGATCGACACCAATTCTCTCTGCTTCCTCTGTGGCCAGTGTGTACGTCAGTTCAGCAAACAACATGGTAGCCTGGAGGAAATATTTATAATAAAACAATTATTCATGGGAAATTAGGCTACTGCTGCAGGAAATAATAGGTCATCAAAATTAGATGTGAACGCTACCTCGCCATTGATGATGTCAATCACAGATTCATAAACGCTAACAGGAAGCTGAGGGAGATGAGGACACTTTGATTAGAGCAGCTTTATTTGAAAATATCCCTGCATCACCGTCACATTCTTGGAGTGAAAATGTGGGCAAACTCACGTCGGTGTGTTTGGTCATTGGGTTGAGTTTGAGGAACAGAGGACTCTCAATGATCTCGCACACCTGGCAGGTAAGAAATGACAGTAAGCAAATGTACACAATCTAAAATAACCGTCATGCTGTGTTGTTCTATCGCATTTGCACACAGGATTTTAAGATGACATATAAAGTGTTTCAAATCAGTAAATGTAATCTCTCTGACCATTAATAATGTACAAAACATGTGCTATATTACAGCTACTTTCTGTTATTTGCTTTTGTTAGTCATTTTTGGAGCTTGTGTATATCGAGCCGACTGAGATCGCAGAGATAAGCTGCTACTTGTCACTGGGTGGTCTTCAGTGTTGGCATACCTGCTTGTGAATGTGGATATCTGACTGGTCTGGGGGACCACCTGTTGTGTACCAGCCCAAGAACTCCATGTCTTTGAAGACCTGTTTGACTGAGAGACAAGAGGACATTTCAAAGATAAACTGCAACAGGGACATGACCTTATTTACTACAAATAAACAAACACATCATTGATTACTAAATGCAGCTTGACAGTTCATCTGTACTCTTTGGGAACTCAATGTGAAAAGTCTCAGAGTCAAATAATACAGCAGACAGCTCTGACCTGACCTGACTCTCAAGAGTTCATGTTTCCATGTTCATTCACATTTTTACTTTAAACTGTATAAGTTGATAATAAATCAGTGATAAACAAGATGCAAAATGTAAAAATAAAAAATACAATAAAGCAAGCTAGGACAAAGCAAAAGTATAGTCAAATTGTAAAAAGCTAATCTATGAACAAATCTCCCAGTTGATGGTTTTTTGCCAGTATTACTAAAATATATCCTTTCCTGAAATTGCATTCTTTCAACTGGCCAGAACTGGAAAAAGCTAGGACTGTCATTGTCACATACTGGACAACATCTCAATAAACTGAGTCATTTTAGAAAAATACACACAAATAGAGGTATAGTGTGGTGCTTGACACTTGAAAAGTGCTTACACTGTTCCTCCTTCGTGTAGTAGTACTCCTTATCAATGTGCACTCTGTCGTCTATGGTGTGGGACAGCAGTTCAAAGGAGTTCATCACCTCAATGTTTCTGCCCTCCTGTTTCCCGATCAGAGCACCAATCACTGGGCAGGGAAAACACAAACATAAACAACATCCTCTAAAGAAAAAAAGCATCTGAGCCTAACATGATATAAAGCAACATTACACTATCAGTTACATGTCTGGTGTTGTTCTACATACCCTGCATTGGCCGCCCCTCCTGCGAGCGGATGCGTATCCAGTGGTCAGATATGTTGAGGATAACCAGAGGGTGTAAGGCAACAGAGACGCTCCCAGTGACCCCCGAGGCCATGACACTGGGGCTGGCTACAGTCATACAGAGACACAAACAAGATGGGCTTTAATACAACAACAACCAAATAAGGCTGCAACTTGTGTCATATAGTCAGACCATTCTTTAGTGCTGACACAGCACTGTGTGAAATAGTGTGGCTGCACCTTGTTATGATTCTGCTACAGAGGAATAAAAAAAAAAAAGCTCTGCTGTGTTTTTATTTCTTTAGGCGCATTACAGTCGTCTTGGGTGGCGCTAAGAACAGGATGCTGCGATGGAGTTCACCCAAAATTGTAACAGAAGTATTGTTCTGGTGGACCATGTGTATGTATGGGAGATAAGCACCATCTTTAAAATAGATAATTCGCCAAAAAAAAAAAAAAAGAAAACTTGCAGGACTGCTCTATTTCACGATCCAAACCTTCGATAAAACTTGTTTTAGCGTGTGGGTTGCTGCCCTGAGGTGCTGCCGTTGCTGTTCCCTGTAGTGAATGTGATGATGAAAATAGTAACATGCAGACAGTAGACAGGGAGAAGAATTGAAAACTTATGTTGACTAGTATGACTAGTCTGCACCTAACAATGATTTACATAGTGTGGATTAGTCCGTTGATTATTTACTTGATAAATAAAGCGTTTAATTTATATAATGTCCAAAAATTGGAAAGAATTTTCAAGTGCTTCGTAAAGCCCAAGATGACACACCCTCAAATGTCTTCTTTGTCCACAACTCAAAAATATTTAGGTTACAGTCATAATGGAGGAAACAAAGAGAGAAAATATTCACATTATGCTGGTGCAACTAGAGAATGTAGACCTTTTCTTTTTTTTGAAAATGTCTCATACCGATTAATTGATTATCAAAACAGTGATTATCCTAAGAGCTGAAAACATTTTTTTTTAATCATTAGAGTCCTAAATGGCAATGTGCAATTATTGCTAATTAATGGATTATTTAGCAACAATTTATCAAACAATTACTGACTGCAAACCAAACAAAAACAAGACGTGAACAAGAACAGCACTCAGATATCAATCTTACTTGTAATACTAATATATTAAAAAAAAAAAAAAGATTCCCCTTGATCTGAATTCATTTCCTATAATCTGACAGTTGTTTCAAGGCATCCTACTAGAAAAATGGTTACAAAAACAAAACCCATCATAATCGTACATAAAGATGTTTATTTTGATTGTGCACGTTGAGACTCAGTTAGGCCGATACATCGCTTCATCTCGTGGATAAGACCAGCCCCAATTTGAGCGTTGCCTGTTGTTATAAACAAATAATAGGGTTGCCATCTTTGCTGGTAGATTTAAGTTAACATTGCTGATTTAATCTCCATTTAGAGAGCAGAGGAGAAAACCGGCTCCAACATCCAAAGTAATGAATGTACTGACAGCTTTACAGCAGAGCCGTGAACGTTAACCCGCTTATGTCAGCACGCGCGCTACCTTCTGTCTTTAACACCACAAAGTCGTCACCTACGACCACTCATAGCACAAATACACAACACATGCGGCAAACTGCACAAAGGTCCATGTCGATGTGAGGCAGAAATTACGAGATAAGTGAGAAATACTCGCCTGCCCCATCCACTTCCATTCCTCCACCATTGCTGGTCGCCATCTTGTCCGGTAAACCGCGCAGGCGCAGTGGGCTGTACACTTAACCAACGTTAGGTGGCAACATCTCTTTGTTGGGATGTTTCGAAATAAACTCTACCCCACAGTTATCCTCGTAGATTTTACAAGTGTTAACAGAAATAAATATTATTTTTTGACAGAGACACACTACACTCGGCATGATGAAGTTAATTTGACTGAAGCTTAATTCTGCCGCTCGGTCCCTGAGTCACTGCGCGGCTGTTTCCTGGGGATCGTTCATTTGGGCGCAACCGGTGCGCCCGGAAATTAGTCCGTGTCCGAGGTTTGAGAGTTTTGTTTACAAAATGGATGAATTCAGAGCCTGTAATCTGGACTACTTTCCCGAAAACATTTTAATTGATGTGTTGTCGTACCTGAGCGTACGAGAGCTCGTCAGAGCCGGGAGGTAAGGAGGATGTGACTTCACTGTCAGCATTATTCGCCTTGTACAACTAAACTCAGTGCCTCAGTCCCCCTTTGTTGTGTCTCTCGTCACACGGTTAAGTTATATTGTGTTTGTTGCGGTGTTTCTTTAGAGTGTGTAAGAGATGGAAACGCCTTGTTAAAGACCAAAGACTGTGGAGAACTGTCGACCTGACTGCATGGAAAGGGGTAAGAATGTTATCAGCACTGTGGCTTTACACTTCTTCCTTTCAGTTGTCCTGTCTTACTGAGCTGTGGTGTGTTTGATTCAGTGACTACAGGGATATCACATGTACACAATAAAACTACACATTCTGATAAAACATCCATACAACATGTATACTGCTAATATATGAAAGTCATGTACCGTCAACACCTGTAACGATAGCAAAAGCTTTCTAAATGTATTTGGTGATAAAGACTGACTGTCAGCGCTCAGATAGACCACAACACAAGTCAGAAAACTTGTGTAACTATGGACTTGGTTTGATGTTTTCAGTCACATCAAATGAGGTCACTGTCTTGACCCAGAGTGCGCTGTAAAGGCTCACACTGCAGGCCAACCTTAAATATATCTGTGACAGGGAAATGTATTTGTTAAAGTGTTAATATTTTAGTTAAAAACAATCTCAGGGTCCTAGTCATCCCAAAAGTGGATAATCATATACTCCACTGTACTCCACCAGTTGGAACTGATAACCTAAAAGAGCCAGGAGTAGCAAATGTTTACCCCCCACACAATTCGCTCATAGATATAACCCAACAAACAAGTCAGGTCCCACAACTACTCGGGATTAAGACTATTAATTGGCCACAGCAGAAATAAATGGATTTGAGACGCACTCCCAGGTCTTCTCTTCCACAAGTCTTACAATGCCTGGCGGACAAACTAAAGCAAGAAAATCTTATAAACAAAACCAAAAGAAGGACAGCGGATGACAGTGTTGGCATGCTGAGCAATTTCTGCAAAAAACACAGACAACAAAAATACCAACTGAACTATCAGACATGTGACATTTTCAACAAAAAACAAGAACTGTTTCATTGAGCACCATTTACAACCACAATGAGCCTATAGTTTAACATTTTTATGACTGCTGTGTTGATGTCTCTAACAAAGAGCAGCAAAGTAAGCTTCTCATAAAGAGCTGCATGACCCGAATGCAATGTCCAGACATACAGCTGTTAAAAATGCACATCCACATAAAATTCCATGAAACATACTATCACCACTTACCCACTTTTCTTATCGACTCCTTTCCCAGTTAAAGAGCAGACGGCAGAAAACACAGTGGACACTACTTAAAGTGTCCTAAAGTTAAAAAAAAAAAAAGTCTTTCAGTCACTGAATAGTTGCAGCCTCTCCACTCAAGTTTCTAGCTGCTCTTAGCACTCAGGTTAAGTTTAGGTTCAGTTAAGTCACTAGGCACTCATCATTATCCGCCTTGTATTTACATCTTTTCCTGGCAAGCATTAGGCATTTCACTGTTGTTTGCATTTAGTTTCTACATATTATGCTGTATTTCTGTTAATACATTTTTATGTAAACCAGCACTTTGAAATGCATTTGTGTATGAAATATGCTCTGCAAATAAACTGTATGCATCTTTTGATAACATACGAGTTGTGTGGCTGTGCAATTATTGACAAAAGAATGTTATTCTGTTGCCTCCCATCTCCCACCCTTGAAACGCACGTATTCATGAACTGTCCTCTGTGTGTTAGGTGACATCCCGCATCCTTTGGGTCCTGCTGCGTCAGTACCTGGGTTGTGGACTAAGGTGCCTTCGATTGCGTGGTTTGCTGCTCTCTGCCCGTGGCGGCACCTTTCTCTCTGAGTCTTGGCTCAAAGCTTTGTCCACAAAATGCCCTCGCCTGAGTAAGCTCTATCTTCTGCATGCAGACCTGAGAAGCCTTCCCAATTGCCAGATCCTACCTCCATCTTTACAGGTGCTGGAGCTGCGTGGTTGTGAGCTGCCTCGTGGTTTTTTTAACCACAGCCTGCCAGCTTCAGCTGCTGAACCTCAAGAAAGAGCAGAAGCCACATCTAGTGTTGGTGCTCAGCAGCAAGAAAGGGACCAGAAAAGAAAAGGGCCTAGTTCTCCTGCAGGCATTGGTATTGAAAGGTTGGTCCTTAACAATGTGCCCTCTTTTACAGACCAACACCTGCAGAGTCTGACATCATGGGAGAAGCTCCGTCGATTGGAGCTGCGTGACACCTTTCGTATAACAGCTAACGGGATTAGAAGTTGTGCTGCCAAAGATGGTGTCTGTGGGGTGGAGGGGCTTTCCAGGCTCAAGTTTTTGGAAATAGGCATTACAGGGCGGCAGGGCTACCAGTTACAAATGGCCTCTCTTGGGCTGGGGGCAGGATGGCTCGGACTAGAGGAACTGAGTCTTGGCGGAAAGGAGGTGGGGCCTGGCCTGCTCTGCGCCAGTCGTCTGAGGGACCTGAAACAACTGTGCCTGTGGGCCTGCACACTCAGCGAGTTGCAGATAGTCCGCAGCTGCAGGATGCTCCGAGGACTCCGCCAGCTGGAGTTTTTGGATGTGATCTTCCAGCCTCGACAGAGTCCACCTGAGGTAGAGGGGGAGGGTGGTGGCGAAGAAGAGCAGGTCGGTGAGGAAGCTGCAGGCGCAGATGGCAGCAGTGACGAGAATAAGACACTGGATATGAATGATCCTATTCCAAGTCTACGTCGCTCACTCGCTGTCCTGCTGCCATCCTGCACACTAGTTTTCACCAACTGCTCTGTTCAGAGTAATGCAGAATAAATGAGGCCTCCACTGCTGCTGCATACCAGTGGCCAACACGAATAAACCTCTCTTTCAGACAGGGTTAATTAGTTATATGTAGTGTTACTGATACAATATTGGATGAATTTTTCAGCATTGTCTAATGCATACACCTATCTCAAGCACACATAGGCCTATGACACCACAAATTCATATTGAATGGAATCAGAATGCTACATTAAAATTGTCAGACATTACTACAAAAAGTCCAGACGGAAAGAAAAATAGTTTGAAAAACAGATAATCTGATGTTTCTGTCAACAAAACTCTAAAAGCACAGAGAGAACACACTGCTTCGTATTGGCAAAAGTTTTCTAGTTTTAAATCACCATTTCATTTTTGATCATTTGTACACAGAAGTACTGTATTTCAGGATTTTCTGGAACCATTCAATGCAAAACTGACACTCTAGTAATTTTGTTAATGACAGTATACACAATGTGAAAGAAAATAGGACTCACTTTTAATTTTCCTCTAATCACACACATTGAGTTATCCTCCTGCGCACTTTTGGCAGTTTTAGTTGGTAGAGTAGCAATACCACTTCTCCACAGAGCACAAACTTCTGGCCTCTACAGCAGCAAAATGGAACAGAGCAATGCTATTGCTAAATTTGCATATATGACATTTATTTTGTTTTTGATGGGATACTTTCAAGCCGTTATTTTTCTTGAAAAAAATTCTTAAAAGTTTGCTTTTATTTAGTTATATATGGAGTTATATTTTGATACATTTTCTGTAAAATTGAATTAGAAACAGTTTATAGGTAAACTATCCAAACAGGACTGTGCATTGTTGACACTTCATCACATTGATGCAAACATCACTGATAAATAATCTTGTCACCAAGTAGTCTTTTTGATTATTTTTTTAAAGATTGCCTCATAGACTGAGAAGACAAAGAGATTGTATGGACCCACAGCATATATATCATCATATCCTACAACGACACTGCTTTAACCAGTGTTGTCAAGGTAAATCAGTGGGAGGTCTCACTTCCAAATCGCTTATTCGCATGGAAAAAAAAAAAAAGTCTGTGTGAACCAAAAATCTGTCTTCAGCATACCCTTTTTAAATTCTTTTACAGTAGAAAAAAAAATGCAAAGGCCACTGCTAGACTGTAAACAGATCAGCATCTGTCACTTACAAAGGCAAGGGAACTGAAGCACACTGTGGGTGATGATCCACCTGTTTCCTGTTTTGTGCTTTGTTTTTTGTTTTGTTTTTTTACCACTTTTTTACAATACACACAGTTAGAGATCATATATATTACAAACAGGTGTTTGGTTTTGGTGAAGCACAACATTACACAATTTATTTCCTATTTTACTTTGCCATTGTGATTTTGTTTTTTTTTTAAATGCAATTTTACATGTATGTTTGATTGTATTAAAGAGGAAAAACATCGAAGGTCTGTGTCATTACAGTGAGTTTAAACCAACCATTTAAGGGTGGGTAATATTGTGTAAGTGGGATTGTTTTGAATAAACTTATTTTGATCAAAAAATTCCTTAAGTATTATTTGTCTTTCACAGTTCTCTAAAAAACATTTTTAAAGACTTGTTTTGACTGATTCATCATGTATTTAAATTTATTACACAGTAAATCCTGACCCAAAGCTTAACTTTAAGAAATTACATGTTAATTACAATCACAACATTCGAACAAATGCAATTAGATATTTTATACATATATACACACACATCACATATTGGTTGTAGATGATCTAAGATAGGTGATATTCTTCCTTTCCATATTTTATATAACTTTAGTAAAATATATTTGGGTTTTTGACTGAAGAAATTTTTAAGAAGCACATTTCATTGGATAGACCACAGAATATTTTAGGTATTTGTTTAGTTTCAGCCCTAGACAGTTTCAGAAGTTATTACATCGAATTTCACAAAGAAACGGCATGTTTTTGTAATTATGTTCGTCACACAGCCAGATTTAAGAAGCCGGCTTTAACATAACAAGAAGACTCTGTCGCTCCTACAAGTTAAAACAACGGGACAAAGGCGGGTCGACAGTCGGCGCCCACCAATCACACGCTTCTTCCTGCAACTATTCTGACCAATGGGAGCTCTCTGTTGCTCTCGGTTCGCAGTACACGGACCAATCACGTTGGCGGAGCCTGGCTTTTTGAAAACGTTGGCGGCTGAGGAGGTTCTAACTATAAAGACTAGACGACTTTCCACGCTGTAAAGTTACCACAAATTCCCCTTACTACGATGCAGGTAATTGAAGTTTATTATTTATCTGCGAGATAGAACTTGGCAATAATTGAAAACACCAAACTGCTGATAACAGCGCAGAATACATTGCAGAGGTTGACGCAGATTGTAGCTAACGTAGGCTAACCTTGGATTTGCTAGCTACTTCAGCTAACTAACATGTAACGCTAGCTTGAGGTAAAAGTGACAACAAGTAGTATGGTGTATGTTCCCGGCTAAATATAAATACATACACGGGTTTTATTTAAAGTAGACCAACCTATAGAATTCCAACATAGTTTTGAAACATTTATTTTAATCTCAATTCTTCAACTGTGGCCTATACAACCGTTGTCATTGTTGAACCATGTTCACTTGTTTAACTGAACGTTTTAATTGAACTCAGACATGTAACACGTCCTCAACAGATGGCCCGATGTGTTTACTGTATCTATAGAGAGCGCCTGCACCAAGCATATCATGTAAACTTGACAATAATGTCGTGTTAAGCAAGTTTTATATACCTCAAAATATCAGATTGTATTAATTTAGGTGAGTGTGGTAGAACATCAACCATTGAGGAGATAAACATTCAACTTTATATGTCCCCCATTCTGTTAACAATGACATTAAAAATGTCACACAAAAGGGATAACCTGTACAGTCTATTGCAATCCAGTACAGAAAATTGTTATGTACACTATTTTGTTCAAAGTAAAGAAAATATTCGAAGATTAAAATGTTGTACCTCTACTTTTACTAGAAGCAGATGTAGATGAAAGTCGTGAGTTAATGTTGACACCACATTTCTTTATGTAGGAAAAATCCAGTGAATGTTTGCCGTCTCTGGTCTTTTCATTCAAGCTGGAGCAATAAATCGATTTGTCAACTATTACATTGATTGTCAACTATTTTGATAATCAGCCTGGGTAATTTTTAGGAAAAGGGGGCCAAAATTTGTGATTCTAGATTTTCAAAATACTTTCCTCTATGACAGTAAACTGAACATCTTTAGATTGTGGGCAAAACAAGACTTTTTAGGATGTCATCTTGGGCTTTGAAAAAAACGCTGATCAACTTTTTTCACCATTTTCTGACATTTGTATAGGCCAAACAACCAATCGATTATTTGTGAAAAGGAACAATCTATTATTTGACAATGAAAGTAATTGTTAGGTGCAGCCATACTTTTCAGAACTAGTGAGTGGAAGCTATTTGTTCAACTTCCTGTTTGCTATACATACCTCAGCTATTGTCTATGATAAACAACTTGAAGCTAAAAAATAAAAATAAATGAATGACAAAGAGACATAGTGGCTCAAATGTACTATAGGTTTAAGTAAGTGATGTTTATTTCTTTACAGAATAAGGAAAATTACGAGCCCAGAGGTCTCCAGAGACCGGTAAGTAATAGCAGTTGTAGTTGCATAGATTTGCCATAAAAGTAATTGAAAAGTGATCACGAGTTGGACTTACTCCTAGAGGACATGTCAGATTGAGCATGGGTTGAAGTGGTGTGAAAATATGGGAAACTGGTGTTCAATCAAAATACCATTCAATGCTCTTGTCATTTTATGGTATGGAGTTAGTTGCTTTTTTTTGTTTCTTTTTCTTTTTTTGGCCAATAAAACGCTCACTAACTGTGTGTTTGTGTTTCCTCTGAACATCAGTTTGCAACCCCAAGTATGGTGGCAGGCCCCCAGCGTGTTCTGGTGAAGCCACGAGTAGAGACAATCAGAAATGCTGTCACAGGTAACTTCTTCCTCCTCACATACCGATGCCTTTCAGACACTTCAGGAAATGTGTGTATTTTGATTGTGTTGTCATTTATAGGCCCCGGAAGAGAATGTGTTAGCGCAGCCTCCAGCTCAGTTTCAAAGTAAGTGAACTCAATAGTGTTTCTCCATTTGTATATTGGTTGTTTAAAAAAAAATAATAAATTCAAACATCAAAGTAACCGTTTACATGTTATACAGGAAAATTTCCATTGACGACTTCGACATCGGTCGACCACTTGGAAAGGGCAAATTTGGCAACGTGTACCTTGCAAGAGTGAAGGAGCTGCAAGCTATTGTGGCGCTGAAGGTGCTGTTCAAGTCACAGATGGAGAAGGAAGGTGTGGAGCATCAACTCAGGAGGGAGATTGAGATTCAGGCCCATCTCAAGTTAGTATCCTGAAAACATTTTTCTCTTGTGTGTTAATGTTGATTTATATTTTCTACAAAGTTACTGTACGTGTCGCTTGGGTATCTTGAGCACCCTGTATAGGTTTTCAAAAGGGGTCGATCGAGATGGTTTGGTTGTTGTTTTGTTTTTTTCAGGGATGAGGAGACTGATTACCAATACTATGAAATGACAGACATTGGCAGAAAAAATTAAAATGTTGGTGTCAAATTTTAGAACAACACAAACATTAACACAACACTTTGTTCACATACCTTAGTTCATTTATTTTATTTATATGTAAAATATAAGAATAATCGTTTATCCTTTGGTGTTGATAGGCTATTACTCATGGTGACTACAGATAAAGAAGAGGAGAACTGTATCAAAGCGAAAATAGTGCATTATTAGGTTCATTTACTTTTGTGGTAATTGGTTAAAATAAATTAAAAAATACATAGTGATACCAGTAATATGAATATCAGATTTGATAGTCAGTCAACCCCTAGTTTTCTGTAAGATATAAGTATTAGTTGTAGTTAACACAAATTAAACCAATCCCCACTGTGTTTTTAATACTTTGCAGTTCTTTTTTTCTCACAGTTTTTGTGCACTTCAAATTAGCAGAGCGATGGTACCATTTTCCTATTTGCCATACAAACTGACCTTTTTTGGAATTCCTGGCTCCTATTTTAGGGCAGTTCTGTGCATCTCTTAGTACACACATTTCCTGACAGCATACCTGCTGCCATCTGCTGTCTGTTACAGGAACATTCATCATCGCTTGCATTCACCCACCTAATGTAATGGGTACACAAGCTTGTTTACTTAAATGCTTCACAAGTTTACTGTGAATTTAATTCCTTTTTTTGTAATAGGTTTAAAGATTTTTTTTAAATACACTTTAATTATAGGTTGAACTGTAACATGCCAGGTTAGATGCACCTAAAGCTTTGCTGGATCTTTTCTATTCTTTCTGTATTTTATATCAAAAAGGATCATTCGTGTTTTCATAAATGCTAAATTCAGTTTATCACAGAAAAACTAAAGCAACACAATAATGTTGGGACTGCTTGAGCCGAAAAACTGATGATACAGATCTAAAAAAAACTAAACGTGATATCTTTGCGACAGCAACAGGAGTGAACAATGACAATGGTAGCTCAAGATAAACAGTTTGTTTCTGGATACTACATAAATACATTATTTTACTTCTTATTCATGCAGTTTGCTCAGATCAGTTTGTTTTAGGAAAGACTGTCAACAAACTACCTCACAATTGCTCTTTATTTCTTAGGCACCCCAACATCCTTCGCTTCTACAATTATTTCCACGACCGCAAGAGGGTGTTCTTGGTGCTTGAGTACGCCCCCCGTGGTGAAATGTACAAAGAGCTACAGAGATGTGGAAGGTTTGATGACCGGCGTACTGCCACGGTGAGAACTGAACTAAATTTGCTCATTTGTGGAGAGTAATTCAGGAATATTTACTGTAGTCTGATCAGCATAACATTTGATTTGATTGTCTTACATTGCTAGTCCTATTTGGGAGTGGATGTAATTTAATCCTGACATCTTTAATCTTTTCCAGTACATGGAGGAGATATCTGACGCTCTAATGTATTGCCATGAGAAGAAAGTGATTCATCGTGACATCAAGCCAGAGAATCTGCTCCTCGGTTATCGTGGAGAGCTGAAGATCGCTGATTTTGGCTGGTCCGTTCATGCACCTTCTCTCAGGTGAGGAACCACAATGTCCCCACATCACTGTGGTTTGTTACAAAACCTCCTCTATGCTGCTACACCTACACACTGCCTTGGCTGCTCAACTCACCTCTTGCTTTATGCTTTTCCAGACGTCGCACCATGTGCGGGACACTTGACTACCTTCCTCCAGAGATGATTGAGGGCCACACTCACAGTGAGAAGGTGGACTTGTGGTGCATTGGAGTCCTTTGCTACGAATGCTTAGTCGGCAACCCACCTTTCGAAACTGCCAGCCATTCAGAGACCTACAAAAGAATTATGAAGGTTGGTGTTTGTCTCTGGGTGTGTAATGCACTCGGTCAGCTAAATCTAATAGCTTTCGTATAGTAAAAACTAAGATCCACATCTGCCAAAAGCCACCTTCATTCTGTGGTATGCAAGAGGAACTTTTCAGGTATCTTGAATTTCTGACACCGGTTGGGGTAGTCGAGGGTTGGTGCTCATGTTGGAAGTGTTCGACACTGCTTTCACTCTCCCCTCTGACCTCTGTAACTTTTGTTGAACATTTTTGTGTCTGGGGAAAAAAAAATAAATTGGTTGATGCACATTTGCGATAATATCAAGCATTAAAGTAATATGATGCCAGTTTACATCATCCTGTACAGTGAAGTACAAGCATTTAAGATAAATAATTATGGCCAAAACACATTTTAAATGCAAAGTAACATTAACTATGATTGATCAATTGCACATTTGAGAATCTTTTAAACTCTTATTTAAGAAGAAAAAAAGAAACTGATTAGAGAATGTCGACATTTAATCTTTGCCATAGGTTGTCCACATGAGTTTTTCCCAAACCATAACTTGCCTGAAAATATTAATTTCAGCACAAATTTAAAGGAAGCCTTACTGGAGTGTGCCTTGCATCTCCATTATAGGTCGCATACAATATTTTGCTGAGAGTCAGTTGAAATCTTAAAGAATGTCATCTTTTTTTCTGTAGTAGTCACTGTACTGATGAACAAGTGCCATCTTGCCATTCGTAGGTGGATTTGAAGTTCCCTAAAGTCATCTCTGATGGTGCACGGGACCTGATCTCCAAGCTGCTTCGCCACAACCCCATCGATCGCCTCTCTCTACAGAGTGTCATCGACCACCCGTGGGTGCGCTCCAACTCTCACCGGCTCTTGCCTCCAACCTGCCCAGCTAAGAAATCCTGAGACCACCCTAGAAGCCTGCTGACTTTCCTCTGAGGGGTGTTTTATCTGTCCACCACAAGAAACTATATATATATATATATACTATGTACACACAAGGATAAGTACAAAAGGTCTGTCATTTGAAAAGCTGGAACTTGAGAATATGAAGAATATTTTGCTTCTCTTGCTTAAAAATGACTCCAAATAATAGATCATCAAATAGTTGCAGTTTTTTTTTCTTCTAATTCTCTACTGCTCCAACTCTAGTATGCATGTGTACCCACTTTTGTTTTTTAAATGTTGTAAAGTGTGATGTCAGTATCTATGTCTAGTACTTTCACATTGAGTTGTTTGTATTTTTATTGTTATTTCTTTACTGAAAGGTTTTTAATTGGAGATGGCTCTGTTTTGGATTTCTCTTTTGGATGGTGTAGACACCAAAGTACTACTGTTTGACTGCCTCAATCTGAGTATATTCTCAAATAGTTTAAGATGTGTTTGGGCTTTGGGTTGGGAGGCATGTTTTATTCTCCCTCAAGCTATACTTTCAATTTCTAATAAATATTCTGAAAAGATTTGTGGCCATGTAATGAGTAGTTCAATTTGAAGGAGTTGTGTAATGATTGTGTTTAGTTTTTGTCACTCTTCCTTTTCAAAGTTGCTGTTTGCCAGGCTTTTACTTTACGATTAGATGGAGTTTATATTTCACCTATTCTTTGGATTAGTGAAGGTGGAATGAGCATTAGGTTTCAGTTAAAGATGATGATTAACTCATCAAGATATGTTGCAAAACAATAGATAGTGGTCCCAAAGGAAGGAGGGGCAGTGTAAATCTACATTCTTATGTCCGCACAGTATATTCTTCAATATTGCCGTCATATGCACACGGTAGCGTGGCCGAGCGGTCTAAGGCGCTGGATTAAGGCTCCAGTCTCTTCGGGGGCGTGGGTTCGAATCCCACCGCTGCCAATACTTTTGTTCTCTTTCAGTCGCTGCGGCTGTGTCATCGGTCTGTCATTCTCTCCCTGAACACGGTTTATAATCCCCCGTCTTTACTGAATTTACATTGTTTGTGGAAATTTTGACGAAGTTACGTGAGGAACCACTAAACGTACTGCGACGTAGCACATGGCAGAAGCGTGGCACGTTGGGTAACCTTTACCGTCTACAGAAATATATAGGCGTGAGTAAGCTAAGTCAGAATAATTGAGTTTGAAATATCATCCGTTTCGTTACTAATTAAATTAATCAAAAACACGAATTACACACAATCACAGTATAAAACGTCAAGAAGTGGAGATATATTCGTCGCATATCATGCTGCTAGGGGGCGCTACTCCATGATGCTTTATCTTACTGATCTCATGGTGATCTCTTGAATTGCAGATTTTACTAATCGTTGCCTCTCTCTTATATGTTATTCCTTATTTTTTATTTTACTTTTGCTTTTCTGAATGGCATTCCCTATCAGACCGCTTTTTTTGGGTAAATGTTCCTTTCAAATTTAGTCCATTTTTACAGCAGGGAAGTTTTTCTTTGAAAAAATAAATCATTTAGTCAAATAAGTTTTTAATAAAAATGCACAGGCAAGTGGAATAAAGTGCAGATTTGATAGGATACTTGTAACTGATTTGTTCATCCTCAATATCTGTTCGTCACTTCTGTACAATACCATATTTAATGTTGGTACCTATTACAGGCTAACTCAGATGCAATATTACAATATGGTGCAATATTGCAGATGAGCCTGGGCAATCCATTCATGTTACCTACAGTGCTTTATCTCTGCTGTTAGCTTTATATTTAGTGTTTATATATATATATGTATGTATGTAAATTATTATTGTAATAGTTGAGTTTCCCCTACATTGTAAATAATAAATAAGTAAATATTTTTCTGACATATAACTGAAAGAATAACAAAAAATTGAGTTAACATAAATACAGGCCAAAACTGAACAATGTCCACATAAAAACAGGAATTTTATAAATGGAAATAATAAAATAAATGCATTTAAAAAACTAAACAAAAAACGTTGAAACATAAAATGACGCTTTTTTTGTGCTGTGTTTAAATAAGTAAAAACAACATTATTTATCCTAATTTCAGTAATTTATACTGTTTTTTTTATTAAGTTTTTTAACGTGACAGTATTCCACTTTTTAAAAACATATTTTTAAAAATCTACCTTACTGCCAGATTTGCACGTATTTACAGATTTTTATTTTTATTTATTTTTTATTTACAGTGTGCACTACGAGGGGTATCAAACCTAATTTCATTGTATGCAGAGCTTGCTGTGACAATAAATACATTCAGAATTGGATTTCTAAAATAAAACTGACGATTCAAAGCCACATGAGCCGGAACACACATAAATGCGACTTATATGTTTATGTTGTGAATATGAGTAATGTTTAACTTTATGTTTTGTCTTCAAGTTGGAAGCTTTTATTTTGATGAGACTCCCTCTCTTTAAAACCGCTTCCTGTTCAGAGCGAACATTATTTCCGGGTCAGACCTGCTTCGAACTTCACAGATCACAACAGAAGACCGCTGCGCCTAATTTGGACTCAACCTGATGTTTTATCGCTTCTAATCTGTGAAATCTCTTCAGACTACAGTGGGACATGGCCGGTTTACCACCGGGAGACCCGCAGCTGGTCTCCATGATCGTCAGCCATTTAAAAACTCAGGGTCTGTTCGACCAGTTCAGGAGAGACTGTCTGGCAGACGTTGACACAAAGGTAAGCATCTTCACTACTATCGTCAGCTAAAATATCATATTTAACCACAGTTAACGTGTAAATAAAACCACTGTGTGATATTAATGTGTACAGTTTAGCTGAGGGAACTAGCTGCTCTACTTTGTCTGTATTTTTGTAGAAGTTTTGACGGTGGTGTTTCATTTTGGCCACTGAAGCTAAACCCAACATAAACACATCCAGTAATTAACTGGTTCGTTATTTTACTGCGTGGCTCCAAAATGTCGTCCACTCTGAGTGAACATGTTAGTCAGTTTCTCTCGCTTTTAGCGACTAAAGCATAACGCCAAAATGTAACTTTTCGTTCAGATAAATACGGATAAGTGATGTTGAAGTTAGTTGCACTATTACTTTTTAGTTGGTTGCATTAAAGCTGAACCGTTAATTGTCGACTGTTAAACATAACGACTTAATTGGTTTGAGTAATAATTAAATATAAAAAAGGCAAAACTGTCGTAGCTCTCTTATCTTTTATATTTTCTGGTTTCTTTACTCCTCTACGGCAGTGAACTGAATATCTGTTGGGTTGTGCACAAACAAGACGTGAGATCTATAAAATATCCAGACTCTAAGATCTTAAATGTAACATCCCTAAACATGCAAATATCCTGTTTTTGTAATAAATGATTGGCTTATTAACCTTCCTGTTACCTTCAAATTTACTGACATCTTTTATCCTTGGGTTCAGTTTGACCCCAGCTATTTAAACCTCCTGGAAATACCATAATTAAAATTGATTACCCAAGTTTATGTGTAAATAGCCCTTTAAATAAAACTGAAAAAATATGTCAGTGACTTGTTCAGAGATGTCAAACATTGAATGTGGTCAAATTGACCCCAACGATAATAGGAGGGTTAACTGAAAATATCAAGGTAGGCTGTGGTTTCTGGCATAACACCAATGTAGACCTTTACTTTTTCTCTCTCTTTTTTTTTTTTTTACTTTTCATAGTGTTGTTTTTATGAGCATGGCTATTTGTAATGGAAACATTTTTTAAAATCTTTTTCAGCCAGCTTACTTGAACCTAAAACAACGAGTGGACAACTTTGTCTCCAATCACCTCTCTAATCACACATGGAGCCCTCATTTGAACAAAAACCAGCTGAGGAACAACATCAGGCAGCTCGTCCTGCAGTAAGGGAGAAGCACTATCTTTCCTCCGCCTTCTGTACCTCTTCCTCTCCTCTCATCTCTTTTCTTTCTATAACCAGCTGTATGTGAACGTTACCCAGTCTTACGACAAACTGCGTCTCTTAGGTCTGGGATGCTGGAGCAGGGAGTGGACAGGATTGTGGCCCAGGTGGTGGATCCCAAAATCAACCATATCTTCAGGCCACAGGTGGAGAGGGTGGTCCGTGAGTTTCTGTCCCCTGGCAGCTGCTCCGAGGAGCCACCGGTCCCTCTTCCTCCAATGGAGATGAAACCAGACAGCAGCATTCCTGAGCCAGGTACACAACATTCACATTTGTTTGCTTTTTTTAGACTTTGACTTATGAAGGAGAGAATTTTTTTCCCTGTTCATAACGAGGTCATGATACAGGTGACAGCTTGTGGCTGATGTCTGAACTGCAGATTACAGCCACGCCTTGTTTAGGTGTCTCCAAAATGAAAACTGTGTACAATACAGTATAGCTATTCCAAGTTCATGGAATTGTTTCACATTTTGAGAGCCATATTTATTTGCTGTCTCATCTAACTGTCAGAACCAAAGTGAATACTCATGTCTTCCAAGTGGTTGAACATAGCTTTATTCACGCTTCATCACATGTTCATATGTTCATAGCTTCATCGTCAACTCCAACTACCGCTACGGCCAGCGATGCCATGTCCATCCTGGACACTATAACGTCTCTCAACCAGGAGGCTAGCGTCAGAGCCAGCTCAGCAACCGAAAAAGGACGTAAAAACCAAGCTTCAGATGACCCAATGCAGCTGATGGAAGACAGCGAGCAGGACATGAGTCTTGTTGAGGACGATGACAGTCACCATGACGGAAAGCCACCAGAAGAGACGGAGGAAGCAAAACTGGCAACAGAAGTTCAGGCCTTAGAGTTAAAGACAGAGGATGCACAGGAGCAAGTGGATCTGGGCAAAGAGGGGTTAATAGAGGAGGTGAAAATGGAGGAGGAAGAGTTGGGAGCTCAAGAGCCGACTGAGGAGGAGAAAGACAAACCTGCAAGTAAAATCACTGGAAAACCCTCAGAAGAGAAGCAGGATGATGACATGCTGAAATCTACAAGCCAGGCCAGGCAGAAAGCCAGAGAGAGGATAAAAGAAGGTGAGCTGCTGTATCCTCTGTGTGTGTTTTTATGGTTAGAGCAGCATTGCTCGCCGGTTCGCGTCCCGGTGAGGGTACCGGGATCTTTCTGCGTGGAGTCTGCATGTTGTCCCCGTGCAGCGTGGGTTCTCTCCAGGTTCTCCGGCTTCCTCCCACAAGGTCCAAAAACATGTTGAGGTTAATTGGTGATTCTAAATTGTCCTCACTGTTTCTGTAGTCTTGCCTTTTCTTAAATAACAATTTATATGAATTATTTTAACACAAAACCAGAGTATATGTATAAAAGACATAAACAGGGTTGTGTTTGTGTGAGAACGGTGGTTGTAATGGGATGGGTAGCAGCACCTTTTACTTCCTCCCCCACCCCCCTCCTCATCCTCCCAGTGCTAAATTTCATACATTTGTTTTATAAATAATTTATAACCTCATATGCCTTTGCCCTGCAGAATACTCTTTGGAGGACTCTGACCTGGAAGGCCTGAGCGACATCACAGTGAGCTCTGTCCACACCAGCGACCTGTCGTCGTTTGGGGAGGAGAGTGAAGATGAGGAGCTGCTGTCTGATTCTTCTGAGGAGGGGGAACTTCCAACAGATGGTCTCTGAAAACGTCAACTTTCTATTCCTGCATATGTTTTTGACAGCCATTTGTAATTTTAAAACTAACCACAGATATGTTGGGAGTAGTTTTAAAATGTACACTGGATATTGAAGTTTATTTGGGATTTTGTTGTGTGTACTTGTTTTTTTCCCCCCAGATGAAGGTGACAGAGCAGAAAAGAAGCACACCGGTGGAGACACAGGGGATGAAGATAAAGAGCGCAAACCTCGCCGCAAGGCCTACGTTCACAAACCCTTCCTCTATTCCCGTTACTATAGCGACTCGGATGATGAGATCACTGTGGAGGAACGTCGCAGATCCGCGGTGAGTGTGATCATATTGTATCTATAGCATCAGCAGAGATTTGAATCTGTTTTGAGCAAAATCAAAATATTATGAACTTTAAAAATACATAGATATTGATCTTAATAGATGATATGTGTCATCCTGCACATTAAAATAACCTAACAAACTGTTGTCATAGGCAAAGGACAAAGAGGAACGGCTTCTCAAGAGACAACAGAACAGAGAGCGAATGGAAGAGAAGCGCAAACAGAAAGCAGTGCAGGCTGAAGAACAAGGTTTTTTTCTGTCTATCATGTGTCTGCTACCAAGTGCTTTTACAGTTGTGGCTTGAATTTAGCTTCAGTATTTCTTTATTTTTGGCTCCTCTACTGTTTATCTTCATGTTCCTTGCCCCGCTGGATACTACATGTTATGTGATATTTTGGCAGAATCCAGCCACCAATAATGATTACACTAATGCAAATTTACATATAATCATGTAATATAGGGATTTTGTGTTTAGTCTTTGTACTTGATCTGTTTAGGAACATCACAATTATTTAAAATCTGTAGATATTTTAGCATAATAGAGTACTTACAACATTTCTGGGTTGCATGATGTAAAAACTATAGGAATGAGTATATAATATGCAGATGCTTCACATCACAAAACTGTTGCAGTGTGTCATGTCCAGTTTGTTTTGTTGTGCTTTATGTTCTCATTGTTCCATCTTCTATGTACTGCATCACTGACCAGCCCTAATGTCCCACACAGATCACAAAAAACAAAAGAGCGGTGACTCTGCAGGCCTGGAGGGCCCAAGAGCTAAAGAGGCCCGCAAAGAAAGGAAAGTTCTGGAGAAAAAAATGGCTCTCAGCAGGAAGAGGAAACTAGACTCGAGGTGTGCCGTCAAAAGCTGAGACACAACTTCATGCAGCAATTTCTGACCAAATGTTTAGATATTTTTGTACACTGTATAAAATCGTGTCAACTTCATCTTTCAGGAAAGAGGGAGATGTTTCAAGCAAGAGGAAAGGAGATACAGGAGACATGTTCAAGAAAGCAGTATGTGAAAGCCACCAAGAATATAACAGATTTGAGATTTGCCCACGTTTTGTTGAGTTGTAACACATTTTTTTGTTTGTTTATTTTTGTTACTTTGAAATCAGGAAATGAAATCTGCCACATCAAAGACCCTCCAACCTAAACTGATGAGAAATTTGTCAGAATCTGCATCTTCTGATGAGAGACACAGAAGAATGAGTGGAAGCATCTCAGAAGATTCCAGCGACACAAAGAAGTTGATTGACAAAAGTCGGACACACTCCTTTATCCTGGAGCTGGAGCAAGGCTCCCAAGAGGCTCTCAGACAACGATCGGTTGGGAAATTTGATCGTCTCTCCCGAAAAGAACTTCATTCTAAAGAACGCAAAGAGAAAGAACGCAGCTTGTCTGATGAGCGTGCCAAACTCAAACAAAAGCAGGAAAAAAAATCTGAACATCAGTCGGATGAATCTCAGCAGAGGGAAGGCACTGCTGGTAAAGTATCCTCTGAAGAGAAAGGTGAGAAGAAGCCAAAGATCAAAAGCGAGAAGAAGATCCCAGGAAGCACAAGAGAAACAAAGATGTCTGTGTCTGAAGGTGTTGCTGAAGAGGGAGGTTCTAAAGATGCCAAGAAGGCGAAGGCTGCATCTGTGGAGACTGTCAAAGCAGACAAGGACAAAAATAGGGAAAAAGACAAAGAAAAAATCAAAGAAAAGGAAAAGTCCAAAGGTGAGAAAACTTCAGTCAAAAGTGATTTTAAGCCGCTGCTTCGCCCAGAAACTGCAGGCTCCTCTGAAGATCGGTCTGACATGGAGCCTGGGTCAGACAGCAGCAAGAAGAAAGATAAACACTCCAAGGAAGTCTTAAAAAGGTCAAAGAGTCACACTGAGGACAGGCCAGGAGACAAACCAAAGTCTAAAACAGATAGTAAAGACAGTGAGAAGGAAAAGACTAAAGCAGATCAAGACAGCCAGAAGTTGAACAAGTCAAACTCCGAAAGTGACAAAGATCCAAAACGGATTAAGGTGACCGAAAAAGGAAAAGTCATCGAGAAATCAAAATCAAAATCCAAAGAGGAGGTAAAGACACCTGTGCTAGCAAAGATAGATAAGAAAGGTCAGAGTCTAGAAGTGAAAAGTGCAGGTGGTGTATGTACCAGTAAACCAGAAACAACAAAGGAGAAGAAAAAAGAGGGAAATGTAAAAGAACAGCGAAAGGTCTCTGAAGAACTCCCACATGAAAAATCAGATGGTAAAAGTGCAAAGAAAAAACTGGAAAAGAAGGACAAATTTTCAGAAAAGAAAGATGATAGCCAAGAAGAGAAGAAAGCACCAAGAGAAGACAAAATGGATAAGTCAGATAAATCTTCAAAGTCTTCAGTTTCCCCTATGAGTGTTGAGACAGAAGAGCCGCTAAAGAAACAACCTCTTCTCCAAGACGTGAGCACCGACTCTGAACCTGTCACCACCACCGTCACCACCTCATTCTCAGATGACACCTGCGACGCTTTAAGTGACATTACCCCTGAGCCACCCGAAGGTGAGACAGAGTCCCGGCTCAGCGAGATGCCGGCTGTGCCGGCTGATGCCGACGCCCTGCTGACTCTAATGGACGTCTGTACGTCAGCAGAGGCTCGACTTCCAGCTGAGAGCATTCCAGAGGATACGGCACCTGAGATGGCGATTCAGGATGCTGATATGAAGATGAAAGAGGCAGCTCTGACACTGCTCTCCATGGATCCTGACAGCACGGTGTCCTCTAGCTTAGTCTGCCAAGACACACGAGAAGAATCAGTGGTGAATCTGCCCACTCCACAGCCGATGGAAACCACTACAGCTGAGGAGGAGGAGGAGGTGCAGCTTCCTCCAGTGGAAGCGCAAATAGAAACGGAGCTCACTGCCACAGAGCCAGAACCAGATGCATCTCTACAAATGGTTGAGCTTTCTGATGAAAATCCAATCACGGCAGGTTTGTGAAAACTTAGAAGAATGTTTGTTAATGTCTCTGTAAGTTTGTCAGAATTTATTTATATCTAAAAACAAGACAACACAATATTCATCTTCTTATAGAAAAGCCTGATGACTCGGAGAGACAAACGGACACATCAGAGGTTGAAGCTTCTGAGACGCTTGCTCCACAGGTAAATACGTTTTACAAGGAAATAATGCCCATATTTAGATTTTGTTTTGTCATTTTAGGCTGTTTACCAATCCCTAGTCTTCTTGTATATTAAAATGTGTTTAAATGGAGAATCAACCTATTCCTTTAGAGTGACATTTTCTGAGGTGGTATTCTTCAGCTGAAAATTATTGTTCTGCCGCCATCACAGGAGGACGATGCTACAACAACAACAACAACAACAACTAATTGTCAGACTCCTTCAAATGAGGAGGAAGCTACAAGTGCAGAAATTCGTCTTGAACTACTGTCAGATGAGAAAGCGGCAACATCAGCTGACGGTAGAAGCTTCCTAAACTTTTCACATATGATAAATTCCAAATGCTCTTGTTTTGTAATGTTTACTACTTTTGCTTTATGATTTATCTTGTGCTTAAACTTGGCTACTTTTCTGCTTCACATGTTTTTTTCAGCTGCTGTTGCTGTTGTGTCTGAAACAGAAGAGATCAACAGAACCACAGAGGTGGATGTCGTTCCTGACACCACTCAGGAAGTTTCAGAATGCACCGGGGAGCAAGGTGAGCTCTGAAAAGTGTTGTTGCTGAAAGGAGTGCTGCAGTTTTCTTTTACTGGCCACTAACTCTGCCTTTTGTCATTAAGAGCAAACAGAGCCAGATGATGAAGTCACAAAGACAAGCCTCGAGGTGAGTTGTGATTCATGGTGCACTGAAAGAAGTTTTAACTATTCTGTTTCTTTCATTTTTGTTTCTTTTTGTGTGTTTATCTCTGAAACTCAGTCATCTCATTTTGAATAACAGGCAGAGGAGGGAGTAGAGGAGGCAGCAGCGGAGGAGGACCAAGCAAAGACGAACATCAATAACAGTAAGTCTTTCGGCTTTACAAACACAGACAGTAAAATTACACTGAATCTGCTTTTAACCTTGCCCTTTCTCACCACTAGGTGAAGCTGAGAGTAACACAGTGGAGGAAGAAACTGGTGATCCACAGACTGTAAGCGTTCAGCCTTTCGTCATGCTCACCAACAAGCCACTGCTCTTTAGCCATTTATTCTGATCTGCCTCTCTGGTTTACATACTGAACATGTGGTCATTTGTTGATCTGTGTATCCATTTTGTTTAGATGGAAACTAATGTTCCAGAAAAGACGGAGGACGTCGGAGAAATTAAACCAGAGTCTAAACTGATCAAACAAATCAGTGAGTCAGGTGCTTTTTGTTTTTAATTATTAACATTTCTTGATTTTGGGCTTTCCTGTCAGAGTCAGGAGTGATGTGTATAGAGGATTGTTTTCACAGTTTGTTGCGTAATCGTATCAAGTTTCCTTGATGCACGTGTCATAAAGAGCTTCCTACAAATTCAAGAAGTTGAAACCAAAACTGAATACTGATTTTAATGTTGCCAGTATACGTTGACGTTGGTATTTTTGCAGTTAATTTCAGTTATTGCTACTTTTCAGGTAACGTCTCCAGCACAGACAGCCAAGAAGATGAGAAGGGCTCAGACATGTCAGAAAAGGTAACTCCCAACTGTTTGTTTGAAACGGGAAAAAGAAATTAATAAAATATGCAACAAGAAAAGCATGTCTGTTGATATTGTCCTGTATGCTAACACTTTATCGTTTTGTAGGAAGAGAAAACGGACAGAAGAGGACGACGGAAACGAAAGCTGTCCAGCCAGAAAGTAGCAGCAGTGAAAGAATCTGGTACAGTAGCTGGGATTTATTTATGCACCCAATTTAAAGATTCAAAGAAATGTGTCTGTCCAACTTTGTAGCAGTCATCCATCCATCCATCCATTATCTATACACCGCTTAATCCTCACTAGGGTCGCGGGGGGCTGAAGCCTATCCCAGCTGACATAGAGCGAAGGCAGGGGACACCCTGGACAGGTCACCAGTCTATCACAGGGCTACACTTAGAGACAGACAACCAAGCACACTCACATTCACACCTACGGACAATTTAGAATCACCAATTAACCTCAACATGTTTTTGGACCTTGTGGGAGGAAGCCGGAGAACCCAGAGAAAACCCACGCTGCACGGGGCAGAACATGCAAACTCCACGCAGAACTGGCGACCTTCTTGTTGCGAGGCGACGGTGCTAACCACCGAGCCACCTTGCATCCCTTGTAACAGTCAGATTTAGAAAAAGTTTAAAATCAGTATTAATCAGTTAGCTGAGGTGTTGGGTAACTACTGATTGTGTTGAAAGTGTTAATAGTAACTCGATGCAATTTGTAAACAACATATAAACCATTTAGCTGAAGTGTTTACTGAAGAGTTTTCCTCCTGCAGCCTATGAATAACTGCTTTGGTGTGGGTTTTGATAGGTCCTAGCAATCTAATCAAATCATGTGCTAATTTATATTTTAACACAAGTTTCATATTTAACACATCAGGTGATGAGGAGGAGGATGAAAAGGAAAGTAAAGAGCAGCTGTCTGCTGAGGTAAATAAAGTCTTTATCACAAATTATTCATGTCACTTGAAATTTGGTGTCACCTGCGTTCTTGTTTTGTCTTTTGAAACTTGTGAGAACAGTGGGAATGTAACAGTTCTTGGAAAACACATATTTTGCAAGTGCATGTTTCTATTTTGGTATCAGTTTAAGTCAACAGAGATTTGCTTATTGACTTTTTACGTTCAGGAGGTTGTGGAAGCCAAAACACCTCGCAGGGGACGATCATCCAGAACCACAGACGAGCCAGAAAAGGACCAAGGAAAAGAACCAGAGAAGACAGAGGAGACTTCGAGCTGCAGGGGAAGACCTTCAGGAGCTGCAGCCAAAGAAGCCGCAGCTGGTAGGTTGTCCATTTTAAATTTACTAAATGTTTGTTGTTAATATGTTAAAAGATTGTGAGTTCAATCAGTTCAATTACTTCATGAAAATCATTTGAATTGCCTGGTTCTATAATGTAGAGGTGGGTAATAGTTTTGTTCTCAAATACCTGCTGTGTACTCGGTTTTCTGAATAGTTTACAAATACTTTTTGTCATGGTTAGTGCCGTTCGTCAACCAGTTCATTATTAGGAATTTTATCAGGGCAGGAATGAAATTGTCTTCATTTTCAAACATTTCCAGATATCTTGCTACACTGTTTGTATTTTGTCCAACTGAAATCTAACCTATTAGCCCAAATTCATTTTGAACATTAAAGCCTAGCATTTGCAGAATGTTAAATTATTTGAACTTATTTTATACTGAAATGATAAGAACAGACCAGCTTGCTCTTGGCCATATTCATGTGATTTTTGAAAACAAATTATATCCTCCAGTGATCAAGGAACAAGAACTGTTAAGGAATATAATTCAGACAGGTTTGCCTACTGTTTATACATAATATACCATGTTGGTTGTTGAGGTTGTCTGCAAAGAACACCCAATTTTTTGGTAATCTGTTTGAACACAGTGCTACAACGTCAAAGACCTGGATGCTACAGCAATACTAAAAAGTTCAAATAGAATATTTTTTCACAATGTTACGGTGTTGGTGAATTTGCCACGTTAACAAATGCTGCTGAGTACAGACCAAGGCGCTGCAGAAGAATTAAGTCTCTTTTCTTTGATGTTGTTATTATTTTGTTTTTAACATCAGATAATCAGAACAAAGATGAGAATAAGGTCGAGGACAGCACTGATGAACCATCATCACTGAACCTAGTGGAGAAAGAAGAGGTATGTTAAGAAGACTGCATCATATCCTGCAGTTGTTTTTCTGGTTGTGACATTGTTAGCACCAAAGCTTTTACTTCATGATGACTGACTGAATCTGCCACCTGACAATCGTGAACAATCTGGTCTACATAACTATGGAGTACATTTACTAATGCCATATATTTAGAGTTTTCTCACCATGCTTTCCATTTTTAGAATACTGAAGAGGAAAGTGAACCAAAGACAAGTGAGGTAAACCTTGCTCCAGAGGTCAGTGAAGGTCCAGGAAGCCCCAAAGAGACGACTGACACACGTGAGTATACAGAACAAGAATCCCAGTATCTTTGTATTTGTGTACAGATGCACTAGAAATGAAAAATACGCTCAATTGAACTGTAAATAAAGGTGGGGCTGCATGTCTACTGCAGCATGCATTACCAGCTCGAAGAATAAGTGAGCCAAACCTCAAGTGCTAATTTGTGCATTTCATAGCAAGATGTTGTGAGTCAAACAAGTTTTATTTTGCTGTCATCGCTGTTAACAACCTGTAAAATAGGATGAATTAGTAATTTGTTGGCTTAATGGAAGTCTGGCTGCTTTGGTCTGAGTTAAGCTGACTAAACATTTCCTCTCTGATCTGTGTATAAAAAAAAAAAAAAACAGATGATGGAATAAATATATTTATTTATTTTATTATCATTTTTTAAAACAGTATTTTTATTGATTTTTTTCACATATGTATAAAAATGACAAAATAAAAGAGGAGAAGAAAAAAACAAAACAAGGAAACAGACAAACAGATAAACAGAAATCACAAAAACACAAACAAAACTATGATGGAATACATTTTAAACTGGATTTAAATTCCAGGTAAACCAGCAGTGAAGAGAAAGAGGTCAGAGGAAAATGAAGAATCTGTGGAGGTGAGATGTGTTGTCTTTGTAGATCAAATGCTACTTTACTGTCATGGTCTGCAGTTGTTCCTCACCAGTTTATATTCACTTTGCTTTAGCTGCCTTCATCTAAACTGTTATTTGTGTGTTTTGATGTGTTTTATCCTGCAGGAAACCCAGGCTCAGGAGGAGATGAAAGACAACAGTGGGGAGGATCAAAGCGAGCAACAGCCTGACAAAGACAGCGGTAAGAAAGCACAGACACTTGAGACATTTTATCTGAAAAGAAAAAAATCATCTGTGTAAGTGTGTAATTCCCACAGAGGTGTCGCATCTTAGAAACATGAGGCCTGCTTAAATACTTGCAAATGTAGAGAGAAAACTTTACAATAACATTTTCTGAATTGAGAGGAGTTCCCTTAATCATTGTAGTCTCGCTATCTCTTGATCTATTTTCAGACTGTTCCCCCTCTGTGAGCCAGCCAGATGCTCATGATGATGTAAAAGAGGACAGCAGCAGCGAGATGAAGCCAGATGATGTATGTTGGGAAATTAAATTAATAAATCACTGTTGTAAATAACTGCATACATTCCTTTATCCTACCATCGCTATTGTCTGGGTAGTTTCTAGCAGACTTAAAGACTTAAATAGTCATCGTTGTCTCTCCAGGCTGAGGAAGAACAACAGCAAGACGACCAGGAGACCACTCCAAAGAGACCAGGTCGGAGGGGACGACCATCAAAGGCAGCAGCTGGAGACGATTCAGGCAAGAAAACCTAAAACTTGATTTTAATTGTACTTCTAAGATTTTTCTTTTAAGAGTTTTTTTTTACATCAAAGAATTGCACATCTCCGACTGAGCATTTTTAGGAAAACAGCCTGATAGACTTTAGGTTTTAAACCTTTGGTGCCTGCAACCTTATATCTTACCTGTAGATAAAAAAGACAAAAAAGCAGACGAGAAAGAAAGTGAGCAGAATGATGATGAAGAGGAGGAGGAGGATGGTGAGAAGGAAGAGGAGGGAAAAGAAACTGCAACCAGAGCTACGACACGGTCAGCATCTCGCCTGGAGGCTGAAAGGTATTAATTCTTATCTAATGGTTTAAGTGTGAACAAGTGCTATTGTTAGTTGATAAGATTTACAACAAAACATGATGAGACACATTTCAAAAAAACCTCCAGAGAGGATCAAACAATTCATATTTGAAACCCAGCAATAAAATGTAACAGATTTATGAATTTGTTGAATTATTATCCTTTTTTATTGGTGATGAATGATTGTGTTAGTGCTGAATGTTTGCACTCTGAAGCGCCCACAAGGCATCGTCGCTGTCACATCATATTAAATGAGAGCCGGGAGGATTTAGTACTACAGCAACAACTGTTGTTTCATATTTGTTTTTACTGCTCCTCAGGAATAAGCCAAGTAAACCATCCACCCGGGCAAGTCGACAGAACGGTAAAGAGGAGACCACAGCTGGCACACGGTGAGTTTGTCTCATTGAGTTTCAGCAGAAATAGCGAGCTTAAAGGGGAATCCGACCAAAACTGACTGCTGGGTCGCTGCTCTGTGAAAGAAAACATTTGACCAAAAGTTTTCCCGGAATTTCAAGATGTTTTTCAATTATTAGTTCTCAAAATAAAAATAAATCTTTTGCACAGCCTCAGCTGTTTTAAAAGGAAAGTATATTAAACAGTTGCTTTAGGACTGCAACATATAATCGATTTATAATGTCATATTCATCCTGAATTTAAGGAGTTCACTGCATCTAATGTTCAGTGTATTTTATAGGAAACAGAAGTATCTGGTCCTTAGATAGGCAGAAAAATTCAAAGCAAGTTTAAATGATGATAAATTATTATATTTTTCTACATTAAAAATAAATTTGGCATTTAAAGCATTTTTGCTGGAGAAATAAATAACAGCAATTAATTACTATTAATAATTTTCTGAATTGTGTAATAGATTGTTTTCAGGTGATTAAAAAATCCATTAGGCAACTTATTGTTACAGTTCTGGACCATACAGTTGTGAACAAAAGCTTATGTACACTCGTAAAGACCATGTATAACATGACAGTCTTGAGTTTCCAATGACTCCTATAAGCCCTCTTTCTATGATGGAATCAATTAAACACGTGCCTTTGTCACAAAAAACAATCGTGCATTTTGGTTCTTTAATAGATTTATTATAGATCTTCTGGAAATATGACAAAATCTGCTGGGTCACAAATATACATACAGCCGTGCTAATATATGGTTAAATGTCTTTTGGCCATTTTAGAAGCTGTCCTCAAGCTTTAGGTTGTATCTTTGACGACTCCTCTTGACAGAATTGGTGCAGTCCAACTAAATCTGTTTTCTTTCTGGCACTGACTATTCTGTGGCAAAGGCCACAGGTTCTTGATTGTCTAAGTTCTTGTTAGGACTTTGGGGAGGCCCCATTTTTGATGTGTTTAGGCTCATCATCTTGTTGGAACACCTGACTGTGTCCAAGACCCAACCTCCTGGCTGATGATTTTATTTTTTTCTGAATGTGGCGATAATCCTCCTTCTTCATTATCAATTTCCACTGGCAACAAAAAAGCCCCCGAGCATAATACTGCCACTCCCATGCTTGACAGTAAGTTGGGTGTTCTTAGGGTTAAAGTCCTCATTGACTCTCCTCTGAACATATTTCTGGTCATTGTGGCCAAATAGACAAATTTTTGTTTCATCTGACTACAAAAATTGTCCTCCAGAAGGTTTTTTCTTTGTCCATGTGATCTTCAGCAAACTTTAGTGAGGCCCAGAAGACCTGTAATAAATTTATAAAGGAACCAAAATGTTTGATTGTTTTTAGTGACAAAGATCCATGTGTTCAATGATTCCATCACAGAATAATAAGTCTTTCGCAACTCAAGACTGTCAACTGTGTGTAAACCTTTGTTTACATCTTTAAGCATAACATTACAACCAGCTTTTAAAATATATAATACAGATGATGCCTCAATACAAAGTAGCTAATTGTGTGCTTTTTTTAAAAACACATTTTTAACACAACAAACTCAAAAATCACCTGTCTCTTATTCACTGATGTCGTAACCAATTGGTGGCAAATAGATTGAAATGAAGGATTATTTACTAACTTCCACAGAAGTCTATGATAAATCTTAATTCACATCTTTTAAACTTCAACATCATGCTGTTTAAAAGTGAATTAAAGTTGTTTGAGAATGGCTTCTTGTCAAGTCCCTCAAATACAAACATACCTCCTCAGTTTGTACATTTTAAAGAAAAGAGACCGATTAATTCATTGCGACTATTATGTGAAAATACTGTTGTTTTTGTTATTGTTGTGTGTGAGATATTTGTTTTAAGGTCTACAATTCCTGAAGTCTTTTTTTTTTTTTATGTCGTTTTTGTCTCTGGCACAGTTTTTGTTTTTGTGTTTGTGTGTGTGTGTGTGTGTGTGTGTGTTTTTAATCTAAGGGTTCCTTAGACCAGCTCCAGTCTTGGTGCATGTACGGGTTATTGCAACACTTTTCACAAATAACTTTACTCAAATTACTTTACTTCACAAATAACTAACTAACGAGCGTTAACATGACACATAGACAAACGGACCGACACTTGCGCCTTGTTTCCCTCCTGCAGCGGGACGAGGAGCCAGGCGGCAGCAGCAGTGAAGGGGGGCCGTAAACGGGAGGCCAGCCCTCCTGCGGTGCGAACGCGGGGAGGACAGAAATCAGAGGAGCCCCCTTCCAAGAGAGCCAAACGCTAAGATCTCTGACAGCGGTGGAACGGTTCGCTCCTGCAGTGTTGTTTTTACACTCCATATTCAAAGAGCCACTACACTCAGTTAGCACGTAAAGCTGTTTCTGCTTCATTGACTGTAGATACTGAAAAGCTCTGGATAGTATTATACGCTCTCCTCTGATGGTTGAGTGTAAACCTGAGGATCTGTGTAAGAATCCCCCAGAATACCTTCTACCGCTCTACGCCCATATGGTTTGGATCAGCCTTCATCATTCCATCGTTTATTCAGTAATGCCCACTGAGTATTTCAGGCCAATCAAAGGCCTAATGTGCAGCCGAGTCGTGCTTCAAGATAAAGAGGCTGAATTGAAATGAACTCAGCAGAGGCCAGATTGTGTGTCAGGTATCACTGTTACACATATACACACTTGTACATTAATCAGTGCGAGGCGTCTGGCCTTCATTGTGAATTTTATTATTTAATATTCATTCTGTGAATGAAAGGGGACGTTTTCCTCCCACGTTTTTCTTTTTATATTTAACATTCAGAAGGTAAGGGAAGATTTTCTTTGTATTTCTCCATTGAACTAACAGCAGTATTATTCACAGACAGGAAGAACATGCCAGAACTCAAGTTTCTCAATAACATCAATATTCTTCATGACATGTTTGTGACACCACCTGCTGCTGACTAGGTACCGTTTCTGACAAACTAAATGGAGGTCATGTAGTTATTTTTTATGTCCTAGATTTAGCAGTAAGTGTAAAGACATTTGTTTCATGAATGTAGACATGTTGAATATTTCTCCCTTTTTCACTGTTTCAAGCAAACAACTCACTTCAGGTTGTTGGGTTGTTTATCATAAATTTCTGGGTTTGCATTCTTTCTGTGAATGTTAAGGAGATGTTTAATTTTTTGTTTTTTATACTAAATACTTAGAAGGAACATTCTTTGTGCATCTCTTCATTCTTCGCTGCCTTGTCACCGTCCTGGAAGCACTGCAAGCTGATATTTTATTATTTGACATTTAGTACAAATCTTCAGACTTGACGGTAATCCAAATACCTGCTGGTTAAAACATACACATCTTTTGTGTTTAGAATATGCTCACCTGTTAGATGAATATTAGTTCAACAGATGTTCCTTTTTCTAAGAAACAAGCTGACCTTCAGCTGATCTGCCAAAGGAAACCCAAACCATGTTGCTTCTGTTCTTTTGAACTTTTCCTATGTCGAAATCTGTGTTTATGAAAAGATTACACACAGCAGAATATAGAGATTTGCATTAATTCACCCTTATTATGTCTCAAACGTTATCTCCTCTGTTTCCTAAATGGATGTGCTGTCTGTAATGTGTAAATAGCCGCAGACATTAGCCAATCACCTCGGAGCGGGGAAGAGGAGAGGACATTCCTGCCTGCTAATGGGGGATAAAACTGACAAACTCAGAGTGAAATATTCCACCATCATTAACACGTTAGGAGGCTTTAATCGCTGCACCTGAACCTTCGGGATCCAAACATCACGGAGAGGTTGCAGAAAGCCGGAGTTCTCTGGTTGAAGTTTTCCAACCATTCCTGCGGATTGCTAAATTTGATTCCTTAAAGGTGTACCTCTCTCAGGTATTTCCTGGTGCTGCAATCCAAGCCTTAAAATATTAGCCCAAAAGCTCTTATTTAAAGGTTTGGATCAGCTTTCATTTATCCACCAGGTCTGGCAGACGAACAGCGCTCCTTTCACTCCCTGATGCTATTGGAGCCACTTGAGACGTCATTTTATTATAGTCATTTGCATTGTAGTCCAAAATGATTTCTGAATTTGCCAAGCGGGTTCTTTTTTTTTTTTTTAACTTTATATCAACTGAATATTTGAGGCACATTAGACAGATTTATAGGCGGCGGGTTTTATGGATGAGAGGGAGGGCTGTGTTCAGCTGTGCGGGGACCTCACATTATGAATAAGACACTCGAAAGGTGTCGAAAGAAGCAACAGAATGCGACTGCTGCTGCAGAAATCTGAGCAAATGCTTAATCGCTGTTAGATGTTTTCAGTCCGCTGTACCTGGCAGGACTTTTCCACATAGTTTGAAAAACTAAGTGTTGGATCTCAATCATAAGTCAAGACGTAATCTATAAAGTAACACATACTTCATGCTTGTTCCAGTTTCTGACTGTGGATGTGGCAGCCGGTGTAAGTCTGAGTACATCATCCAGCTCCAGGACACCACACTTAATCCACTAAACATTTTCTGCCACATCGGCTTCATCTGGGTGGTGTGAGGGGTAGATAGTTTAATTATTTACAATCCACTGACCAATCAGTTACCAACAGATCAAGTAAACAAAGAACATTTCCGTCATATTTTTGTAGTTTTTTTTATTATCCTTACAAAATACTACATTTATTCAGAGGGACTTGGAAATTGTCATACTTGAGCTGAAAATTATTATTCCTTTTACTCTGTTTTTTTCTTTCTTTCTTTTTTAAGGCAAAAATGTCAGATATTAATGTGAAAGTAACATAAGAATTGGGTGGTTTTGGACTGCTGGTTACCAAAAGAGAAAGGAATGAATTCTTAGAATGAAAACAAAACCCTAATTGAAGCTCTATATATTTGAATAAACCTTTCACAACATTCTATGAAACTTACAATTTTTATCATCAATTCACAAATAGTTAAAAAGATCAAATCTCCATTTTGACAACACAAAGCAGCCTTTTTCTGTAACCTGATAACTTACATTTTTCCCAAACATTTAGAGAAGAAAAGTTTTTCTTTAAGATTTAAATCCTAAAAAGTACGATTTAATGGAGTGCAACATTTGTACTCAATAATTTTATCCTTTAATTAGAAATTACATTTTTTTCTCTCCACTAACAGGAGCATATTTAAAAGATGTTTTTAAACGAGGATAGTTGTGGTGTTTTATGAACTTGTGGTTGCTGTTCAGCTGTAAGTAACTGATCAACAGACCGGGGCCCGAGGTCTTCAGAGCTTTTCATGAAGTAAAAGAAGAAATAAAAGATTAAAAATAATTTATCACTAATCCTGCGTTTTAAAAAAATGCATAAAAGTATGTAAGTATTAGCAGCAACATATACTTCAAGTAGTAAAATTGCAGAATAACTCATAATTTGCTAGTTAATAGTAGTCTGCATTCATGGTAAGAATTTTAAAGTTGCATTTATCTGAAGTTGTGCAGTGGAGTAAGAAGTGCAGTATTTGTCTCCAGACTGTGGAGCAGAAGACGCAGACTGAACCACTGATGGACTGTATAAGAAGAAAAAGGAAACAACTTGTGACATCACGCTGAAGAAGGTAAAACTGTTTGCTGCTGGAACAGAGTTGTGCAACATGTTTTGACTCACTTTAAAGCAGTTTGAGACTCTTCACACTGGGTGGTTCGGGTTTTTCTGGACTCTGGCAGGACACACTGCACCGCCTTCACTCCGACCGGCATCTAAACATGAAGGCCAGAAGAGAAAAAAAACCCCTGACAGAGGACAGCGACAACACGCTCCTCTCCCTCCTGTCCCTCCTCAGCAGCTCGGCCGGCGGGTAGCTGTGCAGTTTATGCAGCAGAGAGCTGTGGAAAGATGGCGGTTTCACACAGCTGTCAACTGGAATAGAGGTGACTGTTGGTTTTGAGCGGAGGGGATCCTCGCAGGCAGGGGCGAGGGGGCTCACTCACTCCTGCTGCTGCTGCCTCTCTGCACTGGGAGTGGTCTTTCCTCTACTGGGGATTTGGCCAGGCCGACTGGCACTGAATATAATGCTCTCCCATTCAGCCACTCCTCTCACAAGACATAAAAGTTAACAGGTGTTTAACGTCAGAAGTGTTTCATACAAGAGTCACAGAAATAGCCAGCGACAGGCAGCAGGGAGGGGTGGTGGCTCAGAGTCTTATAGATTTTTCTTTTTTTTTCATGCTTTAGCAGCATTGAAATAGTTGTGCGGCTGAGTTGAGATTTGGATGGACTTGTGCCATCTAAAGCCAAAACAGATAAACCCCAGAGCGCAGAAATATTTGTAGAATACTTGTTTACTTACCAACATTTGGAGGTTATAATTTACTGTATGTCAGTGCTGTGTGCAGTTTTAAAAACATGCTAGAAAACAACCTTTTAAATCTGGATTCTTAGCTTTTCACTGCAAACTCCCTTATTCATAGGCTGTTTTGTGCAAGTGGGATGAATTGGAGCATTTTGTTTTTGCTTTTTTTTACACTTATTTGCTAAAAGTTTGCTTCCAAAATGCAACGTTAAGAAAAGAAAAATCTGCAAAGTTTAACCAACTTTGTAGTTGTTGTAGTTTTTAATTAAGTTCTTCTGTTCTGCTCAGATGCTACTCTTTAAACACGGGCCATTTAAATCCCTGAAATTACTCTACGTTTAATATTTGTGAGTCAAACTTTAAGTTCAAGAAACAAACTTCATTTGCTGTCATTTGTTAAAAGTTCAAAACTCAGCTTCAGCCTCAACAAATTGCCAATTAAGTAATTAGTCAATCAACAGAAAAGTAACCAGTTTCCTAATAAATGCCCCATTTTTCATATTTTCTCACCAAAATACGATGATTTTGATCATATATGACAGTAAATTGAATATCTTTGGATTTTAAACAAGAGTTAATGGAGCAACAACACCTTTAGAAATTATATATTGAAAAAAAATCATTAATTAACAGAGAAATAAACCTGCTGATTCTGTGAAAGTGTGAGAGTACTTTTTAATCATACTTGACTGTAAACTAAACGATTGAGCCGAACGTTGCTAAGCTGTAATCTGTCTGCGGACAGGAAAAACAAAGTGAAATCTCTCCTCTGGCTTGAACCAGCATGTTTATGTCCCCTAGGACACAAGAGGCTGAGACTACAAAGCTGGTTGAAAAATAAGAAGTTTTTTTTCTGGGCCTTTAAACAATAAGGCATGTTGATGTTCTGCATTTGTCCGACTGTCAACAAATCAGTGGATTTTTCCTACAAATCAGTAACTGCTGCATATCATCTGCCTGATTGATCTTATTCAGCTGTTGTTTCTCTAAAACATATCAGCGAGCTGCTCCGTTGCGCTGGGTGATGCTTTTTATGACTCCAAATCTGTATCAGTCTGCCAGGATTAAACCTACAGCGCTCTCTTAATGGGTTCAAGATTAAATTTGTGGCTGGTTTGATAAAATGTGGTTACTATTACACTAATCAGCCACAACATTAAAACCACCCAGCTGATCGTCATGCTCTAACTTCTGACTCCTCTGTGGCCCTGTGCTGTCTGGCACTGGGAGGCTGGCAGTGGGTCTTCTGGGTTCTGTAGCTGGTTGGTTGGCTCGTCTATGGATCAGGCTTGTTCTGGTGCATTCCCTGAATGCTCCATCAGATTGGGATCTGTGGAGTCAAGTCATTGAGCTCTTAGTTGTGTTCCTCAAGCCGTTTTTGAGCAGTTTTTGCAGCGTGCATGTCCTGCTGGGGGAGTTCAGTTGTTATGGGAGGAGTCCGGTTGCTATGGGAAGGGGAATAGATGTGCATCCACATGAATGCCAGAACAGAAAGATTCCCAACAAAAGATTGTGACATTGTTCACTTCACCTGTCAGTGTTTTTTATGCTGTGGCTGTTTGTTTCCTGTGAATGTGTTTTAAGGCTCATGTAGTTTGCTAAAACTGAAAGAACACAGAGCTAAAACAATTAGTTGATAGACCGATTAGTAACAAACAAGGAATTAATCAACAGCAAATTTCATCAAGCAGGGGGTTGTTTCGATCATTTCTCAAACAAAAGTCCAAACATTGTGTGGTTCCAGCTTCTCATAAGGCTTTCTTCTGGTATTTATCTTTAGAATGGTTTGTAATGTGAACTACTGGTCAGATAAAACAAGACATTTGAAGTTCTGACATTTCAGCAGTATTTTGAAATTTCATAGAACCAATAATGAATCAGTTCATTGGAGG